TGCAGAATTCATTTTGTGAAATCATTTCACATCTACAGTAGCTTATACTTGTCAGACATCTTCATATTCATTTTCTCAGCTATTATTCAAAGAAATCTAGCTGTTTCTCTAAGAATAGATGCTGTATATAAGATCTGCTGTAATTCAGTGAGTTGTCATTCTGTGAGCTCACACTTCATACAATAATGAAAATGCATATAACTCAATCAGTTAAGAGCAGCATCATTCTTACATTCATTATTAAAGTGTAGTGAGTTAGATAGATTATCTGGTTTGATATATTTTATGATGAGCAGTATATTCTTCAGAAGTATTATTTATATTATATACACTGAGTCAGAGTCATTTGCTGAAGTGTTAATATTGAGTGAGTTAGTTAAGTTACACAGTGAAATCTTGAGAGTTGCTGAGCATTCAGTTTCATGATATATATATTTCAGTTCTCAGCAAAGATCAGCCATCTGAGTGTTTTATTTATTTTTGATATTTGCTAAGCTATCTGCAAAGTTTATAACTAGACTGGCCGTGTGACCATGCATGGGACTGGGACCAGATTTTCCTTTGGTCCCATTATTAGATATCTTAGTCCTGGTCCCATATAGTGTTTAGTAAATTAGTCACTTTACACTGTTTATATTATAAATCTAGTCCCAGATCATGTTCTACTAATAAATTAGTGATCCTAGTCCCATTTGGTCCCATTTTTACAAAATGGGACCAAATGGGACCATGATTTACCCTATATAGGTTGGCAGTAGTGATAGATTAGCAGCGGTAGGTAGGTTGGCAGCGATAGATTAGCAGCGATAGATTAGCAGCGATAGATTAGCAGCGATAGATTAGCAGCGATAGATTAGCAGCGATAGATTAGCAGCGATAGATTAGCAGCGATAGATTAGCAGCGATAGATTAGCAGCGATAGATTAGCAGCGATAGATTAGCAGCAGTAGGTAGGTTGGCAGCGGTAGGTAGGTTGGCAGCAATAGATTAGCAGTGATAGATAGATTAGCAGCAATAGATTAGCAGCGATAGATTAGCAGCAATAGATTAGCAGCGATAGATTAGCAGTGGTAGGTAGGTTGGCAGTGGTAGGTAGGTTGGCAGCAGCGATAGATTAGCAGCAGTAGATAGGTTGGCAGTGGTAGGTAGATTGGCAGCAGCGATAGATTAGCAGTGATAGATTAGCAGCGATAGATTAGCAGCGATAGATTAGCAGCAATAGATTAGCAGCGATAGATTAGCAGCGATAGATTAGCAGTGGTAGGTAGGTTGGCAGCGATAGGTAGGTTGGCAGCGGTAGGTAGGTTGGCAGCAGCGATAGATTAGCAGCGATAGGTAGGTTGGCAGCGGCATAGATTAGCAGTGGTAGGTAGATTGGCAGTGGTAGATAGGGGATCTAATAGCGAGCCATCAGGGCATTGAGCACTAAGCAAGATAGAGGTAATATCTCCACCAATTATATCATCAGATTGATGTATTATATAATCATCAGAATGGGACCAAACTTGAGTCAAAATCATGATCAGTCCCAGATCATGTTCTGATTTTGATAGTCAGTCACTTTACATGGAATATCAAGATTTTTTAGTCCCATTTCACTCATGTTTTGATAATTCTAGTCACTTTACACTCCCATTCTGATCCTGATCCCACTAAAATAATGCCAAGAAATGGACTGGGACCAAACCAAACCAAACCAAATGTGAAATTCATGGTCCCACCGGCCAGTCTATTTATAACATTCACTGCTTGTTGCTGAGTAGCTTCTGCACATTGATATTTCTTCTGCACTTTGAGCTCTATCTGATAAAGATTATACATCACTAGAATCTCTTTCAACAAGATATTATGAATGAGAAGCTTGTTATTCTCAGATGTGAGAGCTGCTGCTCTATATACTGCTTTGTGTAGATCTTCAGAGACTAGTTGCATTTTTTATAATTCAGATATAAGAAATGAATGTTGATTGTAGATATTTATAGTGATTATTATCAATCATACACTTTTCTCTGTATCTTAAGAATATTATTCTTATGAAGTGATTTCTTGATGATATTTTCTTGATCATACAACTGACTGATATCTTCTTTTTAAACTTGCAAGTAGAGTAGTTCTTTGAATCATCATTCATCTCTACATCATCTTTCTACATTCTCAGTTCATTTTATATTTTGAGATGAGTTATCTGCTATCAATATTGTAATCAGAAGTATTTCAACTTCATCACTTGTTCATACAATCAAGTTCTCAAATATAGAGATGATCACACTGATATAATAACTATGACTTATATTATAGATGGAATTATCACACTCTCAGAAGTATATACTCTCTTCAGTTTAGACATACTATCAGATGTGATTCAAAGATTGCTTGAGCTTCTCAAAGCTTCTAAGCTTTGCAGCTCCTCTTATACAAAATAACTAGTATGATAGCATACACCATCCTTGATAATAGAGGGTGGCATACGCCATGGAAGAATAATAAGCTGAAATTACTACATTTCAGTTCTCAGCAAAGATCAGTTATCTGAGTATTTTATTCATTTTTGATATTTACTAAGCTATCTACAAAATTTATAATATTTATTATTTATTACTGAATAGTTTTTATATACTGATTAGACTGGCCGCTGGGATCATGAATTACATATTTGATTTGGTTTGATTTGGTCCCAGTCCATTTCTTGGCATGATTTTAGTGGAATCAGAATCAGAATGAGAGTGTAAAGTGACTAGAATTATCAAAACATAAGTGAAATGGAACTAAAAAATCTTGATATTTTATGTAAAGTGACTGACTATCAAAATCAGAACATAATCTGAGACTGATCATGATTTTGACTCAAGTTTGATCCCATTCTGATGATTATATAATACATCAATCTGATGATATGATTGGTGGAGATATTACCTCTATCTTGCTTAGTGCTCAATGCTCTGATGGCTTGCTATTAGATTCTCTATCTATCACTGCCAATCTATCTACCACTGCTAATCTATACTGCTGCCAATCTATCTATCACTGCTAATCTATTGCTGCTGCCAATCTATCTACCGCTGCCAATCTATCTATCACTGCCAATCTATCTACCACTGCTAATCTATCGCTGCTAATCTATCGCTGCTAATCTATTGCTGCTAATCTATCTATCACTGCTAATCTATCGCTGTCAATCTATCTACCGCTGCCAATCTATCTACCACTGCCAATCTACCTACCGCTGCCAACCTATCTACCACTGCTAATCTATCACTGCTAATCTATCGCTGCTAATCTATTGCTGCTAATCTATCGCTGCTAATCTATTGCTGCTAATCTATCTATCACTGCTAATCTATCGCTGCCAATCTATCTACTGCTGTCAACCTACCTACCACTGCTAATCTATCACTGCTAATCTATCACTGCCAATCTATATAGGGTAAATCATGGTCCCATTTGGTCCCATTTTGTAAAATGAGATCAAATGGGACTGAGATCACTAATTTATTAGTAAAACATGATCTGGGACTAGATTTATAATATAAACAGTGTAAAGTGACTAATTTACTAAACACTATATGGAACCAGGACTAAGATATCTAATAATGGGACTGAGGAAAAATTTGGTCTCAGTCCCATGCATGGTCACACAGCCAGTCTAATACTGATATTTCTTCTGTGTTTTGAGCTTCATCTGATAAAGATTATACATTACTAGAATCTCTTTCAATAAAATATTATAAATAAGAAGTTTATTATTCTCAGATATGAGAGCTGTTATTCTATATACTATTTTATATAGATCTTCAGAGACTAGTTGTATTTTCTGTGATTCAGATATAAGAGATGAATGTTGATTGTAGATATTTATAATAATTATTGTCAATTGTATACTTTTCTCTGTATCTTAAGAATATTATTCTTATAAAGTGATTTCTTGATAATATTCTCTTGATTATACAACTGACTGATATTTTCTTTTTAAATTTACAAGTAGAGTAGTTCTTTGAATCATTATTCATCTCTACATCATCTTTCTATACTTTCAGCTTGCTTTATATTTTGAGATGAGTTATCTACTATCAATATTGCAATCAGAAGTGTTTCAACTTCATCATTTATTTGTATAATTGAGTTCTCAAGTATAGAGATGATTATATTGATATAATAACTACAACTCATATTATAGACAGAATTATCACATCCTCAGAAGTGTATGCTTTCTTCAGTTTAGACATGCTATCAGATATGATTCAAAGATTGCTTGAGCTTCTCAAAGCTTCTAAGCTTTGCAGCTCTTCTTATACAAAATAACTAGTGTGGTAGCATACACCATCCTTGATAATAGGGGGTGGCGTACGCCCCAGAAGAATAATAAGCCGAAATTACTACAGACCCACGGTTGCGAAGATTAGCGACCATTTTCAATCCCGCTTATGCTTCAGAAGAAAGAGTACCTACTGATATAGAATTCAATACCGGAATGTGCGCAGCCAAAAAAGATTCTGAACAGTCACAAGACAGTCAAAGGTGATAGAGCGGATTAGTTGCTAGTATTCAAGGCAGGCTACAGCTGTCTAACGACAAACTACAGCAGCCTATAGTGACAAATGTGTCAAATGGATTTTTTATACTAGTGTTACAATGTACAACACCTATCATGTTCATTCTATTTGTAATTGAATAGAGCTTGTTGATTATTAGAAAGCAATGCATTGCTAGATGTTGGAGGTCCTATCACAAACCCTACCCCACGTGACCTACACACACATATTATTAGGCCACTAGGGCAAAAGAGCTCAATCACCACCAGCGCCGTGGTGGTATAGAGGGTACGAATCACCCAACCCAATCCCCCCAACACATATATTAGTTGCCGCTAGCTGCTAGCAATTATCCTGCAAAGTGTCTGAGCTTGCTGGGATAAATTTGACACAATGTGCTACTACCAGAGCTAGAGGCTGCCTTAGATCGATGACATCAGTGTCACATCAAAACATCAAGTGCTGGCTATCATGGGATTAATCAACTTCAAGCCCTTCTCAGGCCCGCATGAGTTCAGCCAACTGATGCGTGCACTTTTTCACATGTATAGGTTAGAAACTCCAGATCTGTTCTCCTTTGACTGGCTGCAGAAAACATTGGATTTGGAAGTGGTTTGCAAGGACACGACAAACGAAGAGGTTGGGATTTCAACCCCACGGAGCCTTGAACAAGCTATCCGGAAATGTGCGAGGATCAACTCCCCAAATTCCCCGGAATTCCTCAGCCCGCCCGTCGACTATAGTTGGACTGGTTGGATGGGATTAGCTATCGATGACTTGAAAAAGGAAGTTACAATCAAAACTGAAGCAAAGTAAGAGAATAAACAGCTTTCGTCTTTTAACTCTATTAGTCACTCTTCGTGACTTACTGTCCCTTTTTCCTACAGGTGTGAAGGTCCATTGTTTTCCTTCCTCGGTCAAGGCTTGATCGCTAATGGCCACCGCCGCGTTCTTGCGCAACGCCTCTTTCGACACCGGCCAGACCACTGGAGCATGACGATCCGAGATCACTCACCGTTGAACCAATACAAGAGCCGTAAGGATTATCTTCTTCGCAGTGAAATATTGGGAGTCACTTCGATCATCTACCGCCAGATGAATGAAATACGCTGGGATCCCTCGAAATACAAATATACGGAGCCGGAATTGATATACTCGGGTGGTCCTTTAATTGTAAAGTTCATCGCCCATTTCTCCTCCTTTTTAGATGGATACAACGCTAACATTCCTCTTGGCCACGATTGTGACCTTTATTCCCGGCAAAGTACGGGTGGTTCAGGCGACTTGCGATCCGTCAAAGGTGTCCACCTCTCTTACATTTGTACTGAGAGCTTTTTATAATCTTAGCATGTCTTGCTATGACAAGACCACTGCCCAGAAGGTTCTGAAATGGATTCTTTGTCCGCCAAACCCGGCTCAGGGTCTTCCGTAGAGAGGAAAGACAGCATAAGCTTTTGGTCAGCTGTTGATGAGGTTGTTGAGGTGACTGCTCTTTTATGTTCATTCCTGCTTAAAAACTGAGTGTAGGCAAATGATGGCGTTATTAATCTTACGTACGAACGCATGCAATTTCCAGCAGTTAATACCCTTCCTGTTTTTGTCGGCTTTGGTTGGCATGTTCTCCTGAGTAAGCTCTGGATGGTTCGTATATGCTTTAAGTTTTGTGAGAATGAACAGAATCGCGCTGGCATACTCTCATGATTCATTTCTAATTCTGGTCCCACTGGAAATCAACATCAAGAATCATGGTCCCACCAGCCAGCCTAACCACAGTCCATAACCTGTGGGATGGTTAATCTTGTTGCCCCTAGGCTGCTAATACAACCACTTAGACGTCCCACAAATCTTTGGTCAGAGCTTATCTCAGCGAGCTCAGACCCTCTATTGGCTCGGTTGCAGCAGCATGACACTAAACTACTTTAGTTACAAGTCATGTGCTCAGAGCAATCCTCGCCAGAGGGTCTGAGAAGTAACGGTTCATGCTCCTGTGGAGATTCTTGAGATTTTCATAGATTCTTCAAATTTCTCAACTTTGACTTTCAATTACACAACATTCATATATCTTTGAGATTTGTAAACTACCTTAGGTTGTAGCTAAAGAGAAGAAGAATATAAATATATAATTTTTATATTAAAAAAATCAATATTTAATATAGATGTATCTTGTTGAAAATGATCACTTTATTTCTTATTGAAATCAAGCAAATAGCAAATCCTTCCCGTGTTCAAAAAAAAATGGGTTGACTTTGAGGTGATACTTCATATCTAAGAAATGGGAATATGAAAATAAAAATTGATACCATCGTGAGAACATTGATTTCTCTAGGTCCTAAGGTGGTACAGAGATGCTGAATAGATGGAGTTGGTTTGCTTTCCTCACCCATACACAAGGTATAGAGCAAATCATTCCCGTGTTGCTAACAAACTGGAACCGTTTTTTCTCAGACGCTTCGCAGGAGAATTGCACATCATGTGATATGACTATTTTGGGTTAGTTGATTACTTATTTGAGATTAGCTTCTTTAAAAAGTGACTAATCATCAAATCAGTGTTAAAACAGCAATTATCCTGCGAAGCGTCTGAGCTTGCTGAGATAAGTCAGAGCAAGCCCTGCCAAGTTCTAACCCTCCACCGCACGTGATTACCTCTATGTAGTTAGCCGGGCAACTAGTGCCCACCATTTTCTTCTCTAAGATCATGTTTACTTTTATTTTGTGGAATTTTCAACACTCTCATCGTCAAGATTGCACGCGCTGGTTGCTTGGGCAGACTCGACAATGTCTCAGCAACCCTAGCTAGCGAGCAAGTACGTTGCCCGTCTCCTCCATCATACTCCATTGCTCGCTCAGCATGAAGCTCATCCTCATCCGTCATGCTGAGTCCGAACACAACGTTGCCCAGGTCTAGTACGAAGCAGTTTCTATTTGTCCTTTGATCTGTCTTTCGGGGCACGGGCACTTTCTGACACGAACTGGCTCCGCTCTGTTCAGCGCAGGGACAACGGACTCTGCCTTGACAAACCATGGCATGCTTCAAATTCAGCGACTAGCTCTCCATTTCAAGGCACAAGGCGTTGCGTTTAACACGGTCTTCTCTTCGGATTTGCTGCGGGCTCGTACCACTGCTGAAGGCATCTGTGGCCTTTCTAGCGGTGGGGAGCAGGATGGAGAATCTTATGCGTTACAACCCATCATCCTACCCCTGCTGAGGGAAAAGGACTTTGGCGCCCTAGAGGGAAAATCATGGCTTGCCACGCGAGAGGGTGGTGCGGACTTCGTTTCTGGAATAGCTGGGGAGCCAGAGTCCCTCGCTTCTGTTGCATCTCGGGTAGATTCATTTCTTTCCTGTCATCTACTGCCAGTGTTGCGTGATGCTGGACATACTGCTCAAGCTGTTGCTATTGTCTCACATGGCATTTTGCTCTCTGCGCTGTGGGAGGCTCTGTCTCAATTATTTCTATCGAAACATGTTGTTCTCGCTCCAGGTGTCAAGGCCGCAAAACGCATATCTCAATGGTCAAACACTGGCTACCTAGAGCTTGCCATCGGCAAGTTAGATGAGGCGCTCTCAACTCCAGCTCCAACAAAAGAAGGTGACCGAGCTCAAGAGAACATGGAAAACCGCTCCGCTCGAAACCCGCCATTACATGACTATGCAATCACCGTCCTGACGATTAATGGGAGACACCACCTCAGCAATCTTAGGCGAACTCCAGGCGTGGGAAGCTCAAAGCATGATGCAAAACAGTTACAAATTGATAATTTCTTCCAAAAGCCGAAGAATTAGCATTACGCGCCTGCCAAAATTTCTCATGGCAAGCCTCGTATAAGTACTTGGTATGTTCACAGTCTCTCTGATTCAAATTTTCATCCATACCACCTACCAGCCCCAATTCATATCCCTACCCAACATCTCATGATGAAGCAAATTTTCACACAGACCTGTTCCGAAACAGAAATGTGGATAGTAAATATTACCAACTGCTGTCTGACCCATCGCCTCTTCTTCCGCCATCACTCTTATATCAATCATGTGCAGATCATAGGCTAACTTATTCGAAGACAATATATAAATATTTTGAGAGCAAAACCCCATGCAAAATTTCCTTGAAGCTGGTTTCTTTAATCCCAAAGCGGCTTTTCGACACTGAGATACAACTTCACTGCTGAATTAACTGAAGAACTCGAAGGATATAGAATACGTAATATAGACTGACTTAACGATCTATCGTTCAAATAATATGAAACAATACGAGCGTTTAACCTGCCAAGCGCGATTTCAATGGAATTGTATCGGATGTATAACAACTGGGAAATCAATTTCAGAACGCGTCTAAGAAAATAATAGGAAGAGCACAATGAATAATCCCACAGAATAGGTTCCTGCGCCTTGCATGCAACTACTCGAGGTATGTAGAAAGCCTCATCAACCGATATATATATAAATATATATATGTGCAAAGGAGAACAAAATTAGGTATCTCTAAACAAAGGAAATGATCCTACGGATAAATGCATGAGCGAACGAGGTGTTATGAAAAGGGAAAAAAAAAATCGTAATGCATAAAGAATAGAATATGACACAGAATATACTCTCCACATATTCACACATCATCCATTCTCCAACCTCCCGTCATCGCTCAACTCCTGGGTTACCCCATTGAAATCAAGATTGATCGCAGCATCAGCACCCGAGCTCTCACTTTCGCTTCCATCCCTCATCCTCCTCCTCCCCTCCCCGTCCCCGTCTCTCTCGTAAAGCACCACCTTCTTCAACTCCTTCTGCCGCAGCACATACCTCCGGAAATAATAAACCAGCTCTCCGGCGCCATACTTTGCATGCATCATCGTCGGCACGGAGAACACCTGGTCCAGCTCCTCAAGGGTCTTCCCCTTGGTCTCCGGCATGAACAACAAGACAAGCACAAACCCCACCATATTCCACCCAGCATACCAGCCAAACGCGCCCTGTGGTTTGAACGAATTCTTCAAACTGGGCCACGTGATCGCCAGCATGAAGTTGAAAAACCACGTCGTTGCCGTCGCCAGCGCCATGCCATACGAACGCACGTAGAGCGGGTATGCCTCGGCGGAATACGTGAAGGGCACGGGGCCTTCGCCGGGCGAGTAGGCGATGCCGAACAAGTAGATACCCAGCGCAACGCAGCCGGTGTGGGCCCTGCGCATGGTGGCGGAGCCGTCGGTGGGGATCCAGAACGAGAAGCCCGTAAGCAGCTGGAAGATGCCCATGAGAGGGAAGGTGACGAGGAGAAGGTTGCGGCGGCCGAAGGTGTCAATCGTGTAGATGGCGGGGATGGCGAAGAGCCAGTTGATCACGCCGAAGCCGAAGGAAGCCGCTAACGCAGCCTTCTGGGAGAAGCCAGCGTCCAGGAAAATTTCGGAAGAGTAGTAGGCTATGACGTTTACACCACAGAACTGCAAGGGGGGGAAATGTTAGTTTATGGGTTTGCTTGCCTGTTTTGCGAACATATATATATATATATATATGCAAATGTAGGTACATACCTGTTGCATAAACATGACAATTTCCGATGCGATAAGTGCGCGTCTGTTGCGAGGGACGGTTATGAGTTCGAGGATTTTTGCCTGGCCCAATTTCATCGCCGCCTCCGCCTCGAGCAAGGTGTGCATGTAAAATAGGTCGCGGGCGGCTTGCACTTTGATAAAACGCAAGCGACACATGGAGCGGTATGCCTTGTAGTGGCTGCCCTTGCTCATATACCACCGTGGGGATTCGGGGCAAATGAATACAAAGGTGCACACCAGCACGGCAGGGAACATGGCGGAGCCCAGCATCAACCGCCACCCCAGGCCCGTGACGTTGGGCGTATCAGGCACATTGAAAAAGACCAGATCAGACATGTAGCCGAGCATGATGCCGAAAGCAGTCCACATCTGCCATTGCATCACCAGGGCACCACGGATGGCCGGCGGGGTGGTCTCGGCCGCGTAAATGGGCACGGTGGCAGACTTGGGGCCAATGCCGAAGCCCAGGGCAAAACGGCTGATGAACAGATGCCACCATGAGTTCACAAAGCCCTGCCAGAAGCACGCAATCGCGGAGAAAACGCAGGTGATGAATACTGTCCCACGGCGACCAAACCAGTGGTTAAAGGGCACGGTGAGCCAGCAGCCGATGAAAGCGCAACAGAGGTAGGGTGCCGAGTTGACCAGGCCGACCAGCCATGTAGACCGTGAATCGAGGCCGCCGATGCCGAATTGTGATTTGTAGAATATCTGTGCGCCATTCACGACGGATTCGTCTTAAGGTTTTGATTGTCAGTTAGTTCAGATAAAGAAAACGGATATTTTAAGCTTCCACACCCGGGAGGAGGCAAAAGCAAGATTGACAGCCACAAAAAGCAAAACAACATTCATTCCCGAAAATCAAATTCTGGAGGTGGGGAGACTTTTCAACGAACGGCTGCACATGCCTCCAAAAGAGCACAATTAACTAAGGGAAAGGAAAGGAAAGAGAAAAAATAGAATAGTACAAAATAAACATAAAAATAAAAATGGTAAGGAAATCAACGAACTAACCCATTCCCTGGACTGCCGCACTGAGCGAGCAGAGAACAATAACCAAATACATGAGTCGCGGCTGCGACCATCGATTCGTGAATTCTTCCCTAAGCACCTTCAACTCTTTCTCCGTCAAGCCCTCGACATCCTCGTACTTCTCTGGCGCCTGCGCCAGAACAGCACCCAGCTCAAAAGCGCGGATATCCTCTTCGTCGCCAATGTGGTGCTGACGCGCATAGCGGCCGCCGCGCTTCATCAGAGTAGCATGGCTGAGACCGGCGAGCGGATTGGCGAGTTTGGCATTGAGATTTCTGCGTGCCCGCTCGGCGGCCGTGAGGGACTCGCGGCGTGAGTAGAGAAACGAGGGCTGCCGTTGTGTGGGGAACGGGGTTGTCGTGCTTGCAGTGGCATGGGAGGCTTTGCGATTCGAGGTAGTGGTGGTGATATGGTCGAGTTCGGAGGAGGAGCGGTCGGAGGAAGCACCTAGTTCTATGAAGGGTTCGAAGAGCCTCATGGTATCGATAGATCGACCCCGAGGAGGCCGTTTTTAAGGGGCGCGGGATATCCGAGAGCTGAACGAGAAGATCTCTGAGTGGAGGCCCATATCCGGGACCTCTCAATGGGGACCAGCAGATTACGGTGTAGAAAAACGACAGTAGAAGCACCCTTGAGGTGGGATAGGTAGAAGAATGACGAAAACCTGATATCTGAAGGCCGTTCGCCGGTCGCCTTTCGTTATACGGATGGGACTATGTTTTCTCGCCGAATTTGAGAAATCGAAGGGTGTTTCTATTAATCTTCTATATCTCAAAAAAGAATGCTGCAGACCTTGCGGGAGGAGAACAGAAAGAGGTCGAATATAACGATCCGCGAGATTTTAGGAGAGTAGCAATATCTCTACAAGAAAACATTTGCATTTTGTTTCCGGCGGTGGGGGAGAGGGCAAGCTTGTTCTACTCAGTCACTAATATCGAAGCTGACGGATGAAGATTAGTTAAACGAGCCCAGGATCATGGCGAGTCCATCGTCCGACTAAAGGACAAAGTAAACGGCGGACGTGACCCAAAGGGCCTCAAGCAGGGCCTGCCCAGCCTAGTGAATTTAGTTTATATTGGCCGTGGAGAGCATGTCAAAAAAAAGCTCGGTAACTTAAACGGGGAAACAAAGAGCAAGCTGCGGTTTTAAAATAAGATTTGTGTTTTTGCTGTTTCATAGATCGCACCAAGAGCGAAACAAAATCAAACAACTCTCCGGAAGAAGTAAAGCTCGGTGGTTTGGGAAGACGCACGGGAATGAAACAATAATAGTCGAATGGGCGCAGGAGCCAGGGAGAGAATTATCTCCAGGAGCAGGACAAACCGCCTGGCGAAGCATATGTGTATTTTAAGAGGCTTTTTGTTTTTTGTTTTTTTGTTTTTTGTTTTTTGATTTTTTTTTAAAATTACTCCCTCATCCCAGGATTAAACCTGGCACACTAGCCCGGGGGGGGGGGTGAGGGACCTCTTGGTGACGGGGGTGGGATTGAGAGAATTCTCAAAAATCAAACCAGGCCAAGGAGGCGAACAACAGGAACAGCAGCAGCGAAGTATTTTTAACAGCCGAATCCAAATCGCTACAGTCAAGAGCAGCCGAGCCTGCCCAGCTCGTATTTCAGCGATACCATGCGTATCCACCTCCCAGAGAAGATGAGGCTCCGTACAACGACGACAATGACAGCAAGCAACTTGCCGGCCTGCCAGACCGCCCCCCGGGCATGGGCTAGCGGCGTCCAATGGCCAACATCGACTCCGCACAGGTGCCAAGGGGCAGAGGAGCAACAAGCGAACAGCACGTTAGGGGGTTTGACCGGCAACGTTCAAGTTGGGCTGTCGGAGACATTCTCATGTCATGTCATGTCATGTCATGTCATGGGGGGTGGGACCTTCGCAGATTGGACGATTGAACGACCAGGCTCACAGCGGGTGGGCGGAGAAAAGCAAGCAAGCGATGACGCTGGACCTGCAGCTGGCCAGCGCGAGGCTGGGAGACGGTGCTGTGTAACTTGGCGCTGTTGAGGAGCGAATGTCCGGCGTATTCTTCAAACGTGGGTCTGTCGTTACAGTACGCCGATCAATCCATGAAGGTAATCTGCATGTGCCAGACACAGGGGCCAGGCGTTACACGGAAGCATGGGGGGAAAGTTGCCCTGAGGGGAAAAATGGATAAAACATGGGGATATTCGTTATTTGCTTCGATGTTGTTTTGTTCTCTGTCAGTCCCAAAACAGTAATTGGTCGCAAAATGAATTAGGGCAAGGATCCGAAAGCAGCCAAAAGCAGGCCGTCCATGCGCTGCACAAGGCCATAAATATTGGCAACCCCCCACTGCAATCATCAATCATGGCGTCTTTTTGTGACAGAAAAGCAGTGGGGATTGCCAATACTTATGGCCTGGCACTGTAATACTGTGAGTACGTAGTACTCCGTACATTGGGAATATACCTCACCAGCTGCAATCCCTCGCCTTTAACTGGTGGACGAGAAAGCGCCCCAAGAAAAGGCAAGGAAATGGAAGATACAAATCTTTTCCCCGAAGGACTCCCCAGTGTCAACCCGTTGTCTGGTTCCTATCAAAAAGCCAGTGAGACATTTTTGGGGGTTGGGAGACACCGACCAGTATGAAAACTCAGTAGTCAACTCCACAGCCCAATCCTGATATTTACCTACCGGGCGGGTTGCTGCGTGAATCCCCCAACGTTGATGGTTTATGAATCCATTACCATATCGTATCCAATGAGGGAATAAGTTATTCTGCCCTACAAGCTGCCAGGTCAATACAATACAATCCGTAGCTACTCCGTACTCCCTCAATGATTTGCGTATTCGTCATTGTGCGGTCAGATCCCATGTGGGAGTTGATAGGCGTGACAGCCAATGCTCAACGCCCCACGGGGACGGCAAATTAGCGGGCAGCATTGGGGGATGGCGTGCATCCCGAGACGTGCTTAGTTGGGGGCGACATGAGTGACGATCGTTCATGCATGAAAACCAAGAAAAATCGCTATGCTGGTAAAAATAGAATCTGTCCCACCTACGCCTCACATTGTTGGATTTACAGAGTACATGCCCCTTTCAGCCCCTTGAGGACAGGAGGTGACAACAAACAATAAAATGATAATATTATAACTAATCGTACAGCACCAACGGTCTGGAAAAAGAAACTCGTGATATTACAGATCCCCCGAGGGGAAGGCTGGAAATAACCACGAATCGGGGATGTCCAAGAGGAACTGTGAGTCCTGGTAAAAGGAATGTATATTAGCATCTAATCTCGAATTCCAAAAAAGAAAAGAAGAAAAAAAACCGCTTCTTGATATATAAGTCGTAACGGAAAGAAAAGAATCTAAGAATTAAAAAGAGCATGGCTGGAAGTAGCATTTAAAAAGGGGGTTACTTACCAAATCAACCCATTCGATCCTCTGGCTTTCGTTGTCACTGCTACCACCGCCATCGCCATATATACTATTATTATTGTTGTACGTATTTAAACTATTACCTTCATCGTCCTTCATCTCAGCTTCACTTCGTCCCTGCAGCTTTGCTCGCTCCTTTAGCCAAGTATGACACTGTTCCACTGCCTCTTTCGCCGCCTCCATAATGTACGCATTGACCTCTGACGCGCCTGCCTCCATTGCCTTGATCTGTGCCAAGATACAAGAGGAGAATATATATCCCTTCACATTCGTTTCGCCCGTCTGGATCCGGCGCATCGTGAGTCGCATGTAATTCTGCGTCGCGGCGTGCAGCTCTCTTCGCCATGTTTGGGTGGCCAACGACGATGGGGAGGAGAGTGGAAACGTGTTTGACGGGAAAGGCGCTGGCCGGTCTTCCTGGAGTTGGTAAATGAGTTCGAGGGAAATGGCGAATTGTGCGTACATGATGGAGCTGCGGATGAGTCCTCCGGCGTGGAGCTTTAGGCACTCAAAGTCATTGTCGTAGGGGCGCGTATTGGTATTGGAATTGACAGTGGCATTCGCATCATCTTCCTCATTGTCCGTGCGGTTATTTGGAGAAAGGATGTGGAGCGCGGCATCCATGCATATCTTACGGGAGAAGTAGTATTTTGGGTCTGTTTTTGCTTTTACAGCGAAGGGGTGGTGGAGAGCAAGCAAGAATCTATTGGTGAGAATAGAGACGGATTGGACTTGGAAGACAGAGGGCTGTGTGGCTCCGTCTTGAGAGGGGTGGGCTGTGTTAAAAAGGTGATGCGAATTATCACGGTGGATGGCGATAAGCTCACTGCTGAGTCTTAGCACTTCATCATACGAAGGTTCCGAGCATACATCGTTCAGTGCTTTTGCTATCTGGAGTCTGATTGGGAAAGACTTTATGAGAGCGATTTGGACGCTGGTGTTGGTGAATCCCTCCGTCACGTAGGGAACGGTTGTGGACCCATCAGGGCTCATATCCTGATCGTTGATATTGGAGGGCGGCTCGCAGTCATAATCATCAAGCGAAACTAGAGGCGACCCGCCTGCATCCATGCTTGACTGGAGCAAAATCTCCAGAATCGTAGCCCAGAGTCTTCTCCGTAGCTCCGCCTGAAAGACTGGCATCTTCGGAAGATATTGCGGATCTCGATGTAGGCCAACATACATTGCTACCCGCAGTAGAGAGCCAGCCGATATCCAAGCTAGGTCGCCATCAATCGCGCAATTCTGGCGGGCTAGAAGTAGAAGGCAGTGTACCTGGACGGCAGCGATATTGACGCGAGATTTCTCAGATGGAGCCCCCAACCATGCCTGAGCCGCATAGATCCATGGCGCTGCCGTTGTCCGAGGCGCAATGGAACCTTCGGGCCTTTGACAGAAGCAAGTGCCTATGGCCATTACAAGGAGCAGGCGCACCACAAAAGACTGACTCGCAGACTGAGGGCTATTCCAGAATTGAAGATATTCCTGCTGGAAAGTGGGCACGTGTAAAATTCGATGAACAGACTCAAAGGTACGAAGATAGCCCGTGACAAGCTCGTCCGCCGTCTCACGTGGAGGAACAAGGTCTTTCAAGTCCGGATAATCTAGCTGGCGTATTGGACGTCTGATTTTTGCAGCTCTTGCCAGCGTCTTACATCGAACCATCATTCTGGATATCTCAGAGTTATTATCTACTTCAAGTCGATGCTTGAAATTGTATACCATCTCGAACTTTTAGCTTCAGTTAGCGAGTATATTTGAGGAATATAGAATAGATACAACCCTCCCAACGTAATGTGACACTGAAGCAAAGGAGTAAAAAGAATGTAAAAAGGCTAGATCGCGAAGTAGAGGGGCCAAAACAAAATGAAACGGGATTGCCCCAACCTCCTTAGCACAATTCATCCAGTGACTTTTCCCAAAAAATCTCGTTTTCGAGAACGTCTCGCTCACGGGAGCAGGCAAACCTTGAGGATCATCCAACACCTCTAGCGGTCCGCGGCGGGGTGGAGGAAAGCTAGAAATAGAGTTCGTGCTCGTAGACTCTGAAAGTTTCTTCTCCAAGAGGCGGACCCTATCCACGAGCGCCTGAATCGTCGCCGCAGATTGATGGTCCCGGTTGGCATTGCGAGTAGATCCGGCGATATCGCTTCCTTGGTCATCTACATGTGGACTCGAGCCAGAAACATTTGCCGTAGAAGGCGATGGATATGCCGCGCAATTCTCACGTTGGGTTACCTGAGGGATAGGAATAATGGGAGCTGGGGGAGCTGAGGAGAGTTGTGATTGTTGCTGTGGTTGTAGGCTAGCATGAGGCCCTGTTGAAGAGGAGCCAACAGCGGCATGGACATGAGCATAGGAACATGCATGAATCGAGAGATTCTTGGATCGTTGGCATTGATCGCACGGCATTTTTTGGTCGCATTTGACCTTCCGGCGACGACATTGGTCGCACGCCAACGCCGGCCGACGTCGTTTACGTGGTACGGCATCGCCGTTGTATGACAGAAGATCCGTATCATCCATATTTCTGTCACTTTGTTTCCCAACGAAGTCGTCAAAGTTCTTCTCTGCTTCTCTTCTCGTCTTCTCTTCTGGTCTTCTCTTCTCGTCTTCTCTTCTCTTCTTCTCCTTGGTCCACGTCGTCGACTCCAAACAATCCGATCCTGGAATTTGCGGCTCCAAGCGGCGGGGAATTCAGCAGCAAAAGCCCGTGGAATACGGGATATTCCCTCTCGAGCCCGGTAAATTAGTCACTATCTCCGTGAAGATCTGGTCATGTGATACACGCTTGATGGTTGTTCGTTGATTTCCCTTTTTGGCAACTTCAACGACATCAAAGCGCAATCCGTTGGATATTCGAGTCACTCATTTGGAGATGCCGCTATTCGATAATCGCAAACCCTCACGAATACCTGATGGGGAGTGCACGGGGATACTGGTTCTTAACGGGTCTTGGGGGTTTTACGGGTTGATGTTTCCCATTGTCCCTTTCTGTTATCCCCGAACACTGACCGGAACTCGAATGAGTCGACTCGGCCTCGGGCGTCTCAAGGCCCGACGATTCCTGTCCTGCAGGGTTCGAGATATTGTTGTAGTTCGGCATCCCAGTAATGATTTTGTCCGATAATCCTCGTTTATTCCGTAATTGTGGAGATCTCTTTTTCTCAATGCCAGTAGCAGAGGATGGGGATTTTTTGCGACACCCATCATGCCACGGACAACTGCACGTATCCACAACCATTTCAAAGCAATCCAAATATCATACGTTATGTGTATATATATGTGAACATCCCTTTTCAAATACACATAGCTTCCTCGATATCTTCAATATTCGCTATATCATTTACCTTTAGCATTTTATCTCAGTATTATCTCCAAGGCAAGCAGCGCTTTGCTATCGTGCTTGCCTTCGCTTCTTCTCTCTCAAAACGCCTTTTGAGTCTGGGGCTTTTCTCCTCTCCCTTTTCCCCTTCAACACGCTTATACTTCTTCTGCTTCTTGAGGACCTCAAGGTTCCATCAAGCAACCCGCAGTTAAATTCGGAGTTCAAGCTTCCGCAATGGCTGAAACCGCCCACGAGGCGTCAAGCACTCCAGACCTGCATGATCTGAAGAGTTCTCACGAAGGAGACTCAGAAAACTGCGTCGATTCCAAACCGAACGATTTCTATCCAGATGGAGGCGTCAGGGCGTGGGCTGTGGCTATCGGCACCGCTGGTGTAATGTTCTGCACTTTCGGACTGGCAAACGCTTTCGGGTATGCGTTTATACCTTTATGCGTCTCCTAGCAACCTGTGTTGATGCCACTTTGTCCCATTTCGTCTTGTATCTCCTGTCGCTAACGCGTTTTCTTAGGGTTCTCCAAGAGTACTATGCGTCCCATCAACTCTCTAGCGCGTCTCAGTCCGCTATCTCCTGGATCGGATCACTACAGATCTGTGCCCTGTTCTCAGGCGCCCTCGTGGGAGGTCCTCTATTTGACCGATATGGAGCAAAGGTATCATAGAACAACGAGTCCTTTTAATATGCAGAAGGGTGGAAAGGAACTGACATATCCTTAGGTCATTTGGCCCTCAGCAGTGCTCTATGTTTTGTCCATCATGATGACGAGCATCGCGAAAGAATATTACCAGCTCATGTTAGCTCAGGGAGTGTTGGGTGGAATTTCGATGGGCATGACCATGTCTCCATCCATGGCTGCAACCCCGCAGTATTTCAACAAAAATCGGGGAGCAGCCATGGGTATTGCAGTCGCTGGATCTTCCGTTGGAGGTGTTGTTTTGCCAATTGTCCTCGGAAAACTACTCAATTCCACCACGATCGGTTTTGGATGGTCCATACGCATTCTTGGCTTCTTAATCTTAGCTATTCTGGCACCATCTTGCGCGGCGATCCGTGCTCGTCTTCCTCCTCGGAAAGGGAACTTCTTCCTCCTGTCTGCATTCAAGAAGCCGCTATACGTAACCATCATTACGTTTGCCTGTCTCATGATTCTCTCCATATTTACCCCAATATTCTATCTTCCGGTCTACGCTGTCCAGCACGGAATGGACGAGACGCTCGCTTCATACCTCATTGCGATCCTGAACGCCGCTTCTTTCCTCGGCAGAGTCGTCCCTGGTGTCCTAGCTGACAAATTGGGAAGCCTCAATGCGGTTATAGCATCCGGGGTCTCCTCAGGGATTCTCATACTCTGCTGGCCCAAAATTACGAGCAATGCGGGTATAATAGTCTTCGCTGGCCTTTTTGGCTTTTGTTCTGGTGCTATCATATCGGGTGTGGTTGTCTGCCTTTCGACAAGTACCGATGATCCAAAAACTATCGGTACATATATGGGCATGGGCATGGGCATTTCATCCATTGCTGGACTGATCGGTCCACCCATAACTGGTGCCCTGGTCAATAGGTACCACGGATTTGTCGAAGTATCTATTTTTTCCGGGGTGATGGTCCTTATTGGATCGGCCGTTGCTGTATTTGCAAAGACTTTAACAGACAAGGGAATATTTGGGAAAGCCTAGGCCCAGCCCAGCCACTTCCAGTTGCCTCTCCTATCCGTCCAGTGCTACCTATTGCTTCTAGTTTTTGTTTGTTAGAAATGGGCGGCGTTATGTGGTTTATCTCTCCTCTTTTCACGTGTTTATTTATGTTTATGTATGCATGAGTTCGTCGAAGGGTGGAAAAGGAAAGGTCGATCATTTTGTTTTATCGGGGGAAAAGGGAAGGGCGGGAATATATATCCGCCATGCACTTGTCCATCTAAAATCGGGCCCACTGATCTCGCAAATTGTTATTCAATGGTATACAGCTTATATATGTGTGCAGTTATAGGTGGGTCGGGTTACAGTGTGTTTGAACCCAACCCTCACAATAACCAGGTTATATGCAGAGGTGCAGTCACTCAGCCATCAACACCACTGCATATAACCTGATTATTGCTGGCATGTGTTCAATTTCATGTTCATACATACAGAATACTTGTATTTAGTAAGAGAAATACTATTAAATTCAGATACATGTGACTTTGTATACAGAAAGTTATATAATCACTAGCTAAATGATCTGTTTGACTTCACTTCTACTAAAAAGTTACTGATTTCAGATACTGTATAGAAGTACAAGTCAATTATCTGAGTATTGTACACAGTCTGTACAATTAGATCTAACTCTATAATAATAATATATATATATCTATAATAATAATGAAGAAATAGAGATCAAAGAGAGAGAACAGAACAGAACAGAACAGAAAAATGAAAGCTTTATATATACTCTATTTAATAAGAATAGAATTATTCTGTGTATTAGATTGAGTATCATAACTCACATCATCTGCTGCTGATGCTTGTAGCTGTGATGACTGTCTATTATAAAAATCATCATATATATCAGACTGATTCACAGAGCTGTGAAGAGAGCAGTGTGCTGTATGATTATATTATTTGCAGTTGATATATATTTCTTCAAAATGACTGTACATACAGCAGTACAATAAGAATAGTTTAAGCTCAGAGAATATACAATACTGCATACAGTCTGTGACAAGAGTTCTACTACAGAATTGAATTAGAATGATATTGATATATAATGAATGATGAAACAACACTTAATCAGCTCTGATATATATATAGATATATAATATATCAAAATCAGAAACAGCAAGCAGAGTATGAAATTAAGAACTATGATAAAATATACTCAGCTGAGAATTACTGATATATATTATATTATACTCTGATCATTTCTATCATTTATTTTAATGTTCAGCAGTTGAATAATATGAGTCAATCAATTCAGTCTGAGTCAGATTCTGCTGAGTAGTAATAGAATCATACAGAATAAGAACTCTTGCATTATAATCAACTTTCTATACTGTATAATAGAAGAGCAGAAAAGTACTCACATTATTTATAGAGAAAGAAGAGAGAGAAGAGAACACTGTTGAAGAGCAGAAGAGAGCTAATCTTCTTTTTTATGGAAAAAAAAAATCAAAAATCTTCTCTAACTACATACACAAGTCTCTGTCAGTGTTCTTCTTTGATATGATGAAATGAACATTTCATACAGCATATGAAGTGAGAAAAAGACAGAGTGAACAGTGAATGAGTGATCTTGATGAATTTCAATAAGAGAATGATAGATTCTGATGCAAAAGAGATTGTATATACTGATGAATAATAATAAAAAAGCTGAAGAGAGAAAGAGAAAAGAAGTTGAGAGAAGAAATAGAGAAAGAGAGGATTTTATAATCAACTTGTTGTTATTATTATTGTGAATGAAAGAGGAAAGCAGAAATATTTTGTGTATGAAAGAGAAAAGAGGGAAAGAGAGAATACTCACTCTTATAAATTCTGCTGAAGCAGTCTGTGTGTATAAATAAATAAATACTTAAGATTAAAAGATATATAATATAGTTAATATACACAGATTATCTTCTTGCTCTTCTGAGAAAGACAGAGAGCTTGTTCAGACTCATTTTTAATTGTACATATATCAACTCAAGCTTCTCTACAATCTCTAGAATAGATCTTGATTTCATCATACAGTGGCAGCTGAGTATCTTATTGATGATCATCTTTCACTGAAAAAAGAATATATACTCACTATTCTTCTTTCTTCAGCTAGATCTATATGATGACTTCAGATACTGCACAGAGAGCTGTTCATTCAATCTCTGTTCTCATTTCTTTCAAAGATTATTGACTGATTGAATTGTATAGAAGAGCTGATATATTCAAATATTATTCTCAGTTGACAATGCTGTAGTAGAAGTGGTGACAGCAGCAGCAGCAGTTGATAAAGAGAAGAATAAAGATATAGATACAGAGATGAAGAGAATCTTAACAGTATTTTTCTGTACACAGATAGAAACAGAGACAGACTGAAAGATTCAGAATTCAGTTGTTATTGTATCAATTCCACACTGAATTCTATCAATCTTCTTCTTCATTTATACATCTCTGATCTTTATCTGATTCATCATCACATTGATCTGTCTCTGTACAATGCTCAGACTTTTGAAAATCTGTGGCACTGACTATTGAAGTATTATCTTCTGTGAAGAAATAAAAACTGACTCTACAGCTCATATAGTATCTGCAAACTGCTTATACTTTGCATACTGAAACACTGAGTCAGTTCACAGTGAATGAGTTAGAAATTCTCTCTGAAAAAGAGCAGAGTTCTATAGTATCATTATACAAAGATAATCTAACAGCTGTAAAAACCTCTGAGCTGTAAAATCATCTGAGTTAAATGAATTTTCACTATCAAGCAGCTTCAGACTCACATCAGAGATCTCAGAAGAAATGATATAAAAGAATCTGTTCTCAGAATGAAATCAGATAAATCATTTATTCATTCATAATCAGAGAGATTTTCTCAACAGCTCTGATGAAGTAACTGTAGTTTATAGAAGATAGTAATTATTTGATAAACTAGAATTGAACTCTGCAATCTCTCATACAAATTTCTGATTGATCTGACTGAGATAGCAGCTGATCAAAAAGTTATTATTTCATTACTCAGCTCTGCAGATGCTGCTCTCATTCATTTTATTAAACTCTATCTTCTATACATCTATAAATTATTCAGTATGAGTCTTCTTTATCATCTCTGACATGTCTGTGTATATAAAGAGTTTGTTTATTCATTTGAGATGAGTTCTGTAGAAGATCTGCTTGTACAGATTCTTATTTTTGAGTAAATGAATATTATATCAGAGCTGATAGTAGTGAAACTGAGACAGAGACTCTTATATAATATTTCATCTATAGAATAGATAGAATGCAATCTGTGATATTGAACAAAGAATATAATTTTTATATTATACAACAGTTGAATATTTAAGTCTGTTATTCTAATTTATTTTATTATTACTTATAATCTGAATAAAAGATCAGCAGAGTGTTAATTTCTTATTTAACAGTTTAATTATAAACAGATCAGTCAACTGCACTTTTTATCTGAACTGCTCTCTCAGCAGTATATAATGATTTATAAGAAAGTCAGCTACTGTACAGAGAAGAGACTCAACTGTATGTCTTTTATTTCTCTGTCATCTCTTTCAGCACTGATATATAAAGTTCATTATATTCAGCTCAGTATAGCTGTTCATCAGAGTATCTACATCTCTATTCATAAACTTCATACATCTCTATATATATTTTATAGATCTATAAGTTTTTAATATATTATTTAAGATCTGATCAACTGAGTGAGAATAAGAGTTCTTCTATCTACTCTACTGTATACAATACAGATCAATAAAAACTGTTCAATACTGCTTGATCAGATTCTCTTCTATTGTCTGCACAATCTCTTCTTTTTCAGTATTCATACACTTTCTTTTGAGATGATCATCTCTGAGTGAATAATTGAGAACTCTCTCATTAAAGAATCAGATTGTCTTCTGCTCAGAGATAATCTGATCATCTGAAAACTTCTTTTCATTATACTATTTCTATTATATAGATAGTGAAGATTGAGCAGCAGTGAGAAGTTAGTCTATCAAATTTCATCTCTCTTCATACACAGAAATAAAGAAGAAATAGAAATAAAATAAATTTATATATTATCATTCATTCATTCTGCTTCTCTGTGTATACTATCTGTGTATTCTTTGATCTGCTTTGTTTGCTGATTCTCAGTGTATTCTCTCTCTGTGCTATCATCTCTATAATAAGATTATACTGTAGCTGTTTCTGTGCAGCAGCTGCTTCAACAGCAGTATCAGCAGCAGAGATTATTATCAGTCTTTCTCACTCATACAGAGATGCAAGAGTTTCAAAGTAGATAGATAAGAATAAGAATAGTTAAGAATAGAAATCAATACAAAAGCAGAGGGAGAAGAATACAGTAGTGAAGTGATAATTATTAAATACACATTCAGAGAGAAGCTGATACAGTCATCATACATAATATTACAGAAAAGTTATCTCTTTTATATGATCAAACAAGATAGCTCACTGTACAGAACATGTATGGGTTATTTGGGGGCCTTGGCTGAACACCATAGAAACATGTGTTTGAACACAGGCAAATCCACCTTCATATAACCACTAGTTATTGTTATTTACTGCTATCATTTGCTGCTCGTTTTATTTATACCTGTACCTTATCCATGTTACTAGCCTGTCTGATGTAGGTAGCCAAATAATTTTTAATTTTGACCGTGCCGCCCCCACATTACCTCCCTTACTTCCATCCCGTCCAGCTCTCATCCCGCTCCCCCTGCGGAAGACTGAATCGACCTTAATGAAATTATTGGGAAATATACCACTATCACCTAATTCCACTTGATATCACATTATAAGTACATAGCCAATCTTTATTGAATACTGATTAGATTGATGAAGATTGGTTATCTTTAGTACTGTGTGAATATCACACTGTCTTACTAGATTCCCCTAGCAGCCTTCTGGAAGTCAAACACATAGCTGAATTTCAAGGGCTAAATGCATCCCTAACTCCACATTTTCTTAAGTGAAGAGTACCTGTTCAGATCTATTATAGAGATGCAGTGCATAAGGGCACTGCGAAAATAGACAGGGAAAAGATTTGAAGCCTGTGTAGATGAGAGAATATACAGTGAGTGAGCAAGCAGTCAGCTCGCGAGCTAGCTAGCAATTTCTATTTCTATTGAGTTCAGTGGATAGCTTGCTGCCTCTCTGCTCTATCTCCTCCAGATCTCTATTCCAGTGGAGGTTGCTGGCTAGCTAGCCAATTGCTTGCTCACTCACTGTAAATTCTCTCATCTATACAAGCCCCGGCACTTCATTTTATTTAATTTTTTGCAGTGCTCTTAAGCTCCGTACTTTCTATAGTTAATACCCGGGAGGATGACCACCCCCAGCCAGTCTTCCCCCACCAGTTAAAATAATGCAGAACTGGAAATTCATATATCCTTAAATTTAGAGCTGTGTTAGCCCAGCCCCAGGCTGCCTCTAGTATTTGAAATTGAAATGTTAATTGTGGTAAAAGGTAATTTACACCTGCATTTCAGATAAAATCATCAAGCTGAATTCGCATTTCCGTACCCCCTTTCACCGGCTCTACACCAAATTCCGACGCCGGAACTGCTGCACCGCCGCACCGGCAGCGCATTCGATGTTCCTCCCTACCGAGCCCGGTGCTGCAGCTGGTGCCTTTGGACATGTACCCACTTCAACGTAGCCCGCGTCAGCTGTCTTATGGGTCACGTTGCCAACCTCACGCCCGGAGAATTGGAGACTCCGATATCGCTGCTAATGCAGCTGCCGACTCTACATGCGTTTCCCGGTTCGCGCAGGAGCGGACTGGTCCATTTTTGTATCACAAGAGAACATGCTATTCTTGCGAGCGTTGCGGGAGGCGGTGGTGATGGAGGACGCAGCGCGGTAACGTCATCATTCCGCACTTGTTGGTAAAGCCTTATGAAATGGCACGGCCCGGTGGGATGGGATGGGTGCGACGGATTTGCCGTATTGGGAGGCGCAGGGGCAGATGGCGAAGTATGGGATATATTGTGATCCGTGCACGCTTCAGGGAGAGTATGAACATTGGTATGAGCAAGGGGACGGCGCGGAGGAGGAGCGGGGGCGGAACTATTTTGGGATGTTGGTGACCCTGGGGACAGGAGGTGGGAACGTCACGCATTTATATGAAGGATATTTGTGCGCACTTTGAGGCGGGCGAGCTTCGGAGGAAGGGTTATGTGTTTGGGACGAATCATGGGATGACGCGTGGTACTGGGAATGAGACTGATTTTGGATTGATGCAGATAGCAGCATCGGGTACCGGCTAGGGAGACGTTAAACTACATTGTTTACGCTGTGGAAATGCAAAGGTAAATAGTTAGATAAAATACTCTATATTCGTGAGCCAACTTCAATATTTTGAGTTAACGAAAAATGGAGGTTGGGGGTTGGGAGCTAATCGACAATATAACGAAAAGTCGCAACTGCACATTAGTACTCACCTTCCCACATCGTCGTCATATGTCGTGAAATACAAATTTTGTGTATCCAAAATCCTATATACATAGTTCATGTGCATGCCATCAATCCCGGCAGAAACTCAAGCGCCCATTCCGGTCCCGTCGGCCAATTTTGGCAAAAACGCGCCACTACTTATATTGAACCCAGCGTGCGCAAACAGATCCTCCCAGACGAGGTTATCAGTAAATAGTGGTGTAGCAGTACTCTGGCCTTCCATCGCCATAAAGGTCTCGATGTTATTCTGTGTAGAGGTTGTAAAAATGTTGTTATTCCGAGCTTTAAGAATTGGACATGGATTGAGGTCCAGTGGCGGGCATGCTCGCTGTGACAGCTGTGTGTTTGCTTGAACTTGAGGGAATTGGTGTGGGTCCGGCTGTAAGGTTATTTGGGCTTGATTGGTATTGGGTTGGTCGAAGTGGTTCTGGTGCAATTGTTGCTGCTGCTCTCGATTTTGTGGAGGGGGAAGCGAGTTTTGTTGATATCCCTGCACATTTCCGGAAACTGTTGGGGGGGATAGGGGCAGAATTGCTTGGGGAGGGGAAGTCGATCGTTGAGATGCCGTATTTCCTCCCTGGTGTTGGGGAGGAGGTAACTGACGAAGACGATATTCTAGGTTCCCTCTTTTCTCTAGAAGTTGGTGTTGCTGTTTCAGCCATTTGTTTGATGGGAATGATGGTTCCTCCTTCGACTTCCGGTACTGCGCAACTACGTTTGCGAGGAATCTGCTTTGGTGGTAGGAGCTAGTGTTTGTAGCTTGGCCTCGTGTGCTGAAGGTTTTGCCAGTTTCGCTGATGAGTTCGAGGATCAGGCTTTCGGATTCGACAGGGAGCTCCCCCGGTAAAGAGAGCAAGATCTATTTGCTTATCAGTGATGGGAAGAGTTGTGATGATGAAAAGCTATCCCAGAGGGTACGCGAATAAAACGGGCAATGATGGAAACCAAACACCAGAATAATGGAGATAGCATACCTTGATCATAACCACAGCAGCATACGCGACCATCACATGAACAGAGTCTTGACAGTAAGGCGAGTGGGATGTTACCCCAAGTCTGTCAACAACTAAGCGAAGCATATCCAAGGAACTGGTATAGCAAACCCAGAGTGCTTGTTTGGAAATATTCCCACTCAGGATTGAGAGCTGAAGTCTAAAGGAGTGCAAGAGGAGTCGAAGATGCGTTCCGTAAAACCGGATGATAAAGCGATGGGCAACATTGGTGCTGACTAGAATATTGAAAAAAAAAAAAAAATGAATGCTGTTAGAATCATATTACAGATATTCCTCCACTTGCTAATACTAATGGCAGGATCTCTATGCGGTTAAAAGGAGAGAAGTAATGCCATGAAAGAGCCAGTGGTCAAAAGAAAGCTATAGTCTGGAAAACATACCTTCTTCGACAATCTTGTACCATTTAGCCTCCCATCTATCCAACTCGCCGTTGAAGAGCTTCAAGATAACTTCATTCTTGATAATCGATTGTGCAGTCGTGGCAACTGGATCGATCCAGAAGAGCTCTACAATCTCAGACCCAAGGATGCGGAGCTGTACGAACGCAGACATGATTTGATCACAACCAGGCACCGCGTAGACATGTTGGTGCCAAGTTTCTGCGCTTCGAATCAGGGAATCAATTTGAATCATCCATGGCTTCCCCAGTTGTAGGCTCACACTAAGTTGAAGGATTAGACATTGGATAAATTATCGACGAGATATCGCCAGGTGAAATAAGATACGAATTATGATAAAAACGAAAAATATACGTACCTTCTGTCATACACAAATAACATAAGCCAACTTCGTTCTTTACTTCGCAGCTCGCGGACTTCAATCTCTGATTCCATTGGTTCTCGCGTTGAGCCTTCAGTGTGATGTAGAGGCGGTGGCTTAAACTTGTGCCAACCCATTTCTATAGCCGCCCGTATAGCGTAACCCACCAGGAGCCATGCCCGTGAATCACTTGGTTCTTTCCAATAGGTCAAAAGACAGATTCCCTGCACAATTTCTGTAGATATTTTTCCGGAGCTTAGGACATCTTTGAGGATGTGTTCTACATGTTCATGAAGTTTAGAGTATAAGGATGGCTTGAAAATCTTTGCTGCCGCAGCAAGGACGGCGGAAAACAGAAAAGATGACCGCGTCCGTATGTACTTAAGTGTGTGTAGTCTTGGATCAAATTGGCAGATGAAAGGGTTCATGTAATTGAAAAAGCTATACCATGGGATATATATAGTCAGTCATGTTTTATGATGTCACACCAAACAGTGCTCTCAACACAAGAGTTAATTGAGAAAAAAGGGAAAGTTGCTTACTTTTCAAACAAAATGCGGGACGTAGGAAGATCAACAATATCGAGGTTTATAGGATCGTTCATATCATTGACGTAGTTTTCATCTGTTGCAAAGCTTCGGGCTCTGTATTCCGAAGCATGATGTGTGGGAGATTCGTCTTCTGCATTGAGTACGTTTGCGATGGAAAATTTTCCAGCCGTAGCGGATTTTGGGAGCCAGCCATATGGCGCAAGGCTATCAGATGCCAGAGAAGGCTCTGAACACTCCTTTCGTTCTACACTCGCTGGCACATCTCTATCCGTTGATGGGGTAGACGGTGCGCGGTATGTTGATTCAAGATAGCCTCTCTCCTGAGTTCGTTCCGGTTTTGGACGCAACCTGCAGCAACAACCAAATAATTAGCAAAGGGAATATATCAATGGCGATAAGATGATATTTCAAATCGGGTAGTCTCTGGTCGTAAAACCCCACCCCGAGTTCCAACAAATCTCATTTCGCCTTTGATATAGAAAGGAGCAGTGGTCGAAAACAGTAGAAAACCCCAAGGTTTGCCACGAAAACCATCACTCACCTTGTGCCGGGTTTGCGGCCACGTCGGTGTGCTTCAAAATAACAAGTCAAAGACTTGCGCTTGCAACGGGAGCATATGGTCGAGTTTAACTCGCGAGTACATTTCATCTTGACAACACGGCATGGTGTGCACGCCACCATGGACGGGTTTGCTGCACCAGGCGGCATAATAGGCAAAATAACAGACACAATGACAATTCGAACTTATTAGAAAACAAAGGGCGAATTCATTCATTTCTCCTCTTCGGTACAATGTCGTTGTCGCCGCCGTCGTGGTTCCAGGGCAGAGCCAGGAGGGTGTAGGTGGCGTAGGGCCAAATAATTGTTAGATCCAGCTGTCCGTGGTTAGCGGGACTTCAGGCGAAACAGGCCAGAAGAAGAACTAGATAACCAGCTGCTACTCGCTCCGGGCTCCATGCTCAAGGGACTGCCGATCTAACTTTAGATCATCATGTCGAGGTAACAAAATGCCCGCCGAACTATTGTAACTGCTTGAAGCCGAGGAAGCCCAGGCCAGAACGGGCAAGGTCTGGCGCCAGCCCTGGAACACCGGAGGAGGCCACGGCTTTTAAAGAAACCTCGGTGCCTGGGTATCCATGGGCCATCCTCTGCAGGGTCACTTTAGTTCATTCGCGTGGAAAAAATGCGGAGGTTTAAACCTTCATGTAGCTCAAATGATGCGGAAGGAATGTATCAGCGTACCGGTAGTCAATCTCTATACTTTGTTTCCGCCACCACAAGCCGCATTCGACTTGTGCCAGAGTTGATCGTTCGCACATGTTGAATTGAAATGAACAGTATACTGGAAATCTCGTGGGCAGAACTTTTGAATTTGTAGCGACACCACGAGGTTGCCCCATAGGCATGGATCCGCATCATCTCGCCCTCGAATCCATAGAACCGAAGCTGTTCCACAAACAATCCAACCAACCAACGTCTTGACGTTGTGGCGGCCAAGACGCCAGGATGCTGTTCCAAAACCACTAACTCGTCTCTTATTAACCTTGTTCGAAGCTTTCCTTGGACGCCGGCATTTTCTCCCCACCGCCGGCCCTACAGCCTGCAGGAGGTGCATCGGTGACAATCGTCAGCACTTTAGCGCGAGTCTAATTTATTCCGTAACTGGAAAAAGAATGCGCGCCTTGTCGTGGAGGCCGTAAGAAGAATCCCGATAGCGTTGCCGGTAGAAATCCCTGACCCTCGTCCGCAGATTCGGCTGTTTCTGTTGACTTTATTTGATCGACGCAGAGTTCCTTTATATAACTAGAGGATAAGCCAGCACTAACTAATGAACTTAGCGGATAATGTCATTGGCAACAATAACTAAATCACAAAATAATAACTATTCAAAACCTGGCCCCAGCTTTGCCTGCGTCGAGTATAAACATATTGCTTTCTGCCTCTAACCAGAGCTGCATCCCAAGCTCGCATGGACGTCAACAGAATAAACGGAACGGCGGCGAGGGTTTCTCACGTCAACCTCATGACAGATACGCTCATCACAAACCTCAGTCCAGATGCACTGAGAGTAATCCTTCGCTCAATGCTCGCAGCAGATGAGAACGGCCAGCTCACGCACAAGCTGCAGCATCACGTGCAGAAATACCTGCGACGCGATCTCCAGAGAACACAGAGAACGTCCATCCCCGCATTATTTTCGGTGGTCGACAAGTCATCGTCGTCATTTTCGATCCCGACGCCAGAATTGGCGAAACTACGAAATCGTATATGCACTCTGCTCGGCTCAGGCCTACCGTTCGAAAGTCTACAGCTCCTGGCAGAGGTAGTCCGGCAATCTTGCGGACTTGAACTTGATGATACGGCACTGGAAGGTGAAAGTCTGGTGCTTGCGCTAGCTGCTGTAGATGGGGACTTAGTCCAGGCACTTACGGCGGTGCAGAAGCTGGCGATACTCCACGATTGGGCAAATGGAGGGATGCCTACTGCTCAGCGTCAGGTGTTGTTGAGGCTTCGGACAGACCTTGAGAATTGCAGAGAACAGAGTGAGGGAGTGGGAGGGGAATTCGGGTTTGGAAGAGGCTCGGTGATGCTGGAGAGTATTCTCTCGCAGATGTGGGAATGAGAAGAACGAGGACGGGGAAATATATTGACCAGTTTCCTTTTTGTTCCCTTGTTGGAATGCTCCAGATATCCAAACCTGCCTTCTGATATCCATTTCTTGTCTTCATCATTTATCCTCTACATGCACAGTACATATCACAGTACATATCACGTTCGGCCATTTTCACACTTTTATCATGTAGAAATGATGTAGTATGCAATCAACCTCAAATGCGCTAGACCATATACCATTCCATTCTTTCTCTCTCAGCTGGCTACATTGAATTTGCAACATCGATCATCCTTCTAACACGGTTCCCCATTTATGATAAAAGTTACTATATTCTTCCCTGCGCATATAATCCGAAATAAATCTTCTACGAAACTGTGAAAACCTCAGCGACCTCCACCGCTTCAGGGACTACTCGCCCCTCAAAGCATACAGGCGAAACTATTTACTTTACTTGTCCGCAGTCAAAACGGCATTTCCATCATGTAGCCCGAATATGCATTGGCCCACTTTTATCCACCCTAGGACCCTAGAACCCCGACTTATCTCGGTCTCCGAAGCCACCTGTTTGTGTTCCCCTTTAATTGCCGCCGAGAATCAGTGCCGACCCAGCGGGTGGAATTACTGTATCCGGCTCGCCCCAATCTCGTTAGCTGACGACTTCTGCTTCGTGTACGCTGCTCGGATCCCTGGTCAATAAATATTTATAACTACTCGTGCTATCTACAAACGATAATATCATGCAATCTGTAACGTCAGCTTTAAGGATGTTCTAATTTTTATATCGCTTCTTTTTTCCTTTTTTCACCATGGCCACAATTGACTCTGAAATCGATGTTTCGGCTATGAAAACGCGGCCCCTTGAGGGAAATGCCAGCGCGATTGAGTACTTCCAGCTGGAGTCGTTCGTAGTTCCAAGGTTGATGATCGGGCTGTGGCAGCTATCAAGTCCAGCATGGGGCTTCGCCAGTAAATCGAAGATGTTGAGCCAATTCCAGAAACATGTCGACTCCGGGTTTACTGCGTATGGTGAGTAGAGCGGCCTACACTTGTGCTATTCATCTGTACGGATTTTCCAATAGCCTATGGACCATTATATGTGATGATTGTATACCAATCATGAACGGTAACAGATTTGAGTCATTGTGCTGTGCTTGAGAGGGGTGCTAGCATCATTCATGTCAAGAGATTCCTTGAGAAATTGTCCTAACTGGCTCGACGAGCAGATATGGCTGATCACTACGGTGATGCCGAAATTATCTTTGTGAGTCGGGAGAATAATCTACATGTACCTTTCTCTTGTGAATGTTTCGAAAATAAATGAACGAAAGAAGGCTAATCGAACCCACTACAGGGGCAATTCCGATCTTCATATTCAGGACCAAAATCCACCTTCTGTGCAACCAAGTACTGCGTTTTTGAGCCTATCACGGTGACAGAAGATGGAATGCGCAATGCCGTCTCGCAGCGCCTGGCAAATATACAGTCGGACAAAATCGATTTGCTCCAGTTTCATTGGCAAGATGTGTGTTTTCTACCTCCATATCTCTGTCATTGTACATGGACTGTACACCTGAATGTACCTGTGCATTATTTATATCATTCATACAATTTTTGTCTTCGAGGAGAGACGGCGCCATACTTCTACAAATCTCATATACAATTCGTTTCTGTTATCAGCAAATGAAGTCTGCCATTCTAATTTGCTGTCCATCCAACAGTATAATAACTCGCAATATATCCGTGCTCTCCAGTTTCTCCAAGACGATGAGCGCGTGGCTGCACTGGGTCTGTGTAATTTTGACACGAAGCGAATGGAAGAGGTTATCAGTGTTGGTGTGAAGGTCGCGACAAACCAAGTGCAGGTAACACTATATCAAGAATTTCTACTCTTGGATGATGGGAGACCCGGTACCTTAATATTATACAATCACCGATGTTAACTGTGAACGCAAAATTCATAAATCGCCCCCAGTTTTCACTCATCGATGCCCGACCAACATACGCTATGGCAAAGGCATGCGAAAAACATCACATCAAACTCCTAACCTATGGGACATTGGTAAGACCGCTCTCCCCATCACCGCTGGACTCGTTAATATGCCACATGCTCTGAACCACTAACTCTCTCCCGATATTTAGTGCGGCGGTTTCCTCTCCGAAAAATGGATCGCAAAAGACGAGCCAGATCCATTCAGCACAGACATGACCCCCAGCCTGCGAAAGGTACGTATATATAACATACACACATGGCTGCGCACATAACATAACAATTCGCTCTCATAATTCAGCCCAATTCATTTCCCCCTCCCCACCAACCCCCCCTCTTTCTCCAAGCCCATAAATAAAAACCTAAAACCAACACCTGGCATAGTATCTCGAAATGATAAACATCTGGGGTTCATGGCCCCTCTTCCAAACCCTCCTCCGCACCCTCTCAGCAATCGGGCGCAAGCACGATGTAAGCGTTTCCGCCGTCGCGATACGGTGGGTGCTCGATTTCAGTTACGTGGGGGCCGTGATCGTGGGGGTGCGTATGGGCGTCAGCGAGCATACGGAGGATAACTTGGCAGTGTATGGGTGGCGGTTGGACGCGGAGGATACGAAGATGCTAGAGGAGGTGTTGTGTCAGAGTCGGCGTGGGGATATGTTTAGCGATATGGGGGATTGTGGGGCGGAGTATCGTGGGTAAATCAACTGTTGTCGATCTAGTAGTGGTGTTGTTTGTTTGGGAAATATGGAAAGGGAGACGAGGAATGACGCAGTGTCCGATGAAAGGAGAAATGCATAGGCATAATAAACACAAACGTAGTCAATGAACACCTTGATTAATTAACCTCCAAAATGCAGTGTACTGTACAATAATAATAGCTATTGACGGTGAAAAATGATAGGAGCAAAAATCAATGCTGATCTGTACCGTAGTCCAATCCTACACGAACACTCGGAAAATCCCCATCTAAAACAAACCCTCAACTAAAAGGGAATAATGAATATACAGGAACCACGACGCGGGACTGCGCGGGTAAAAACTAAAGTGAATTAATTGCACAGTCCCCAGAGCGCACCATACCGATTGAGACTACGATCAAACCTCCCCACCGACAAACCCATGGATATAAGATGGTAAAGCAAGTGATGAAACAATAAACAAAACGTTTAGCGTTCTTATGCTTAGGAAATGCATCTCTTCCATAATTTGGAAATGAAGGCAGTTAACGAAGGCTTCATTGATCTTCGCACATTGACTAATTGGCACATCATCGGTAAGATCGTGACAACTTAAGTAGTGCGTGGCATGTATAAATGTGTGTGTGTGTGTGTGTAGATAGAAAGTTCAGACGGAGGAAGTTGGGTAAGGACCAAGGGCATGAGGTGAAGCGTTCTTTCTATTTATCAACTCGCGAGGCTGTGCAATTTTGCAACAGGAGGGGTATAGAACACAAAACAGATATCTGAAAATCAATCTTCCTTCTTGGAAGTTGGCACTTCCCGTGAATCTGCATGCAAGGTGTCCTCGGGTTCATCATCGTCTTCTAATGGGACATCCAAAACGCGATCGCCAGCTTTCTCAAGCATTTTACGGCTCCATGCCCGTATGCCTTTGTATACAGTCTGTAGGTCCCGATCAGTAACTACCAAGAGGAAGAACGAGTGGGGGAAACTTACCCAAAGGAATGTCATCACTCCTATCAAAAGAACGACCCAGCCGACTTGGGCGGCCCGATCCCTGCCAGTTGCAGCGGGCCTCCGCCCGCCGCCAACAAGGTTTGAATTGCGTAAATTCCACCACTGCCATGGAGAAAGCGCAAATATCACTTTTACAAATGACAAAACCCCTAGAGACGCAAGCCCTTTGAAGAAATGTTCAGGCCATGTTGTCCTTTCCGGAGCACCTTCGTCGAGATGGATGATCTTCTCTGCAGCATCGGGATCATATAAACGTGAAAGTATGGTGTTAAACGGATCAATATACAGGTTGATTATCGGGTCAGCAACAAAACCAAGTAGGAACATCGCAAGCAAAAGTATAACGCCTGTGAGAGCAAGCTGAGTTGCGGTGCTCGTGATCCATCGACCCCATCTCATTCTCTCAAGCCGATACTGAAAGCCACACGTGGGACACTGCCAATAGTTCCTCTCCGAAAATGCAGCGTCCGCATGTCGCCATGCATTCAAACAGCCTTCATGCACATATCTCGATGATCCTTTGCATTTGCAAGGCTTAATGAGACGCCCTAGCTCGGGGTCTGACGACTCATAAGTAACTCGAGGAGTGGACTGGAGGAAATCCGGAAGATCCTCCGAGACCGGCTGGAAGGTGGGGTGAACAACTTCCAGGCAAATACGGCATGTTCTGGAAGGATAGTATCTGGATGAGCCGGAAGATGCGGACGAAGAAGGTCTTCCTCACTTGGGTTCCTGTGCACGTGGTTGGGTCTGGGTATTATCAGTCTCTTTCGATTGCCGTTGTGAGCTATTTGTAGCTTCAGCTGTAGGGTTCCGTTGCAAACTCTGGCCACTGCCACTGTGGCTCAGTTCTTTGAGCAGAGCGAAGCGACATCCTGGACTTGTAAGGAGAGAAAACAAAGGGCTTTGCCGATTGGGTATTAAAGATAGATGTACAGGATACAACAGGAACAAACTAACGAGATAAACAGCAGTACAAATGCTCAACCAGCTTGTAGCCCTGGCTGCTTAGTTGGCCACCGTTGCAGTGGGGTAAACATCCTGCGCTTGCAGCGGAGCAGACAGCTTGTTGTTGATGATGTTGATGTGGACAGGTATGCAAGGAATGAAGATGTGGTGGTGAGAGAGTAAAAACCTCCGCTAAGCCACAACAGGTATATTAGGCGTTACTACTACTATTGGTTGTTATAACCGCTACACGCGGCTAGAGCCTGCCGCGTCAACCAGCCGGTGAGCCTACGGGAAGCGCAGGAGCATTCAGCTTGTGCTCAGTCACTTTCTGCAATCAAATTCCTGTCCCATTTGACGTCGTGTGGTTTTGCGTTTCTCCCTCTCCCGAGCCCGTTGCTTGTGTATTTCTTCTCACCATGGCCGATCGTTATTCATTCTCTTTGACTACGTTTTCTCCCAGGTATGTTCCTATTGCCAACACATGTGCTGTTTTGCGAGCTCAAGTTACTAACAACGACCGTAGTGGGAAGCTGGTTCAGATCGGTATGCAGATATGTCATGGTATATACTAGTTTTATATCGACTAATTTCCTGTAGAATACGCTTTAAATGCCGTTAACCAAGGCGTTACTGCGTTGGGTATCAAAGGTAATAACACTCAAGCCGCCTTGAAGCTCTGCACTGTATCTAAGCTTGCCATCGCATTACTGACTGCTTCCCTAAATTTTCCTTTGGCAGCTACAAATGGAGTCGTCCTTGCCACAGAGAAAAAATCGTCTTCGCCCCTGATAGACCCTCCTTCTCTGTCAAAAGTCTCCCTAATCACCCCAGATATCGGCATGGTCTACTCTGGAATGGGTCCCGATTACCGTGTCCTTGTCGATAAGGCCCGGAAAACCTCCCACACTGGTTACAAACGCATTTACAATGAGTACCCGCCAACTAGAATATTAGTCCAGGATGTTGCCCGAGTCGTCCAAGAGGCTACGCAGTCCGGGGGTGTCAGGCCATATGGCGTCAGTTTGCTAATCGCGGGCTGGGATGACGGGGTCGAACCTACAATTGCAGAGAGCGAGTCAGATACGGACAAGAAGAAAGTATCGGGGAAAACGGGCGGAATTCTCAAAGGTGGCCCTAGCTTGTACCAGGTCGATCCTAGCGGCAGCTATTTCCCATGGAAGGCCACCGCCATTGGGAAGAGTGCGACCAGCGCGAAGACCTTCCTCGAAAAGAGATACACAGATGGTCTTGAGCTGGAAGATGCTATCCATATTGCACTTCTCACGCTAAAGGAGACCATTGAGGGTGAAATGAATGGTGAAACCGTAGAAATTGGTATGTCGTACCCAACCCCCTTATCGACTACTACGCCTTTCTTGTAGGGTGCAACTAACAAATTATACAGGTATCGTTGGACCCCCGGCCAACCATCTATTGGGATATGAGGGCGTTGAGGGCGCCAGGGGCCCACGGTTCCGGAAACTGACCAAGGAGGAGATTGAGGATTACTTGACAAACCTATGATAGACTTTATGTTTAGCGCACCATAATCAGTCTCTTTTGATTCCCTTTTTTATTTTATATGTAGCTTCGTAGTGTTGCTTATATTCTGTCAGCTCTTTCAAAGGCAAATCATAAATGTCCATGTCACAGGCATAACGGCTCGCAGTCCACTTGACTGCTGAGGTGACCGAATGGCAAAATTAAATCTACGTCACGATTCTGTTGAATTTGGTTCAGAGAGGATTCTCCATTGAAAACACATCCATTCATCCACAAAGGCTAGGATTAGGGATTAGGGATGCTTAAGTGCAAAGGCCTTAGTTATATATGAAAAGAAAAAATAAAAGGTCTCACACATGGGAGACAGTTTGTGAATCATGTGAAAGTTTTTCCGGCCGGGATCTTGAAGGTAGTTATTTATTTACGCACAGAACCCCTGCGCTGCACAGTACGGGCCAATGGGCCCCTCTTGGGATTTTTGAGGCCTCCAATCGTTTTTCTCAACTAGGAATTATTTATATGACAGAATATGTTCCATCAGATCAGGAATTAACCCCGCCAAACTTCCAAAAATATTCCGCACTTTCGCTCCCTCAAACGCCATCATCCATCCCCGAATGCCAGCCCCTCGTGCGGATAGCCGAAATGGTCGGAAGCGACGCAAAACCCTGACAGAATCCAATCATGTCCTTGCGGATTCGAAATTGGTCACTGGGGTGATTGAAAATGGTTTAAATTCCACCCCGGTTATCAAACCTCGAGCCTACCAGCTGGAAATGCTGGAGGCGAGTCTACGCGAGAATATCATTATTGCCGTGAGTGGATTCGCAGATTGACTTGTTTCCCAATACTACCCAAATGTGCACAGAATGTAATAATTCTAATTATACGGATTTGCAGATGGACACGGGAAGCGGCAAGACTCAGGTGTAAGCGCATTTGTTTTCTCTGCTGTAGCCATGTTAGGCTTTAAACCTACTAGTACTACAAGCACATATAACAAGCCTCTACCACACTATTATGCTCCCAACTTTGGCTGCTCTATATAAACTCCTGCAGGAAGAGCACATACGTATGTGCTTCATTCCCTTTCATATCTGACCACCCTGTGGACATATAGGGCAATTCTTCGAATCAGACATGAACTTGAAACATGCGCTGCGCACAAGGTTGGTGGCACTTCAGTCTTTCATTGATGACTGAATCCCCATAAAACATAAAAACTAAAAGCTAAAACATACAAATCATAAAAATTATAACGATATATAGTTCGTCTGGTTTTTGACCCCCACTGTCGCTCTTGCCGAACAGCAGCATAAAAGTATATCCGAGCAGCTCTCTGCATATGAAACAAGACTCCTTTTAGGTTCGGACAATGTGAATTACTGGTCGACCAAAAAGATCTGGGACGATATACTGTTGAATATCAGAATTGTTGTTTCAACCCCTCAAGTGCTTCTTGATGCCATGACACATGGGTTCGTAACCATGCCTCAAATCGCTTTACTTGTCTTCGATGAGGGTATGTACTTGAACATCGGGAGTGCCCCTGACCAATCTGTATTCGTTGTTAGCTAATCCCAGTTCCAGCGCATCATTGTGCCAGAGGTGAGGCACCTAACAGCCTAATGCGGCGATTTTATCATGAGCAGCTGCAAAGAACAGGTACAATGAATGATCTTCCTCATATCTTGGGGCTGACTGCTAGTCCCCTCACTAAGATAGATCCTAAAAATTTAAGGCATGTCCTCCTTTCATGGATGTTATATGTACTGTACATCCGCTAACTGGACTAGCGCAATTGAGGACAATCTGAACGCACGTTGCGAGACGCCGAGGATCCATCGGGAAGAGTTGATGCGATATGTTCATCGTCCAGAACTCTGTACTGTGAATTTCCAGGAAGATGATTCACTAGGTTCAGACATTTTACGAAGCTTACATGAAATCCTCCAAGCTGTCGATATGGAACAAGATCCCTGGATCAAAAAACTTAGACAACAAAAGGACCAAAGAAGCCAAGTAAATTTGCTGAATGCTCTGGAGAAGCGTAAAACATTTTGTATGGCTCAGATGTCTAAGCTTCTAAGACAAGCCGTTAGTATCCATGAGGATTTGGGACAATGGGCTGCAGACGCATTCATTTCAGAAGTCTTAAAAAGACTTGAGACCAAACGAGCCAGGCAGCCAACGGACATTCTTGATACACTAGAACGAAAAGAAGCGAACTTTGTCTTTGAAACTCTATCGCAATTGCCAATACAGCCTGGTAAACAGTATTGGGATAGCGAGCCCGATCGAGTCTCTGGGAAGGCCAATCTCCTTATAGACCTTTTGGAGAAGGAGTATACATCAGATTTTACTGGGATTATATTTGCCCAACAAAGGTCAACCGTTACAATGCTTGCACATCTCATTTCTAGACATCCCCGGTTGAAGCATATGTTTGTATCTGGTGCTTTTTTGGGTGATTCTGGCTATGCGGGTCGAACATCAACGATAATCGAACTTCACGACTTGAAGACTCAAAAAGGCTCAATAGATGACCTACGGTCCGGGAAGAAAAATCTGCTTATCGCAACATCTGTTCTTGAAGAAGGCATTGATGTGTCAGCCTGCCATCTTGTGATCTGTTTCGATACCATCAACAATCTCAGGTCTTTTATTCAGAGAAGGGGCCGGGCCCGGAAAGAACGCTCTAAATTCGTCATGTTTCTGAATGGTGACGATAATTCCCAAGGAAATAAATGGACCAAAATGGAAGATGTCATGAAGAGTATGTACGAGGAAGATATGCGCAGGCTCGAGGATGTTTGGGCGAAAGAGAACGTCGAAGAGGAAAGTGATGAAGATCACCGGATTGAATCCACAGGGTATGTGGTCTTGACACTACTCTTATCCAGTTTCTACCCTTCTTTTCCCCCCGATGCTAAAGTGCAGCAGTGCTCTCTTAACTTTTGAGAATGCTCGACCCCATTTGGAACATTTTTGTGCCACTCTTCAATGTGAATTCACAGACACTCGGCCTGTTTTCATGTTCCGTGAAAACGAACTAGATGGGATGGTCACTGCTAAAGTCTTACTGCCCAACGTACTCGATCCCAAATTTCGAGTAATAAAGGGCTCTAAATGGTGGAGAACAGACCAGCTCGCCCAGCGCGATGCTGCATTCCAGGCATATCTTAAACTTTATCAGGAGGGTCTCGTCAATGACCATTTGCTACCAGTACATTGCATGACTATGGAGCATCCAGCGCTGGAATACTCTGAGAAGGGGCCCAATCTTGTAAAGGTAGCCGGACGTTTCAATCCGTGGCGTATGATTGCAAATAACTGGGAAACGACGAAAACTTTCTATCAGAGTCTGATCGAAATATCACCTGGCTCTCTCTTATTTCCTAAAATGCGCATGGTGCTACCAATGCCCCTCCCCTGTCAGATCACATTTAAGATTTATTGGAACGAGAAGAGTACTTTCAATGTGTGTTTGAAACCGTTGCCGTCGAACTTCAAGCCAAGTCTTGTCAAGTATGCTGCTGATACGACTTATACCATCTTAGCCTCAGTGTTTGCTCATAGGATGCTTCCGGAATGTTTGGATTTCTCTTGTTTATTTCTTCCCGACATGGAATTAACCGGCGAAACTATCATGGAATGGTGGTCGTCTGTGCAAGGAAAAATTCCAGCCAGCGATGCATCCGGTTATGACCACCAGGACATTAAGAATTTAGGACTTGTCAGGAGGCTCGACAGGACAATGCGGCCGTGGACGGTTGAGCGATATAGATGGATGAAGAGGGTTTATGAAAACACGCAATTAGAAGACATTGACAGCAGTTCTGAAGCGGGGGAGCTGGAAATCCTTCACGTTGAGGGCACAGCATGGCCCAAGCGCACTGATTTTTTGCATCCTGTAGCTCACAGTGGTGGCTTACATCTCCACCACACAGCCAAAAAGTGTTATCCCGCCAGCGACTGCTCTATTGATAAACTACCCCTTGAGTACTCCATGTTTGCCCTCCTCGCTCCGTCAATCATCCATAACGTCGAAATCTATCTTCTCGCAGAGGAATTGAACAAAACTATCCTCCGGCCCGTTGCTTTTACAGATCTGAGCCTTGTCATCACTGCGATAAGCGCATCTGTAGCGAGGGAAGCAACCAACTATCAACGTATTGAATTTTTGGGTGACAGCATACTCAAGTTCCAAACAACCCTCCAGTTGACAGCGGCGAATCCTATCTGGCACGAGGGCCTTCTATCAAGAGCCAAGGACACTGTGGTATCCAATAAGCGGCTCTCATACGCAGCCATTGAAACAGGTTTAGACAAGTTCATTCTGCTGGATGTTTTCACAGGAGCAAAATGGCGACCACCGTGTAACAAGGACCATCTCGAAAGTGAAGAGCAGGACGTCCCTCAACGAGAAATGTCCACAAAAACCCTCGCAGACGTAGTTGAAGCTCTGCTTGCGGCCGCCACTCTAGATGGGGGTCAAAGAAAAGCCGAAAAGTGTCTCGAGATTTTCCTTCCTGAACTTCAGTGGATGCCTCTTGAAGATCGGGTTAACGCCCTCTACAGCTCTGTTCCAGAAGCGTACGAGAATACCCTCACATCTTGGTTCCAGGAGGTTGAAAGTCTAGTGGGATATGTCTTCAACAAGAAAGTTTTCCTGGTTCAAGCCTTCACCCACCCATCCAACCCTGGCTCGAAAACATCGTCATACCAACGGCTGGAATTTGTTGGCGATGCGATCCTGGATCATATAATTGTCTACCACCTGTTCAATGCCCCTCGAACCTTCCCCCATTTCGACATGCATTTGATGCGCACAGCACTCGCCAATGCAGATTTCCTCGCATTTCTCTGCATCGGTATGTCTACCGAGCGGGTGCGCGGCGAGATCGCCGAGTGCTCAAAGGAAAACACGTCGACAACATTGACCACCCACAAAGTCTCCCTCTGGCAGTACATGCGCCACGGCACGTCATGGGAACTCACCGCCGCCCAACAACAAACCGCAAATCAATACGAAACACTGCAGGCCGACATTTCAGAAGCCCTGGAGGGGTCCCACACGTATCCCTGGACTCTCCTTTCACGGTTGCATGCGCAAAAGTTCTTCTCCGACCTCATAGAGTCTGTTCTTGGCGCTATATTCATTGACTCACATGGCTCGCTGGACGCATGCACTGCATTCCTGGAGCGGATCGGACTGATGAAGTTCCTGCGACGCATGCTAGTTGACGAGGACATGGACTTTATGCACCCCAAGCAGCGCCTCGGAGAGGAGGTAGGTACAAGGAAGGTACGCTACGAGGCGGAACATGTTGTTGATGAAGAAGGAGGGATTGGTACGCTGGGTTATTGGACGTGTAAGGTGTTTGTAGGGGATGAGTGTGTTGTTGAGGCAAATGACGGAGTCAGTCTTATGGAGGTTGAGGCCAAGGCTGCAGAGGCTGCTTTGGCGGTTATACGGGCCAGAGGCGGTGTTGATGTGGATGCTGATATTGGCTTCGCTCATGCTGGTGCTGGTGTTCGTGATGGTATTGGTGATGGTGATGGGGATAGTAGTGATGATGATATCGTTGGTGTCAATGTCGCTGTTAACGAAGATGGCGATGGCGATGTTCTTTTGACGTAATTGGATAACCCTTCTCTAACAGTATTGGAATTTGATTTGCATGATCTGGAGCGAATATTCCGGGTTAACGATGAAATGATGTTTATTTCAGGATTGTTGAGTTACTTACTGATCATTGTTTTGAGTATATCCTAGATAGATAGATATACAAAGAAATACACTTCCACAACTTCATCTGTAGCTGGATAAGAAAAGAAAATAAATAAATACGCACAAAAAAGGACTGCTGCTTATTATTAAGTATTGACAGTTTATAATTGTGTATATACAAAACAGCCGTATCGTCGTGACTTAGTCTAGTGAAGAAAAAAAGAAAGGAAGAAAGAAAGAAAAGAATGAGCAAATTTGAATTTTCAGAGAGTTTCGTACCGTCGTAAAACAGGCGCTTTCGTTGCTGAGTTGCGTGTGTTGTGGTCATATATCTTGTCAGAACAGAGTACTGCCTAGGATGGTATGCCATCAGGCCAAAATCTTTCTCCACACCCTCTCCCCCGAACATCTCCCCTAATCAAGTACCACCTTCCCTTGTGTAGGGGAGGAATAGGTGTTGCTTCTTCATTCGCGAGGATGGATCTATCGATTTCCAAGGACCGCCCCACCCAAAACGGTGTCCGTAGTTTCCGGTGTACCTGAAGTGAGTGAGGCCCTCGTTCTAATCCTCACATTTCGCATAGTGCGTATCTTGTGCGTAAAGGAAAACGACAAATAGAGATTGAAAAAAAATCTATGGGTGCTTCGCATAGTAAATGCAAAACGTAGTGAAAACCAATACCAAAATCAAACTAAACGCCGTAGATCGAGTCGGATCATACCACAGGCTTGTAGGGAGTGTTGTCTCTGACAATATAAACCTCTCCAATAAGGACAGAAAGGCCAACAGCCATGGCGATGGCAATGATGGGAAGATTAACTCGTGCAAAGTCGAGACTTCGAACTCTGATGTGCTTCCGTGCGAGGATGTCTCGCCAGAGCAAGCCAGCGAGGGAAGCACTAAATGCAGTGCTGAACGCGCCATAGTTGACACCAATTGCCATGCTGTACACGGTCGCCCAGAATGTACGGTCAGATATTGGGGTTTGGTTCACCTCGTGGATTTTTTGCCAAGCTTGGATAACGCGGGAGAGGAGAATTGTGGTGCCGATATTGGTGCCGGCAAACTTCAAGTACGAACAAGCTTAGCTAAGTATTTTCAATATTTAAATATGGGGTAGGAGGGCGTGGAGAACTCACGTTACACAATATCACAGATAGAAAGCCCATGCCGCCAATGGCACCGACTGTGCCTGTTTTGTTCACCCAGTGGTCCCATCCGTAAGCAAACACGGGCACCCAACCTTTCGTGACAAGCGCTTGGACAAGGACGAACATGGTGAATGCAAACGGCACAAGAGCGAAGGGTAAGTGGGCCACTACAGCTGTGACAGTAGGGAATGTATCCTGTGTCCATCGGTAGGCGTTCTTAAGGAGCGAGACGAGCGTTGCTGGTCCACGGTCCTGTTGGCATGTCAGGTCCTGAGAGACTCTATTAGAAAAAATATGTTCTTCTCTCAATTTCTCTCCTTGTTGTTGCTTCTGGGTGGATGGTTGGCTGACATGTGTGTTGGCAACTACCTGTTTGTCGTCCATCATGGTGATAGCGCTGGTAGTTGACCCTTGGCCGTTTTGTAGTTGATTGTCGCTTGGTATACGCACAGACGATGGTGATGGTTCACGGGGAGGTGTTGAGACGAGGGTTGGTTGGTCACCTTTCTCAGAGGTAAGGATTATGGGAACATGCTTGGAAGCATCTACCTCCAACGTGATATCGTCATCAGTATTCGAAATACTGACTCCGCCCCCACCACCAGCATCACGGCGGCCATCATGGCTGGGCTGAGGCTCTGGCGACTGTGTGAGCACTAGAGGGACCTCATACACATCTATCGAATCCCGCTCTTTCTGCGCTAGAGCCGCAAGTCGCATTTCTTCCTCTGCCCTAAGCATATGTTCGATTCGAGCATTCTCAACCTCCTGTCGACCTTTGCGAGCAATCTCACGAGTCTCGTGCCGGTTGTACCATCCGAATGCGACATCCCAGCAAAACATAACAAATGCGGCAGGCAAAGTAACCCAAAAAATAGGATGATGGTCATTATTCTGGGTTGCAGCATTGAGTGCCAGCAGAGTAACAAGAGTGGCTGTCATGATGACAGCTCCGAAAGCCGCACCGCCTTTGTCCAGGAAAGGGTTCATAATTTCCTCTAGGGAAAGAAGCTTCACCTGGTCATCATTTGCATTGGCTTCATCCTCCTCAGCCAATCCGCGAGCATGAGGAATGTTAGGATTCACGGGCTTCTTAGCTTTAGCTTCCTCTGACAGCTCGTGCATCTCAATGGAATATGGGATCAAGGCCGGATCAGCAAAGATGATGTATAACAAGAATGGAAATAAGACAATGGCTGTGGCAACCACTGGAACGATCATGTGTGCTGTGTAGACAATGAATTTGATCTCGAAGGCACCCGCGAGGACTAGGTTGGTTGGGTTGGAGGAGACGAGAATTGCGGACGCGATGTTGGCCACAGCGAACTGCGTATGGATCCAGGCTCGGGGATGAATGATATTGCTTGACACCCTCGTCATGTAGGCGAGGAACGCAGTTCCAGAAAGAACAATGGGGTCATTGCCAATGAAGCTTCCCAGACCGAAGAAGAACGTGTAGAGGTAGAAAAAAAGCCGATGCCCGACCTTGCCTCCCTTTTGAAGCACCTTGAATGCCAGGAACCTAATAAGCCCAGACGCGTCGATTGAAATAGCAATGTAGGCCAGCGTAATGAAGAAAGCCATGATATCAAGCGGGGATATGTTGTTCGCTCCCAGCGTCCCGCCACGCACTTCCTCGCGGCCGATAGCTAGAATTGCCAGCAGGAAAAGGTCCGCTATCAAGGGCGCAGTTACAAAATTCATGGGGAAATTCCATCGTACAAAAGGCTTGCGTTTCGCTTTGCCGTTCTGATCATCGTCATCATCATCCCGCTCCTCACCATCAGAAGCGGGATCGTGCTGAAACCGCGGTTTCCTGCCGGGTATTATTCGCAGCGCACTGAGGGCATCGACGACACTCTCCACAAGGCGCCGGGGGACGTATATCGGAAGGTGAAAGGGGGCCAGAACGACGATATCTGGGCCATCGCTGAAGAGTTAGCTGGATAATTGCGCAGCCAAAACATGGATTGCGGAGGTAATCTTACTTGTGACAATGAAGACAAGGAGGGTCACAATTGACCGCCAATTCCTGATGTCGCCCGTGTTCAGGACATCCTCGTCTAATTTCTCTGCCATTTTGACGATTGTCTACTTCGAAGCTCAGCCAAGGTAATAACTCGCCAGAATTGGCCTGGCGGTTGAGTTATAATAGAGGAGCTTTGCTTGATTCCTCCACGGCCAACAGAAAAATAAAAGATAAACAAGTGGCTTGCAGTTGGGTTGGCGAGTAGCAGAAGCAGCTAGTTATGTTTTTCTGCTTCCTGCGGCTTCAGCCATGAATTAGGATAAGCGGGACTCCCCTCGCACACCGCAGCGAAGGTTTTGAAGGTTTCCAGTCGATCAGTCGCCTCTGAAACGATTGTGCTGCTGGTTCAAGGCACTTTTTCAGTCCCCCGCTCAACAAGTGCACTAAATCGTAACCGTCCTCAGCCTCTTCCAAGATCCTGTCCAAAGGCACACAGGAAGAGTGGGCCAACCCAACCAACTACCCTGGACTGAGCGTCAGAAGTAAGTTAAACTTCCCGCCTAGCACCCTCTGTTGTGGATAGGTGTAAGTTAATCGCCGGCTCTGGGAGACTTGGAGCAAACAGGTGGAACAAACAATGGTCACAAACTCGACAGCGGGATTTTCCACCAAATGAAGGATCCAGCAGCATTGCTCGCAGGCCCTGTGGCTGAACAGCGGATTATCTGTGGAAGACCTTCCAAGCCCGAAGCCCGTCGCAGCAGGAATTGCAAAGAAATTTTGCGAACCGCAGCCAGTGAGACCGCAGAAAGTGGCTGCTGAGCCTCATCTGGCCTCGTATTGTGTCACTTGTTGCAGGGCTGCAATTCCCGAGCGCAATGCGGGCTGTGATTCGGCCGGATGCTCGAATCGCGCCGGCAAGCCCTGCTTGGAGCTGGGCCCAGGATGGCGCCAGAGCAGATGATCAGTGGTGGAGACTCTTGCTGTAATTATGCGGAGAAAACTTCAGGCTGTAGGCGGCTCAACTCTGGCGGTTTGCGAAGCAAGCATCACACATCTCGCCTCGGCTGCAACCTGTTCGGTTTTTAAACAACAGTGATCCCTGTGTTTTGCTCGAGGGACGTTCTCTTTTCCATGCTAAAATCTATCGTGTTCTTTTCTTCGGAATAGCTACATAATGATAGAGGATGTGAACAAGTTGTTATCCTCTTTTCTTCCCCATTAACATGAAATAATAATCTTCCTCACGCGATACATGGTTGTGTCCTCTCCCTACAATCCGTGAGCCATGCCTGCGCTCGGGTCTGCCTTGCTGCCAAATGCCCTCCACGCTGAAGCCGCAGTCCACAATGCAAGTGTAAACGGGACCACGAAAAACGCTTTACAGGTGATATGCGCATGGCCGGTTTCTGGCCAGTATGGCCCCGGCACAAGGGTTCTGTAAGTTCGAAATGTTCCCCACACGGCGAAGCCAGAGCAAACGCGTGCCGTGAGCCCGTTGAATAACGGCTGACCGCCAATTCGCCTTGTTGAAACCATACAGATACTATGTTCTAATAGCCGCTTGTGTCTTTGCGCGAAAGACTGAGTGGCTCAGAAATGCCTGCCTGGCGGCAGTGCTACTTTTTCCGGCCGTTGCTGCTTTGCACGGCGTCGTTCTTGCGGCACTCAATCTGCATGGTTGGTTCTTGAGATTGCGGCAGCTTTGTGTGGTTTCCAAAGCTAATTGTTCAACTGTCAAAGGTGCTGTTGATATGGATATCTATGGCGCCTTCCAGCTATGCTCAATTGGCATTTTGACCGGGCCCGTAGCGGTTCGGGTATCCAGAACATACTTCTATGACCCCGGCCGGAATATCATTTTCTTATGGACCACCCTCATTCTTGCCGGTAAGTTGATGATCTTTGGTTATATATATACGTATATACCCCTTGTCTTCGGATTACCCAGCTTATCACTCTTGCCTAACCTTTTACCCCAAAAGGGCTGTTGAGCTTGACTGTCGAGTTTTTCCGAATCCAACCAACGGCTTGCCCGTTCGACGACGCCGGCAACCCTATCTCGTCTGATCCTCGCAAATTCAAGTACAACACAAGCTGCGGCATGACTTGCTCTGAAGACAAAGGCCCGTTCTCCCCTATGCGAAACGGTGCAGCCAGCAACATCTACGTCATCCCCGCCCCAGATAAGATCACATTTGGCACCGCAACGCTCATGGCCGCTGCGTGCTGCGTGCCGGCCATTCTTTCGTTAATATCTATGTGGAACAAGATCCTCGAAATCAACCGGATGAACCGTTTTGGTATTGGAAAACAGGAGGAAAAAGTTGACGAGCCAATTGAAGGCACAAATGGCGCCACCATTAAGAAAATGAATAAGGTAAATTCTTTGATCAGGATGTTTCTGAGCGCTGTAGAAATCCCCGTGTTTGCTGCAGCAGTAATGGGCATCCTCATTTTAGGCGAGATGAATTTTTTCAGCTCCCAAGTCCTTTACCAAACCGAGCCTGTAGCCAGTATTGGTAGGTGGTATCCTTTTGTCCCCAATGGCTGGCTTCCCCCCATGCATTACTAACAAGATTTTACTAGGCCAATGGGGCCCTATCGTTGGTGCTGGTCTAGCCGTGCTAGGATCGCTGTACCTTGTTCTTGCTGCTGACCTCCATGCCGTTGAAGAGGCGGAGCAACCCAAAGCCTCTTCGAATCAGGACAACTGCTCAATGCGCGAAATCAACACGATCGCATCTGTAGAATCTTTGCGCTCTCCAGCACGCGGCGTCGAGATGCAGCGAAGCGCTTCCAACACTCGCTCTATCGTTGAACACGATGGCCAACCGAGACAATCGTCGGCAAGGGATTCTGGCAACAGACGTAAAGTAGCGATTGCGTTAACTAAGTTTGTCATCTATCTCAGTGACGCGGCTCACGAGAGGCTTAACGACTCCGAATTTAAGAGCGGGAAGGCTCTGGACTTCCCTGAGATTCCTGGAGAATTACGCCGGAACCGCGCCCTGCCTAACATCAGAAATCAATACAACACATATCGAGACACATATGGGAATGCCTCTCCCTCGCTTCGAGGACGGGCCTCAAGAGCAGGTAGCTTCACGAGTAGCATCTATGGGCTCGATTTGGAGGCTTCGTCTAGGTTTTCGAGACCAGGATCGCGTTCGCCTTCACCAACCATCATTTCGCGAACATCGCACGCTAATACGATAACGGGTGACCGTGCTCCGCCCGAGATTCACAATCGCCCTCGAGCATCCAGCGGCGGCGTTAATGGAAACCACCGGCGGGCGACTCTGGAAGTACCAATACAGACTCATCACGGCTCTCCACGAAGTAACCCGTCAGGATCACCCACGTCTCCCACGAATTCTAACCGGCCCATACCTGATATTCGCCGCCCACCCGCCATCGTGGTTTCATCTGAAAATGAAGACGCCACACCTGTGCACAGAACATCTCAGTCGCCCTCTTCCCCTTCGTCCCCGAGCCCAATATCGACGCCATCAGCAGTAGCATCATCACCCTCAAGTCCGCGACACATCCGCCAATTCACCTTATAAGAGCGAAGTTTTAAGAAATTAAAAAAGATAGCATTAGTTAGTTAGCGTGATCTTGCCGCGTGGGTCCCTCAAGAAGCCATGATTCTGAAGATCCACTGCTCCACCCCCACCAGGAAATCCATACCAAATACTAAAACCGCAACCCTGGGGAAAATCAGGAATATTGAGAGAAACTGAAGAAGTTAAAAAAAGGCCGTCATTGGGAATCTGGAAACCGGTATATTTTCATACCGGTAAAGCCCCAATTGACGCTAAACCCAATCTGAACGTTGCGTCCATACCATCAGCGGCGACTTGGGACTGAGGATATTCAATATCTATCGGAACTCGCTTTACTTGCGGTGCAGGAACTCTACTACGGCCTCTCCGCCATCGGCTAGCATCACCTTTGACCAGCATAACGACATCATGAACTACGACAAACCACCGGGATTTATTTATCCGTCTTCTACCCCAGGGTATATAGGAGGAATAACCTTTACTTTTTTTTTTACAGCGATATGTTTGACGAAATGGAAATGAACTGATGAAAACGATTTTCTTTTCTTGGGTGATTGTGGGCCGACAGGCTTTTCAGACCCACAGCGCAGAGTTATTGGTTTAAAAAAAAGTAAAATTGTTATAGACGTACGATTAAGAAATTCAAGCGAGAATCTCCAGGGCTTGATTATATAGATGGTATACGGTATGGACCCTCGGTTGTATCTGGGGACAAATGGCTAATTGCGATTATAGAAACCTTTTCCAGCACGTGTTTCGGAAACACTGTAGAAGTGTACTCCTCTACCTCGGGGGGAATATTAGCGAAGGATCTCAATTGCGGCGAGAATGTTGTTCAGGAACCACATATACTGTACATTTGATTGTTCGATCGGGTGGGTGGTGAGCGACAGGGGAGAGTGATGTGCCAATTGTCTCAATCTAGATAAATGTAATGTAGTTAGATATAGAGCAAATGAGTAGACCTAAATTATGATTTGCAAAACGAAAGCATTCTCAGCAAACGGTGTTGATATATATATCCATATATCCACATTTCCTATCGCACAAGCTGTCACTTTAAAATCAAGAAGTGAAGTGCATCCCCTGTCGAAGCCCTATCACGACCCCCTCCAGTCAGCGCTGGTGTGGGTATTCTTCGACACTCTGCGAACAACGTACCCACAGCCAATAAACCGAAGACTCCAAAACATATCACTAAACCCGCAGGAAATATAGGTCGGAATGGGACTGTTTTTGTCCCATTCACGGGTTTCAAAGGGGTCAACAGCGGATCCTCATGCCACCTTCAGTTCTCCGAAATCTCTGTAAGCCTTGGTGACGGGTGACGGTGTTCATTCAATCATCAACAACGTTTATCCTCCTCTTTCGGAGCCTTTCCTCACTAAACAATTCCTTTTAGCCACAACCGGAGCGCATTCCCTCGACAGGAAACTTGGCTGCTTGCACAAAAGGAAATTGGTGCAACATCTCCTCACTCCCTCCAGCTTTCTACCATTCAATATTAGCAAATGGTTGTCCAGGGGATCATTGGAGCGAATACTGTTCTTTGCATCCCACAGCGAGTTGAAGTTACTAGTAACTAGTTGATGCTGATAGGGCTCAAACAACCCCCACATATTTAAATAACTAACCGGCTGGCCAGGCTGTGCAGATGTCAAACTCTCCATCCCACTCCCCAAGCCGCTCATAACCGAGCATAAAAATCCTGCCGTTGCAGGAGAACGTTCAACAAGCGAGAGCAGACAGATTACCTGGTATGGATTTATCCAGAGCACACTGCTGACTAGTTAACCAAGGTGCCCTGTCCCTCAACCCAAACCAAACAGAAGAGAGCCTGACAACCCTCAACGTCGCGGGGACTCTCCTCCTTACAGTCCTAGCATATCTATCATCCAGTACTTGGAGCGGCATGAATGCCCAAAGTCCCTTTATGTATTGGAGCTGTTTGGCCCAGGTTTATACACGACGTGCAACGTCCTTTATGTCCGGACTCCGTACGGTGCCAGCTCAACAAACCTGCACACATGATGCACGGGGCTACATACGGCTTGGCTCCTAGCTCAATGCAGCAGGAAAAAGGAAAAATAAAAGAAGACCAGAGTGGCGAGAAACGAGATGGAAGCAAGCAAGCATGCATCAAGCGAGAACACGGGCCAGCCCTGGTCCCAGTCGCAGTCGCAGTGAGCTCCCGCCCGCGTTTCATACCTCTGGATTGTTGACCTCAGAGTTAGTAGTTATGGATAGCATCTGCATATTTAATAAGAAAGATTATGACAATTATTAATCCTTCAAGTCTTCGGCGCCCAAGGGTAGCAGAATATCCCAAGAGCGACTTACAGGCCCGCCACGTTGCTCGCGTCAGTTGAAGATGGTTGGATTCATTAACTACTCTAATGACAGCGAGAAAGGCACAAGCGAAAGGAACCATGAATATGGTCTAATCGAAATACCTTTCTTGTCACAATGTCACTGATCACCCTTAGGTCTTACACCTGCCATGGTAATAACGACTCCAGAAAATTATCCCGGCCAAGTGGAATAAACTTGTTGAATTGAGCCGCATGGTGATTAAGCGGGGAAGCTTTGTGCTCATCCTAGAAACTTGAACTGCAGGATTGATACAAAATACATATCTCTACATATCGAATTGGGGGTGTCACCATTGGGCTATACAATGGACCCGTTCGTCGCTCAACAACCTCCCCACTTACCAGGGAACTGCATGACAGCTCACAACTTGAGCCCGGACGGATTGGTCGTATCAAACCGAGGGAGGAGGAGTGTACACCAGTTTCTTCATCCATCCAATGATTTCTTAAGAAATTCGTCTCTGACCATTTTTATCTCCGCGGTTTCCCTTCTGCCCCGTCTTTGTTGCTTTCTCCAACCACTTCTCAGTTCCTGGGGAGGTAACTCTTCCACAGCCAACATTTTTCGACTCTCTCTGCGCCAATTGAAACCATAACAGGTCCCCTTTCTTTCAGATAACAATTCGTTCCTTCGGCTAGACCTCTGACCCCTCTACGCGGCGCCAAAGAAAAAGTTCCCAGGTCATTGTTACTTTCAATACCAGACAACTCCTACTTCCTTGTCCTCCGACTTGCATCCCCCGCAGATACCAGACGCAAAACCCTTTCAAACGTGGCCATCACCCACTTGCTCTGATCACATAAGGTGTATGCCAATCGTCACAGCCATACGGAAACGCGATTGTTAGATGTCAGTAGCACTTGATTTCCCTCTGTGTCTCGTGTGGGGAAATTGCGAATCCTCTGCTATACTACAGAAGTGTTTTGAAATGACTACGGATGTCGCAAATCACCTGGAAAATATAAATATCGTGCGCTGTGTTTCATTCCCTTGCTAGGGTTTCCCATATATCTAGTGCCTTTTTGTTTTTAAACTTCTCTCCCAGTTGCCGTTATCATTTTTCGGCAAAGCCATTGCAATTCCTCCCTTCCTTATTTTAACATTTGATATTTGATATTCCATTATTCAATTACTTCTATTTAAGGCTTTGGATACTGGGCAATCGGATTCTCACAAGTATATAAAATTCGCCTACCAGGCTCAGAAACATAGGTCTCAAGATACTGACACCTTTGCAGTGGCCACACTAGAGCGTTGGGCATACGAACGATCGAACGGTTCTACCGAAAGTTTTTTGGCCTTGTCTTACTCGCCTACCACGCCGGCGTCCGTTTCAACGGGAAGCTCATTCCGAAGCGAAAGAGCATATGCAAACTCCCAGCGGAGTTCCATGATTGTCGAAAACATCGAAGATACCTATAGCGAATCGTCATCCTCCATAATGTCTCCACCGAGTACAGTACCAACACTCTCTCGGTTTTCGTTGTCGACAGCATCCAATTCCCTCTCTGGATCCATTGACACAAATACCGCAGCCAAGCTACCTCCGCGATATGCTCTTGAGGAGGATACAGATGGAAACCTCACTGCCCCTCCCGAAACGAGCAGTACAGGAATTGGCCATTACTGTTTCTTCCACATATTGGATTGTAATGAACGTTTCTCCGATCTTGAAGAGTGGAAGACGCACGTGTTGAGCCACTTCCGCTTGGGCCCATTGCCGGCCACTGCCCAGTGCCCAGCATGCCCATACCGGATATCGGACTCACACCACGGTGTCGCCTGGCGAAGAATGCTAACACATCTAGCAGATCAACATCTAAAGCAGGGATATCCCATTCAAAACACTTGCCCAGACTTTGAGACAATGAGACATCTATATTGCTCCCACATCATCACTCGTGAACAACTGCGGCTTCTACAGCTTCCTGCAGCTCCACATCGGCCGGGTTATTCCCCGAGCCTGGATTCGGTAAGGGCCAGGATCGGCTCCTCGGACGACCCATGTGTCGTTTACATGAACCGGCACCGTGAGCGAAGGATGAGAGAACGGTCTCGTAAAATCAGTGTTGCTTGAACTCTTTTCAGCTGTTGGATTTTGCTCACCCCGAGTCTGTCATCGTTATGTCAAGTGAACATGTTATTACCCTTGCTCTTTCTTCAGTGCCACGGAGTTTAGGGGCATCGGGTGTTGCCTTGTCACGTGGTGGCATGCAAGAGGCCAGAGGCAGATGAGCCTGTTAGCGGAAGGACTTTAAAATAGAAGATCAGAGTAAGTCATTCTATTTCTCAGGTTTTTCTCTAACTAACATTCCTGGTTTTTGCGCACTAGACGATTTATTGAAGAAACATGTCACTGAAGAAAAAGCCCTTCACAAACAATCCAAGGGCAATCATTTGTGGAAGCCGTCGAAGTTAGGATTCAGGGCCCCCCAAGATGAGATCAATGTCTATGGCTAAGCGACGAAGAGCGACAACCCTTAAGTATGATGGTACCTAAGCATGAGGGATAAGGGATTGGACTATTTGTAGAGCCATGTTTCATTTGGAACCTTGCGCTCGTTGCACGTTCTTCTTTTCAGTTTTGAGATACCCAATAATTTCACACAAATTCTTGTCCTCATATTTTGTTGAGATACCTTCGCTTAGCTAGATAGTTGATATGCCGCAATGATTAAACAAACTATCTACTTAATTGATTCTGCAATAACACCATACAGAGGAGCCACTATGCCTGAACAGGAAGGATTCGGCAAACAGAGCAAACACCGTATCAGTCCCCTCTGGCTCAAAAAGTATTTCAACCTCGACAAGCAAGCCCAAGACGGACAGCAGCGTCATCGATCTAGACCAGAATCCGACAATCTTGCTGCTAAGGGGGAAGCAAGATACGTCTATGCCGAAGTTTGGAATAGGTCCTTATCTTCTGACTAGCTCAGCTCTACTTCGCGGCTCCCGACCAACCAGCATGCCTATACTATCTCGCTCGTTGTCCTGATATCCTCTAACCCACCTATCCACCCACCAATACGTTCCTCCTCTCCTTTAATCCCTCTAGCACTGCATTTCCGCAAATTACAGCCATCCAGTGCGGCATGGAGGACCTCTCCCTTCACGACCACAACAACGGCCAAGGCGGACGACGCGGAGCGCCCCCGCCCCCGCTCCCGCATGGCCACCGAGGCTACCCTCAGCAGCCCAACCCGCCTACTCACTCCAGCTTCCCACGCCACCACCAGCAAGCTCTACCAACAGCTCCACCAACAGCTCCTCCTCCTGCCCCAGGGCAAGAACCTTCACCCACCCCAATGATGCCCCCGCCCCTGGCTCAACTGCCCCCGCAAATGTTCACGACGGCAGCGCAACTCCTGGACCTGACTGATAGTGAGCAGCGCCCTCCCTCCCTCTTGCGCGGCCAGCGCGAGAATGAAATCGCATTGAACTTCCAATTTCGCCAGCGCATGGGAATTCGGTATATATATATATACAGAAAAAGACTGACCAAAACCCCCGCCGCGTCTTTCGGTGGACTGCGTTTTATTCAGAAAAACTCGTTCTTGTTCTCCGCGACGGGCGCAAGTTGATTGGTGTGCTACGCAGCTGGGATCAGTTCGGTAAGTCGCTCTCGTTAACTCATATATATTGACACATGAATTATGACCGTCTTGTTTCTAATGGCTCCATCTCCTCTAGCCAACCTTGTCCTCCAAGGGACCGTCGAGCGACTATATGCCGGAAACCTTTTTGCAGATATACAACGAGGAATCTATTTGGTGCGGGGAGAGAACGTTCTCTTACTAGGAGAAGTTGTACGTTGCGATCCGCTCGATAGAGCTCCCAGCATTCCACAGGCATTTTACTGACTGCCTCGATTGGGCAAATTCAGGATCTAGATAAGGAGGACGACATCCCCACAGGTTACCGCCAGGCACCCTTTGAAGAAGTCTTTGCATTGAAAAAGCAAGAAGATAACGAACGAAAGAAACGCAACAAACGCAGCAGTGCCAAACTACAAACCCTTGGCTTTGAGGCTGAGCACAGCGGAGAGGTTTTGTTTTAAATGTTCATGCTGATATCTCTTCTTGTTTGTTTCATCAGTTTAAGCCTTTTTTTTTCAACGTTATCAACGGCGGTGACTTTATTGGCTTCCCCCCTGGTGACGTCGGCAGTTGTTTTCGTGGCACAACATTTATCAAGTGTCACACATGAAAGCCTCTACTATTTATTAAAAAGAGGTTATGGAGCAAGACCCCACGCTCTATTATTGTTATTGCTTTACTTTCATCAAACTCTACTTTTGTTGGGTTCTATGGTATTTTCCCTGGAGCCTGTATGCACCGTTACGATAATCTATTACTCTACTGAATTCGACGAATCAGTGTTGGGGTCCAGCTGGGCAGCCATGAAAGGGACGGAAATATAAAAACAGATGGATAGTTGGAAGAGGGGAAAGAATGGATGATGGGTGGACACTGCCAGGCGTTGCAGAATATTGTGAAATGCTTCCGGCCTGCGCGCGAGTATATGGAGAGAGTATAAAGGATCATGATGGATTAGCGACCTTTGGCGCTACCTTCGACATAGATAGAAATTTAAAATGGTTGAGAGCGATTCTCCAGGTTTTCCGAGCTCTGAGGGCCCCCTTAATTGGTTCCGCACATGTAAGTTACGGTGATGAATATAATATCAAGTTGAAGAGAAAAGAATACTTCGAAGAGAACATGTTCAAGTTTATCCCAGCATCTCCGAATCCCATGCAGAATACCCTGTTGATGTGTTGTTGTGTATCCGATTCCGCCCCACACAATCTGCTATCGATAAAAAAAAATATCCAACCGCCAAAAAAGTCGAACTTAAAATTTCAACGCCCGAAATATTTCTTTGATTTACTCCGACACCTCCCACTCAACCACCAGGAGGTTGACAGCACCTGTTGCACCAGTGCTTCCCCGCTGGGCTAAGGATACACTTTTGCATTATGGCCTCGCTGCAGGAAAAGCTCAACAAGATCAAATCGCCCAAGCTGCAAAACCAGCACCATGTGAGCAACCGCACAACCAAACTACCCAGGAATACATGCAATCGAAGAAGAACTGGAAGCTAATTGACACCGCAAAAAATAACCAACGTTATACAGACTTCAGTGGTCCTCTCAGCCGTCGAAGATACACTCCGCGACCAACATGCTGACTTCACCGCAACCGCATACTTCGCCGCCCTCCTCGCCCTCCTCGGCCAGGCCGTATCCTCAACCGAAGGCATCGTAAACAAGGAGCTCGCAACTTCAATAGTCTACCTCCTCGACACAGTCGCCCCTTTCGTCCCCACCGCTCTTCTCGTCTCCAAGTTCTCCCAGATCCTCACCAGCCTTGCGCCCGCCCTCACACTCCCTGAAGCCGAAGCCCCGCTGCTAAAGTCGTCCGTGGGATGTCTGCAGTCGCTACTGGTCGCCCAGGATGCGGCCGCATGGGCTCTACCATCCACACAGATAGGCCCGCGCAGAGCTATGGCTGGCCTAATGACACTGGCGGTAGACCACAGACCCAAGGTGCGCAAGCGGGTGCACGATGCCTTAGTACATGTGTTAAGGAATCCCCCACCAAGCCCGTCGTTGGACCATCCTGCGGCGGATATGTGTGCGGAGACAGCGCTGCATACGCTGGGCGAGAGTGTCGCCGCCGCGGCGAAGGCGAAAAAGGGCCGACATGGCCAGCAGCAGACAAGCCAGCATGAGCCAATGGTCATCCATGCCGTGCACTTGGTGAAGACCATTGCAACCGCTTCGGGCGGGTGGCCGACAAAGAAGATCGAGCCGTTGTGCGAGCTGCTGATGAACGTGTCGAAATCGTCCAACGAGTACCTGACCATGGCTGCATTTGAGGTCTTCGAGATTATATTCGAAGGCATGGCGGATGACTTCTCGTCGTCCAAACTACCACGGCTTATGGAGGCGATTTCGGAATTGAAACCCGCACAGAATGATTTGCAATTGCTCCCCCCGTGGATTGCGGTGCTTTCCAGGGGCTACGACGTATCAGCGCAGGTGAACCCTGAGGAGACGTTTGAGAATCTCCCCCATCTTTTTGACCTCATCTCGCCCTTCCTTGCGTCGTCGTCTCGGAATATTAGGGTGTCGGCCTCTGAGTGTCTCATCTCATTTCTAGTCAATTGCATTCCGGACTCAATCATCCTCGAACCCTCGGTATATGATGAAAAGGTGTTTGAGAAACTGGCCAAAATATGCATTGGACTACTCTCCATCAAGTACCAGGCTGCATGGATGGAGGTATTCAACGTGCTCGCCGCAATGTTCGATGCATTGAAGTGGAGGGCATTCCCTGTTCTGACTGATATTGTCCGGATAATCGGGGAGCTACGGGGGAATGAATCGTTCGCCAGCAAGAAACAAGCTGACCAAGTTCTCGGGTCTGCAATTGCGGCCATGGGTCCAGAGGCAGTATTGGAGATATTACCGCTGAATATCGCACATCAAACCGCCGGCCAACCAGGCCGAGTCTGGCTTCTGCCCATCCTCAGGGACCATGTGTCAAACACGCGCCTGTCATTTTTCCGATCGGAATTCGTGCCACTCAGCGAGGCGCTGTTCCAGCGCGTTCTCGAATACGGCAACGCGGAGAAAACGGTCGAAGTGAAAATCTTCGAGACCCTCGTCCAGCAGACTTGGGCGATTTTGCCAGGATTCTGCGAACTGCCACTAGATCTTACAGAGTCCTTTGATCAAAGCTTTGCCGAGTTGCTTTCAAATGTACTGTACAAGCAAACAGAGCTACGTGTGGATGTGTGCAAAGCGTTACAGAATCTTGTAGAATCAAACCAAGCGATTACCTCGTTGGATACCGAGCGGGACGACCTGATCCTTCAGCGACGGATTGCGAAGGCAGATGCGAAGAAAAATATAGCCCATCTCGCTAGCTTTTCTAGTAATATCCTGGCTGTGCTGTTCAATGTCTACAGTCAGACACTTCCTCAGTTCAGGGGTTTCCTGCTTCGATGCATCAATGCATATTTGAGCATTACAGGTGAACAGGTATGTATATATGTATATATGTACAGAGTACGTATCGCCACAGTTACTGCTGATGGCTAATGAAATTATCCTAGGAACTAATTGAAACCTTCACACGCGTCACTACGATGCTCGAGGGCACCCTTACCGAACCGGAACCTGCAGAGCAGAAGCAACCGAAAGGGCCCGGCGACAAAATGCCCCCAACCTCTCACACTCTAATGGATCTCGTGGTCACGATATCGATATATCTGCCACGATCAAGTTTCGCCACTCTCTTCTCGCTTGCGGCTGCCGTTCTCCAGAAAAAGTCCTCGGACACCCAGTTAATCAAGAAAGCATACAAGCTCATTCCGCGCCTCGCCACGACCGAGAACGGCGCCGCGTCACTCCGCGAGCGTAGCTCTGAACTGCAATCTCTCATCCTCGCAACAGCAGACCAAACACCCGCTCCGGCCCGCCGTGACCGGCTGCTCGCGATCCATGAAATAGTCAGCTACCTCCCAACCTCAGATCTACATTTCATCCCCTCAGTGCTGCCCGAAGTGGTGCTAGGATGCAAGGAGAGTAACGAAAAGGCGCGTACGGCCGCATTCTCCTTGCTCATCCACCTCGCCCAGCGCACCATAGACCCGGACCTCAACCCGGTTGGCACAGTGATCCGCAACTCGCTCGTGCCACACATGCCAGATACAGCCCCAGACGCCCCTGCCACGATCGAAGAGTTCTTCACCATGGTCTCCGCCGGTCTCGCAGGTAGTTCCCCACACATGGTCGCCGCCTCAGTAACTGCATTGTCCAGGCTCCTCTTCGAATTCCACTCGAAGCTACCCCCAGCTATGCTGTCCGATCTCGTGCAAACCATCGATATCTTCCTGACAAGCAACAATCGCGAGATCGTCCGGAGTGTGCTGGGTTTTGTCAAAGTTGCTGTCGTCGCCTTACCGGAAGACATGCTCCGGCCACGTCTCGACTCGCTCGTCCCTAACCTCCTGGTCTGGAGCAAGGAGCACAAGGGCCGCCTGAAGAGTAAAGTAAAGGGAATCCTGGAGCGGCTAATCCGGCGCTTCGGCTCGCCGCTCCTCGAAGGATTAGTCGGCGAAGCCGATCGGAAATTCGTCGTCGCGATCCGCAAAGAGCGCGAGCGGCGCAAGCGCAAGAAGACGCAGGCCAAGGGAGGCGAGGGCGGGGACGGAGAAGGAGAAGGAGACGAGCGAGGTGGAGACGCCGGCAGCGCGCGGAAAGGCGCAACGACGACACCCGGCCACCGCGACCACCAACCACCGCGAGGCGGCGAGAAGTCTTTCAGCAACGAATTCGACAAAGCGGTCTACGGCTCCGACATGTCGGAGTCGGACTCGGCCTTCGCGACGACGGACTCCGACGACGCGAGCGAAATTGACGTCGACGAGCAGGGCAACATGCACGTCTCATCCCATAAATCCAGCGCTACTAGCCGCAAACAGCAGCAGCAGCAACGAGGCGGGGGAGGACGACAGAAACCCAGCCGACCAGGCCCACAATCTCAAACGCAGTACATCCGCGAGCTCTCGCCGGAATCAAACCCGCTCGATCTCCTCGCGCCGGACGCGCTCGCGAGCATCTCGACGACGAAGCCATCCGTACGCTTCCTGGCGACAAAGACGCGGAAGCGAGCTGCACGCGTCAATGCGGATGGGAAGTTGCTGTTGGGGTTGAACGGGGACGGTGATGGGGATGGGGATGTTGGTATGGCTGGCGGCGGCGGCGGCAGCGAAAGAGCTGGCGCTGGAGAAACCGAGGGTGCCGATGGAGTCAACGCATATTTGTCTGCGGTTAGTGGGCCGGATGCTGTGCGGAGGGGTCAGCGGGGCCGACTGAAGGTGAGCCAGGGGCGGCGCAGGGGCGGGGATGAGATGGATATTGATGACGATGGCGGGGTGGAGGTTGCGAAGGCGATTGGGAAGGAGATGAAGGGGGGTTGGGGTGGGAGTGGGAGTGGGAGTGGGAGGAGGGGCTTGGGGGTTGAGAAAGTCAGGGGTGAGAGTGGGAGGGTTGAGAAGAGAGGGTCGGGGAGAGGGGGACGGTTTAGCGGCGGTGGAAGGAGGGGCGGGAGAGGGCAAGGCCGAGGCCGAGGCCATAGATAGAAGCGTTTTTCGAACATTTCACGGGGTTGACATGAATGAGGTAATGGACTCATGGTATTCTCTACTTTCTTATGGTCTGTTGTCTAAGAAGAGAGAAACGGACGGTCATGGAAAAGAGGTGGATTGATTATATTATGTACGCTCGGTGTTCCTCCCTGCCTTTTTGCTTGGTTTACTTTTTTTTTTAACCTTCGTTTCTGAATCTCAATTTGATAAACCAAAATCCCCCTTGGGCACGATGATATATCCGCCACCGAATAGACTAGCTCTACTCATGTCCTTGTTTTGTTTTCACTGGTAGTCACAAAGTTTAAGCTCCACAACTTCAATTCAAGAAAGGGAACAAAGAAGAGAAATGCCGTAAAGAAAGTTGAGTATGTCTAGTGGATTGACCAGAAATATAGAACAATATCAGTAATTGTACGAACTATCTGGTATATAGGGGATATCTGGTAGTATATATATGAGGTATAGAATGTATAGCCGGCAAGAGCATCAATTAAAAGTAAAAAGAGCAAAGCACCAAACAAGTAGATTAATCAATATAAGACCCGTCCGTACGAGCAAACAAAACTCCCCAGTACTCAAGCCATCCAAAACCAAAACCAAACCCCACCCAAGCCCAAAGAGATATTATGGAGACGCCCACAAAAGAAGGAAAAGGGTCAAAAAAAAAGGGAACTTTCAGGAACGATCCCAACTCAACCAAATTCTCCCCTCTTCTCCCTGTCTCTCTCCCTCACCTTCACTCTTTTACCCTTCTTGCCCCTCCTCCGCGCCCAACAAAGCCACATCCACCACCAATTCCTGACCCCCAACATCGCGACACGGCCATCATCCCTCCTCTCGGTCCCATCCGGGTTCCCGACGATCATGGCGAAGATCCAGAACACTGCGGCGATCCAGGCGGCGAGGAGGAGGGAGGGGATGAGGGCCGGAGAGAGGAGGAGGATGAGAAGGAGGATGAGGGGCGAGTGGGTGGTGGAGGGGCAGGGGGAGGCGGATGTTTTGGGTGGTAACGAGGGCCTTCGGTGAGTTGAAGATTGGGATTGGGAGGGAGCGGGGGAGTGAGGGGAAGAGTGAGAAGGGGAGTGAGGAGTAATAGGTGTTCTGGTCGAAGTCGTGGTGGTAGTGGTCGTGGTAGTATTCGTGGTAGTCGTGGTAGGCTTCTCCTGCTGATAATGTATTGCATCATACGGATGCGGCGACTCAGCGTCATAATGACCCCCGAGTGCCCTCGCTTTCCTATAACACCCCGCGCGATGCCTTCTATTATGATGATTATTATTATTATCAATGCTATAATGATTCCATCCCGATGACTGTGTTGGTCGCGACTGTGGGGCCACGAGGCGCTGGTGTGCGCGTAACAGAGGTAGGAGGAGGGAGCATGTCTGTGTGGACAGCGAGGATTTGAAGAAAGGGGATGGGATACAGAGGCGGAGCGGGAGCGCGAGGAGAAGGAGGAGGAGGACGGCGAGGGTGTAGAGAGCTGCGACGAGGGTGAAGGGCGGCACGAGGAATGAGAGGCGGAGCTGCGTGTAGATAATGGTTAGTTACATATTCCATATATTAGATATTAGAAATGATCTCGCTGCTAGAGCATTCTGAATCAATCTGATTGTTTTCATGTTCCTCAATGCTTTCAATGCTTTCAATTCCCGTGGCGGATGGGATGCTTTGCTGGTGGCGTCTCGGAACCTTCAGAATTGATTGAGGGGAGAGAACCAAGTTTCGTCCACCTTTCACAATAGACTTCCGGGAACGAAATTCAAGTCACCCAGATAATTTAAAAAGGGAAAAGGAAAATAAACACAAAAACAAAAGAGCAGCTATCTCACCAGTATAAAAAAGGCATTCTCCGTTTCCGTCGACCTAACTACCTCCAACCCATCCTCATTCCGATTCTGATCCTCATCTTCCCCAATCGCATCACCATCCTCTTCTTCTTCTGCTGCTGCTGCTGCTGTTGTTACTGCTGCTTCTTCATCATCATTCACCTTCATCCGCTGCGACCGCGGACTCGAATGGCCCGACACCAATACATCATGGTTGCTGTGATGGTGGATGCGACAGGCTTCACTTCTCGTCGGAATTTGGGGTGCAGGAGCATGAGTCCGATCCGGCATTGACGAAGGCCGTGGGAGGACAACTTGCTCAAGGCCATGAAGTTGCAAGGGGTGGTTGTAATACGTCTGGTCCGTTATCGATTGCGGGGAGAGGCATGGTGGAATGCGGCCAGCACTAGGATGTTCTGCGGATTGAGGTGGTATCTGAGGGAGATGGACAATGTGATGGGGATCAGAGTCGCCGATAGAGCGGGGGTTGCAGGGAGCATCGTTTCGAGAGTACGAATGCGGAGGAGAAGGGCTATTTGAGGACAAAGGCTGCTGGGGGGAGTAGAGGCGGTCGTCGTGGTCGTCGTGGTCGTCGTGGTGGCGGTAGGAGGAGGAGGAGGAGGAGGAGGAGGAGGAGGAAGGGGAGGGATGCGAGGACGAGAGGTTCAGAGGAGGAGAGGATGAAGGCAGCATGGTCGAACGGCTTGCGGTGTTACTATATAATATAGCTATCTATAACTAACTACTAACCGGCGGACTAGCAGCGGGAGGGCCAGGAGCAGGGTCTGCAGGTAAGGCATCGACCACGACGACAGGAGGTATGGATATCCATGGACGAGAGAAGAATGGGCGGAAGAGGCAGCGATATTATTGGAGGGGAGGTAGGAAGGACGAATAAGACGGGGGTGGAGGAAGAGAAGAGAGGAGCGGAGAGGAGAGGAGAGGAGAGGAGAGGAGAGGAGAGGGAGAAGAACATGAACAGGAGGAGAGAATAAAAGAGATCCTCTTATGATATATATCTCTCTTTGTGTGTATTATCGCGGGTGCCTCAGCCTGGGAGATCGAAAACAGCGCGCACTGTGGGCGGGACATTGCCCAGCGGAAGCCCAGCGCACCCAAGATGGCCCAGGACGAGAAAAGGCGCGGCGGAGCGCCGGGACTGGCTGCGCGGCCGCCAAGAACCACCCTCGCCCAGGACGCCCAGAGCTTGGCGGGGGGGTTGCTGGGCTGGGGGCTCGTCCACAGCCCAGAGGGCTCATGGGCTGCACATAGAGCAGTATACAGTATATATACCACGCCGGGACTATCCTGCAGCACCTCGACTCAGACAGACGCCCCTCTTGGCTTCGTGTGTGTCCCAGAATACTATACTTACAGTGCACTCTCTTCCACCGCAACCGCAAATAATCGGCGACATTACCAATACCGGACCAACCGCCCAAATACGAGTCCGGTCTTGGCGGAGATCTTGGCGCCTGTCTTGGCATTTCATCGCCGATGCCAAGACGGTCTGTGGGTCTTGGCAGAGCCGGTCTGGGCGGAATCATGTGATATGCCCGTCCATCATCGGCACAATATAATCTATCGTCCCCGTTCATGTACAGATCCGTATACCGTATACCGCGAACTGGTTGATGTATGCCCGCTGCCGATGCCGCCGCCCACAGTTCTCCGCCCTCGTTACCTGCCCCGTACCCAGTCCACGGATGGCTGCAGCCAGCCTGCTCTTCTGCAGCCAGCCGTTGCTCTGCACATGTGGAATTGTGTAACTACCAGTCACTATTCATCATTCTCTGGGGGATTGGTTTTTTTTTCTATGTTTCTTAGGCTCTATTTTTCCCTAACAAACCCTCCAATTTCTAACCCCCATTCTCCAATTCTACCCTTCTTGAAGTGATGGTGAGAAGCCGGTGTGTTTGACATGGAATGAAATCACCTCTGGCTAGAGTTGAATACCCTAGGTACTTGTCTTAGCATGGCTTCAAATTTGAATCCTGGGCAGGCTCAAGAAGTCCTTGGCAAATATCCGAATTCCCCCTTCAGATATTCTGAACCCCCCCCTCCCCCCCTTCGACGGTAAGTAACTATACTATGTATGAGTCAAAATTCTTGAGGAAATCCCGACGACAAGTCAGCACTATCTCTTTTTTCACTTCTCTCTCCGCGAGCCGAAAAAACCAGTCCCCTCTTGGCGTCGGGAGGAGCCAGGACCCACCAGGATAGTAATCACAATTCCCGCATCCTAAGCCGAACAAAAACATGAACATGGGATACGTTGCCTCCCCTCCTCCTTCACCTCCTTCACCTCCGAATCCACGCTGACCCCTGGGCACCGTTCCACCCACCAGGACGACGAACGAGCCGAGGAATCGCTCGCTATTTAACTCCCTTGCCGTAGCGTCGGATTTCGGAGGTTTCGGGTTTAAGGGAAGGTGGATGATCTCTTCGCTCCAAAGACCTAACAAAGACCAAACAAAGACCGTGCACACCAAGCGGCTTTTAGCGACAGACAGCCAAGAAGGATTTGAGGTTGAAGGGCTGGCTGGTTTGGTTTGGTTTGGTTTCGTTGGACCCTTCAGGGTATTGGGTATTCGGTCAAAATTGCATATATGATATGTCATATGCATGGATAACTATAAAGTCAAGAGTGTTTAGTGATCGATATACCCTTCTTCTTCTTCTGCTTCCCATCAAACGTCCCGGCGATGCAGGGTATCCAGTTTATTACATACGTTTTTAAGCCATTCACTTTTGATGTATTTAATTCTGCTTGGTCCTGCTCCCAGCTCCACGCCCATCATATCATTCTCATCATTATCATCATTGACACGGCACCGGCTTATTGGCAGGAGACAAGCTACATATATATATATATGATAAGTCCAATTCCTCCCGGCCGGGGAACAACGTTTATTATATCGACATTTCACACACCACCACCCACCCACTCACCCACTCACTACTCACTCACTTTCCCCCCCTCCCATATTGTGGGGTCCCCATGGCCCCGAGGTGCTCCATCACAAAGCCATTCCACGGAACAAAACAAAACAAGAAAAAAGAAAAAGAAAAGGAAAAATGACACCCAAAAACAGAAGCCACTTATTTAACCCCCCTTCATGATTTTGCCACCCCGTTCGATCGATTTTGTTCTTTTCCCCGTTTGATTTTCGTGGGTTGAAACAGGTTCGCGCTTCGAGCTTCAAGTTTCGAGCTTCGGAGGGCTTTTTTGGTTTTTTTTTTTCCCGGCCGAAACGTTGGGTGGTTGGTTCACTAGCCATTTTGGAACCTGGGTATGCTAACTTTTGGACGAGAAGGAAGAGTTGTAACTATGTTCTGCCAAAAAGGTAATAAAATAACACTAGCTAAAGCGACTACGGTCAAATGTATTTATTTATATCTGTATTTTTATTTATTCAATGTCAAAAGTTTCAAAACTTGGGTCCAGGACAATCGGAACTGGCGAAAAAAAAAAAAAAAAAAAAAAAAAGGAAAAAAATACAAAAAATACAAAAATAGGAAGATGAAGAATAGATAAAATGTAACGATCCAAGTAGAAGGATAGAATGGGAGAAAAGTGTATCAACTGCAAAACACATCAAAGAGAAGTGAACATAAAGAAAAAAATCATAATAAACAAAAATCCAAATAATAAAAAAACAAAAACATGAAAATGAAGGGAGGGAAGAGAAGGGGGAAGATACAGGGGAAAAACATGATGGATAAAGAAACAAAAAGAAAAGAGAAAAGAGAGGGCGACGAGAACCCCACTCCACGCACCCATTCATTCATCAAATGCGGTTTTTTGAAAAAAAAGAAATAATAATAGAAAATCAAAATCCAAACCAATCAAGGTTCTGACATATCCCTTTCATAAGTATGGATTCCAACCCCCTTCATACTGTTCAACTCGAATCCCCTTTGCCCTGCGCCTGAGCTTGCTGCGACTCCCTCCCACCCCCGCCATTAGCAATCCCGTTTTTACTCCCGCTTCCGCTGCCCTTTCCGCTGCTTCCACCGTTTGGGCTAGCCCCCTTCCCACTTGCGGTCGCGTTTCCACCAGCACTCTTCTTCTCCTCTTCCCCGCCATCATCATCATAATCCTCGTCAACTTCCATCTTCCGCGCCGGTGGTTCATGTTGCATCGCCTCCTTCCGCTCTCGCTCCCTTTCCCTGTCTCTTTCCCTTTCCCTTTCTCTTTCCCGCTCCCTTTCCCGCTCCCTATCTCTCTCTCTTTCCCGCTCCCTCTCCTCTTTGACCGAACCCGTTCCAGCAACACCGCCAAGGCCTGAAGGCAACGACGGCAGTGGCCCCGTTTGATGCCCATTGCCCCCCTCAGCCACCATCGGAGCCATCGCGGGGCCTGGTTGTGGCTGTGACTGTTGCTGCCCTCCTTGTGACTGCTGGCTCTGGCCTTGCATATGCTGGAAGGAAGGGAGTGTAGGTGGATGATGCGCTGCCTCAGAAGGGTGATAACCATCATGCACGCCGCGCCCGTGGACGTGGCGTTGTTCTTCGCGCTCACGTTCGCGCTGCTGGGTGTCGGAGGAATCGCGCCGGCGGAGGTCGCGGGGTGACGGGAGCTGAGTTTGTGATTGTGACTGAGAGGACGGGGACATGCGTCGTGGTGCCTGCTGTGGGTCATCTAGCCGGGCGCGACTCTCCTCATTCGCCAGTTTCTTTACAGGACCGGGACCTGGGTCCGGTTCCCAATCGCGGCCACGTTTCATGGATGATGCGGGCCTCTCATCACGGTCGCGTTCACGGTCGCGAGCGGCGGCTTCGGCGGCACCCATGGTGGATGGGGGTGGCGGGGCACCTGCGTTGGCTCCGGGGCCGGGGGGCCCTGGGTGATATTGGTGTGGTGGCGGGGGATATGTGGATCCAGGGGAACTTGGGCGGTCATCGCGAAGAGGCCGTACTTCGGTTGGCGGGGTGTAAGGGCGAACATAAGGCGCTAGCTGGGGACCGGAAGGAGCGCCATTGGGCGTAGCTGACGTAGGACCCGCTCCCTGAGCTAACGGCGGTGGTCGCCCGGCGGCAGTATAGTTTCCATTATTTGCATTGCGGTCATGTTGCTGCTGCTGTGAGGGTGGAGGTGGGGGTCCCAGCTGGGGAAGAGTCTGCCCGCTCTGATATGAATTTGGAGCAGCCAAGCTGAATTTCGGCGATGGGGAGAGCCCCCCCTTTCGAGGCCCAGGATGTTGAGTCTGCTCGGGGTATGGAAGCGCTTGGTCCTGTCGAGGGCTAGGTTGCTGGGGCGCGCCCCGCACACCTTCACGGTGATCGAATGGAGCAGGACGTTGTGGTGGTGCTTGGGAGTTTTGGACGTCGCCGACACTCCGAGCCCAATTGTCGATGCGACCAGGTGGCGCCGGACCTTGTGGTACAGGACCACCACTCGGTGCTGGAGGACCCCATTGGTGTCCAGGAGGCATACCCACGCCAGCAGCTTGATATGTGTGAGGATTGACATCTTGTGGAACGGGAGCATTAGCCTGGTTGGCGCCTCCTGCCTGGCCGCTTTGCAGCAGCTGCAATCGAGATTTAATGTGAGTATTTGTGGGGTCGAGATCAGCAGCGCGTCTATAAGCATCTAGCGCATCGTTCGTCTGGTTGTTGCATGATTCATACTGAATACAGGAAAGAGATGTTAGCTTCTTTACGGTAGAGCTGGGTAAGATATACATATATATATTTATATTTCAAAACATACCAAAGTCCCCAGATCATACCACACTTCCGAGATGTATGGGTTTAAGCGGATGGCACGGGAGTAGGCGTCGAGCGCATCACGGTACTGATTGATTTGGTAGTAAAGCACGCCGATGGAGCACCAGAATGTGGGATTCCTTCCGTCACGGTAGACAGCTTGCTGGTAAGCCTCATATGCCTTGGGGTATTTTGCTTGAGACATGTAGCACCGTCCAAGGAGGTACCAGCTCTGGGCGTCACTGTTATCTATCAGGGTGTCAGCAGCATACTCCTGCTGTTTTATCTTTCGATGAGAGATGTGGGGAGGCACATACCCGCTTTAACAGACTTCTCCAAATATTCAATGGCCTGTTCCTGGCTGCTGTAACTGTTGCTTTGTTGGTGGTGCAGCCATCCGAGTTGTTGTAATACCTTTGCATGATTGGGATCACGGTCCAGTACCCGTCGGTAAGCGGCCTTGGCAGAGTCGTACTGTGTCACTCGAGTTAGTACATAAAGGACGGAAAGAGTGACGGGGAAGGGGGAGGGAAGAGAGAACAAAAAGCAGCTTACATCTTTTTGTTGTTCATGGACATGGCCAATTTGGAACCAGATATCTTCTTCAGTCAGAGGCCGCGGGGGATCAGTGACGATATATTTGAAGCACTAAAAAAAATAAGAAAAAATTTAAAAAAAGTTAGACTTCATACTGCTATCACTCTATATTGTTTTTGTTTAACGGAGTTCAGGTCACCAACCTCCAGACTCTGACTGAATTTCTGTTGTTGTTTGTATATTATGCCAAGGCGGAAATAAATCTCGTTGGCCTTTTCGAAATCTGGTTGCATGCGCATGACTTGCGAAAAGGCTTCCTCTGCGTGGTCGAGAGACCCGTAGCGATCGTAGAGAATGCCAATGCCATACCACAATTTTGGTTCCTACAGAAATGTTAGGTAAAAATAAATGAAAATAACACTCCGGACGGGGTGAATTGATGAGGGAGAGGGGGAAAAAAAATACTAACTTGAGGATCTCTGAGATGATATAGAGCCTGTTGATACGAGGTGTATGCCTCTTGAAGATTGTCAATCATAAGATGGCAGTGTCCTATATGTATCCACACCCATTAGCCAAAAGTACAGCCCAAAGAGAGATAGAAAAAGAAAAAGGCCAACAAATGCAAAATACTAACCCAAACTCCCCCAGGACTCGCCATTTGTTGGATCCAACTTCAGGATATTTTGCAGATACTCAATGGCCTTTTGGAACTGTTCTCTGGTACGGAGGATACAGGAAATGGCACTCATCGCAGGGATAGACCATTGGTTATGCCTGAGAGCGTGTTCGTAGGCGCTCATGGCGCCATCCAAATCGCCTATCAATTCGGAGAGGCTCCCTGTCTCGCCAGTTAGCTACATCTGTATAAGTGGGGAGGAGTGATGTACATACCGATCTGCAGCCAGACGCCCTCGTTGAGCATAGCAATTTTCTGACTGATGGGATTGGCGATCGGCTTCTGCGCCTGGGGCTGTTGGACAGAGACAAGGCCATTGACTTGTTGCTGCTGCTGTTGCTGCTGCTGCTGTTGTTGCTGTTGTTGCTGTTGTTGTTGCTGCTGCTGCTGCTGTTGTTGCTGCTGTTGCTGCTGAGGATGGGTATTGGATAGAGCACCAGGGCCGGGACCGGGACCGGGAGCTGGAGCTGGACCAGCACCCGGAGCGCTAAGGTGTGGATGGATGCTGCCCGGAGGCGAAGCTTGAGGATGGGCGGACATTGTGGAATGATGGAAGGGGGGATGGTGCTAGTAGAAGAAGTGATGGGGCGGAGTGCTCTGCCGAGACATGGACATCGAACACAGGAATCACTGAGTCAGCAGCAAGACCCTTCCGGGGCAGTAGCGGACGAAAGCAGACATCCAATGCAAGGATTGCAGAGAAGGCGGGGAGAGAGAAAGTCGAGGAGGATGTGATGGTGATGGTGGTGGCGTGGTGGTGGTGGTGGTGGTGGTGAGTGAGAAAGGGTGATGTGGCGACAACAACGACTGAGGATGCGATATCGAACAAGTAGCCAAGTGAAGACGGGGATTATGTAACGAAGAGATACAGAATGGGTGGAGATGGGATGGGATACGTGGTACTTCCAAGATCGAGATGGAGGTGGGGATGGAGCAGAGAAGCGTAGAGCAGAGCACAGCGGAGGGGCGGAGCGGGGAGGAGGAGAGGAGGGAGAGGAAGAGAAGAGGAAGAGTAAGAGAAAAAGAAGAAGAAGAAGAAGAAGAGAAGGAGAGGATGAGAGGAACGAGGGCAGCAGCAGCAGCACCAGCAGCCGCCGCAGCAAGAAGCAAGCGTCGGAGCGAAAACAGCGAACGGGGCATTTGGCGCTAGTGGGAAGGGAGTTGGCCAGCGCCAGATGCCACCCAGACGACCGAAGCGGAATAAGACGACGACGACGACGACGCAACATCCACAGTACTACTATACTACTCAACCATCACCAGGGCACTAACTAGTTCATAACCACCATAGCAGTAATAATGATAGTGAAATACTAATAATAGTAATAACAAAGTGATCATAGTGATAATAGTAATAATACCAAAACCGCATATCGCTCAACCCTTTTCTCCCCCTTCCGCAGGAAACATGCCACCCAAGCAAAGAATGATGGCGGGCGTGATGGATCCACAATTCCACATCCAGAGCCAAAACGAGCCCCCCAGACAACATTCAAGCCAACAAATCCCTGCCCTGGCCTAGCCCGGGACTTGGCAGGTCCTTGGCGGGCCTAGGGGCTGGCGGCAGGGCGGCAGGGCGGCAGGCTGGCAGACTGGCGGGCTGGCAGGGGCTGGGCATATGTAAGCACGCATTGTAGTTAGTTAGTTTAACTGAGTTAACTAGTTTAGTTCGCTAGTGTAGTTAGCTAGCCTAGCCCACTAGTTCAGCTAACTGAGCTAGCGGGTTAGTGGGCTGCACTGGTCCGTGGGGCGTACTACTGTACTGCTACCCTTCTCGAAGTACTGTCCCATCTTCCGCTGAATCTCTGGCGCATCGTGAATTCGTTGATCCTGGGGCCCGCGGGCTGGTGTGGGGCCACGGGGCTACTGGGCCAGGGACCCATGGGCTGGCCACGGACGGGCGAAGTGGGGTGCAGCCTGCCTGGAACCGTGGCTCTTGCAGCCCTGGAGGTCCCCTAGAATCCCTCCCTCGGATAGGGCACTGCACGCACTCATTGGCTAACTCGCACATGTTCTACCTGGGTACATCGTGTACATCGGGTGCATCATGCACATCAAGGAATGGGCCTGACGTGGTTCCGACGTGGGTTAGTGCGGTCACCGTTCCCTGGTTGCCCGTGGTTGGCCGGCTGGCCCGCAGGCGCCCACTGGCGGGGCCAGATTAGTCAGGCCTCCCGGGGTCATCCTCGGCGATCCACCCAGATCCACCCAGGAGCCATGGAGGAAAAAGCAAATGCTCGTGGACCCCGTTGACCATCTGGTACCGGTACCGCCGTCCCACAAACAAATAAAAGGGCTCTCTTCCCCCCGGGTCAGGCCAGTCACTGGCAACCAGGCAAGTCATCTCCATACTAGCATTTTACACTTAGCATCTATTTAAGAGCTAACCAGAGTAACAACCTCGTCAACTAAAACATCGACTGGTTATTGACTAGCTGACCAGTTAACGAACTACAGCGTCGTAAACCGCTCTGTAATTTGTGCCAAAGTGCATCTCACTAAGCGTACCTCCCATTAGTGAGTGCACCACACTACAACAGAATTCACACTGTAATAGAATTCTACCAACTATTCTTATTCCTCATCTGCTCATTGATCCTCATCACCATGTCTAAATCATGTGATAATGACATCAACATCCGGAAAAGAATGGTCAATATGAGGAGCTCAGAGAAAATAGCAGTAACATTGGATTTTACCATAACTAGTAGGCCCTCATGCTCTGCTTGGCGCCGGAAGCATTGCTAAATATGTTTGTAGCTATTGCTAATTCGAAATGTCCCGGTGGTAGTTACTGGTTAGCCTCCATATCTTAGTTGACTATTGGGGCTGCAAGGTAGTGCTGGCATATATATATGTATATATGTATATATATTTTTGGTGAAATGTTATCATATGAAGATTGAGTGATGTTCGAGTCTCGTCTGGGAAGGGAAAGAGAGATCAACTCTGCAAGATCTCTATAATAAATAAACCGTGTCTATAGATGGATACAGCATCTTGGTTGTATTGGTATCCCTATCACTCGTTAGAATGCCACGTGACCATACCTATTTAAGCAGTGCTGCGCCTGCTGGATACTTACAATGAACCAAACCTTCCACCTCCATCAGGTTGTCTATCGTTTGTGAAATAGGCACTTTCACAATAAATTAGCACGTCAAGTTCTCGTTTGCTTACATATGTGTGGACTGTTGCAATGTTGCAATGTTGCATGTGCGCATCCTTTGAGGGCTGTGACGATCATATGTTATTCGCCCCACACACATCCCGCTGCGTGTCCTTGTGCTTGCATGGTAGAGGCGCATGCAGTGCACAGGGCTGCTGGGGGGGAAAGATTCAAGCATTGGTTAGTAATTATTGTGGCTGAGGACTGGTTAAGTGAGGAGGGAGCGCCTAACTAAAGGTTATCTACGCAAAAGTATGTGTGCATATTCTTCCGGGCAGCCACTGCTCGGGATCTTGGGGAGGGGGCAAAACAACAAAGCGCCGCCGATGCTAACCCTGTTGCTCCGATTGGGAGGGGTGAGGTGCGCAAGTTTCTGGACATTAAATGGGGCGGTTTCATGTTGGCAACCGGCGGCGCAGGATGTGACTGAGCCTGTCGTGGGGCACGGAGCGCTGGTCTCAAAGCTACATAAATACCCAACTCTTCGGTCCATTACAGATCTGTACAGAGTGCACGACACCACATCACACTACATCCACTCCACTACACTGCGCTACACTGCACTAGTTAGTGGCTGGCGCTAGGGCTGGGCTTATTTTTAACTTTAGATGTTTTTGTCCAAGCGTGAATGAGGAAAGGATCGGGTTGTTCTGCTTGGCGACAGACAGGGGTAAACTCGTCATGACCGAGCAGGGTTCGAGTCTTCCAGAAGAGGCAGACAGTCAGTCAGACAGACAGACAGGATATCCCGTCGAGACATGTTATTTTCCCGCTCCCAACATCGGTGTTCGTCAAAAACACTGACACACAAATACGAGGCATAATACGACCACAGAGAACACCTGGGTTGCACTGTACGAGCCAAAAAGGGCGATGTGAGGGCTATCTTCCTTTCCTCCGTAAGGGGCGTCATACCCCCGTGAGAAAAGTTTCTCTCTCCCTCGCTGGGCCGGAGAGAGTCAAAATGATGGCCGGGGCAATTGAGCGGTGAGATGAAGTTGAAACAAGGCAGGAATTGATGGGGGCTGGCCTGAGATCGGCAAAAAGATGCCGATGCTAAAAGAATAAGATTCAAAGGAAAAAAAGGAAATAAAAAGAAAAAAGAAAAAAAGCAAAAGGGAAAAAAGAAAAGAAACTTGAAGCTAAAGGCGCAACACAACTCTGTTGATCTCCACAATTCCCACATCTTTGAGATTATGGCTAGTATTAGCCTTTCCCCACCTTTTTTTTAGCCAATTGTTATACGTTCTGTGATGAGAAACAAGCCAAGGAGGAAAATTAAGAAAGCAACGAAAAAGATCGCAAAAAAAAAGAGCCGGCGGTTTGAACGATGACGGTGAGTGGGTCGGTGGCACAGACGATGTACGCACACAGCAGATACACAGGATGTGCAGTGCAGTGCAGTGCAAATGCGCCATGCATGGATATGACGGACTTGAGGGTGACGCTGGGCTCATCCGATTTGCAAATATTCTGTACTACGATTGTGCCCGGTGATGGTTGCGTTGTGCTGCGTCAGTAACTGTCTGTCTTGATTGGATACTAATATTAATTTCCGTCTGTGGATGCCAAGTCAAAGCTCCCTTTTTATCCTTGGTTTCAGATGAGGCTGAGAAAAAGCAAGAAAAGAAGGAAAATAAGAGCAAAATAAGAACTCAGAATGGAATGGAACAGAACATCGTCACAATCCATTTTATCTGCAAGCCACTGACTGGGGTATCGTCGAAGGGGAACCACCTCCCAATATAACGGATCCTGGCCACACAGCACATGACATGCATTGGTTCTTGGATAGGTCAAGTCCTTGCCTTGTTATATCTGCACATATGATTAGCGTACAGTCAGAATCTTCCGCTGATAATTCCCGAACACCTTCATACTGGAGTTGGGACCCTCACAGGATAATGTACGTTTTTGGCATTAGTCCCTCAGGGCTTTGGACTGAGGGAAATCCCCATTGAGCCCACAAGAATCACTCCTTAAAATAATCCCAGCAGCCGTGAAAGGAATTACTACACTCGGGTGCTCCTAACCACCACTAAACAAATTATAAAAGAATCCAGGGGCCCTTTACCGTCTACTCAGTGGAACTCTCGTCTCATAAGCTGGCTTTGTATGCCGGGTTGCGTCAGAGAATCCGCACGATATCCTTCTCTTCACGTCCATAGTTATAGATCTTGCTTGGTATTTGGTTGAACTGGCTTTTTATTTGCTTCGGCACACTTCATAGACACGTGATGAGAAAGTCGACCAAGCTGCAAGCTCAGGTATCGCGTCATAAAGTTGTTGAACTTATTATCTCGTTGACACATGCCAGAATAACAACGCACTCAAAAATCCACATTAATGAGAGTACATATCCTTCTTGCACACGTTTTCAGATGCCCAAGTGGCCCTGGTTTGAACCAGGGCGCAACTGAGGAAATAATAGTAACCCCCGATCCCATCCCGCTTATCCACACCCAATACCCCATCCGATCAAATCCTAGTAGTAGAACGAAATGAAAATGCAAAAAACACAACATCACCAACTCCCATTCGGATATGGCTCGTTTTTCGGCCCCTTGGCCCAGTCTTCGTCCCTCCCATTCCAGTACTGCAACCGAATCTTGCTCCAATCAATCCCCTGATCCGTATCGATCGTCAACCCATTCACAATCCAAAGGCGCAAGTCCCCATGGCTCCCGAAAATAAAACAGGAGACCCCACACGTCTTGCAGAAGTAGTGGCGCACCCTCTTCGGGCCGAAGCTGTACTCTGCCAGCTCGTCAAGGGAGGCCGGCTCGAGGAGCGTGATGTCCTCCTCTGCCTCGGCTCGGATGGATACCGAGCCGTTTTTGAGGCAGATGCTGCAGTTGCAGCGGCTGGGGGTGAGTTTGTGGATGTCGAGATTCACGGTGTATTTGACGAAGCCGCAGTGGCAGCTGCCGGTGTAGGGTTTTTTGGACGACGAGGGGGCTGTTTCGGTCGTCATGGCGGTTTTTTTCTTTCTTCAACTTTTGGTTCTTGGTTGGAACGGTGCGATGTATGGAATGTGTAGGCTTCAGTATATATATAAATATATATATATCTCTATTGCTGTTGGAGACGGGGATGCACGATGTAGATGGCCAGCGTTGCTGCTATAGAAATATATCCAACCCCGCGTGGGCGGGGTATTAGCTCAGCCCGGAGGCTTGGGCTGAGGGTTTCCTGTGGCGTCGACAACAAACAAGGCCATGGCCCATGTTCAACTTCTCTCCCACAGCAATAGATCAGATGAGAAGAGAGCACCGCATTTTCAGGTAAGCGTTTTAGTGAGCTGCAGCCCTAACCAAACTAGACCTCACAAGCATCTGTTAGGTAGAGCTTGCTTATCAACATCATCTGAGTTTCAAAGCCTGGCAGAGAATTCACATTAACAGGAACATTAAATAAACCCTTCATTAGTCCTGAGTCGGAAGAAAAAACGAACTGACCACGACTGTTAAAATACAAAGATAGAATGAACGCGAAGTTTCAGGCCATCAATCTCTGGGCCGTAGTCCACTGACAACTGCCAACATAAACAATACAAGCATACACGACATATTACACAGGTAGATTGCTAACCCACACCAGCCCTCTTAACAATCACCGCGGTTGGCCTGGTGCGATATTAGGACCGAGACACCATCAACTTTAATAACATCAAATGTCGCATCGTCATCTGAATCTCCATCATCAACAGCACTTCCCTCGCTAGGAATATCAAATGTCATATCATCAAACTGCTTGACAGTCGAGTTCGCAAGCTTCTGTGGCGTGGTATGGGCCGATAATTTAATTGCATCAAGCAGTATACTGTCAAGGAATGCAACCACCTGATCACTGCGCATGGCCCATGACAATGGCTCAGATTGCATTGCCTTTCCTGTCTCATGAAGCACAAGAAATCGAAAGTCTACAAGATCAGTAAGAATGCCAAAGACAGCTGTCTTTTTTGCTTTCATCTGGGCTTCTTGAACAGCAAATAAATAAGCCAATATCTGAGCAATACTATCTCCTTGGATAGCAGATCTAGCTTCAACTGCTACTACCAGCATTTGTTCCAATCTGGTTGTATCCACTATGTAGCCTAGGGACCAATCTGCTCTGCCAGAGATTGTGCCGCCACCGTACTTCTGCTTCACCGTTGCAGTCAGGGGCACATTGTAGCTGACACAAAATTTGTTGGCAGCTGAATCATCCAGTTGATCCAGTCGATCTGTAAGTAGAATATTGAACAATGTGTAGATGGATTCCTTGTATTGAAATGTTGAAAATGCTGGAGAGTCTACAATCTTCTCTAAAGCAGTCACTAGAACATAGTCAATACAAAGGTTGAGAATTTCTCATTGAGTCTTGACTCACTAGCCCAGCCAGACAGAGGCTTCTCAGCACTCTGATTCAACTGATCCTCTGTCAAAGTCCATATGTATTCTCGCTTGAATACATTGAAGTCAGTACCCAGTTTTTCCGTCATCTGTTGAAGTGTAGATTTTGAAGGTGGGTATGATGGTGGAAGAGCAGAGCTTGGAATATTGGAAACTGCAGATGCAATGAATCGAAGGAATGGCAACAGCACATGCACTTTGTCTTCTGAAAGACCATCTTTTAGAACTGTGTTCAAAGTTCTAAAGAGGTCTGGAAAGCCTGACATGGCTTCCGTGAGGTCAAAATAGGAGTGCGAGGCGATGGGCTTTTGTTTCTTCGCTGGCGGTGCCATTTCTGCTGCTGCTTACTGCTTAAAAGGGAGGCAAGTCGTTAATCGTAGTGGGAGTTGTTGTTGCATGGAATGGAGGCTGCTAAGATCAACGTTATCGAATTCGGTGAGCGCGGAGTGTCAGTTGTTTGCCGTCGAATTCCAAGGTGGACCACCTCATCGTCTGGGAACGATGGCAGCAATTAGCGCGTTGTCGTTCTGTCGCCTATTCTTCTGATTCCTCATCGGTGCGTAGCTACAAAAGTGGCGATTGACTAAAAGGGGACACTCCGAATAGATCATTTAAAGATTTTTATAAATATGAATTTACAGATGAGCTTCAGTTTGATATTGATTCAGAGAATGTATATAAAGATTATACAAATTATAAATGAGAATACAGCATGTATCACTAGTTCTCTACTACTGAGTGATTATTGACTGACTAGTTAGTCTACTTATGATAATTGTATAACAAACACACTTTCCACACGGGCATGCTTCGCTTGCTACGCTTGCTACGGCCAGTTACACATAAGCATAAATAGTTAACTATCCGAGTATTCTGAGGTTTTCGTTGGTTGGGCAATTTGTGGCCTGAGTTGCCTCGAGGGAGCACGCTTCCGATGGCCTTCCTCGAGTAGGGAGGCACAGCACAAAAGATAAGAGGGGATATAACAAAGCAGCCATGGAGGAGGCACTGAAGAAATATGAAGCTAGAAACGAGGAAAAAAACAAGGAAGAGTCGAAGTAGACAAATTGAATTTTGTCGGAAAGAAATTATAGTGACTCGCCTTTTTTTGTATTTTCGTTTCTGTCAAGAAGAATCAGCTTAGAAGGCGAGTCGGAACTGCTCGTCGTATCTCTCTTTATATTTAACTTTTGACTCAGCGAAGTCCCACGCGTTAAGGCACAAGAAGGTTAATTCATCGTAAATCTCACTGTATTGCGGTTCGTTGATCTGACCTCCTGCTTAACTTGTCAGCAGTATGGAGGGTGTTGCATTTCAATAGGGCGAATGCAGGTCTATTCTGGGTCAATAACGTTTGTGATATGCCAGTCATCATCAACAAATGGTCCCGAGCGTAGCTTGCCGTCTCAAATATATATATATATATATATATATTAGAGTCTACAGTTCTCATCGTTGCCAATGCACACATCTGGCTGATGCAATCTCCCATACTCGAGGCGACATGTGGTTGGTAACGTAGCTGATTGTCATGAAGAGCTAGAACATCCTGAATCTAAGTGTCCACGGTCGGATACGTTGGTTTCCGCGATATATCAAGGGGGATGTTCTCATTTTCGAAGTCGCAGATTTCCAATGTCAACGGCCGGTTACTGATGCACAAGACGCCACCATCATTGATTGTCAACGATCCGATGTGTGGTAATGGCTTCCGGGAGAGAGTAAGTTGAATTTTGGCTAAAGCAATGAAAAGGTTGCGCCTAAGGGTTGTATCGTGTCTCCGCTTATCGTATGATTAGAGAGCATATGCCCGTTCTCGACATACCCAAAAAGCATATATCCAACACCAAGCACATCAAGTGTAGAAGGTTTATTAACTTGGTACACGTACTCGTTGTCCTGTTGACAAGCCAAATCCATCAAGACAAGCAGTTGGGATATCAGGGCATTCTTCGCCAAGCCACGCATAAGTAGCCGCTTCACATCGAACTTTTTCATCCCCGTGATCAGGGCTAGCAGGCTTATACGGGAGGTGAGCCCGTATAAGCAGCCGGATGCTTTTCCGATCCGGCTTTTGAATGGAAACTGGAACAGAGAGATTGTAGCTGCCATTTAGCCATTCCGACGGTAGAAGTCAAACAGAGATGATGAGCGATGATAGCTTTGATAAGGGAGCCTTTCGCCCCAATATGATCTCTGAAGGCAGCCGCATTTGTCTCGTAGGTCAACGCTTGCAAAGCACTTACAGTCTCATTCTGCCTTGCCTCTGAGTAAGTGACTTGCCTTCCTAGAAGGCGCCTCGTCACCGGTATGGCTGCATTGGCAGTCCGAAACTCAAAACAAAACAGGTGTTGGTGGGAAATAGGGATGCAGCAGGATAGAGATGTCCTCCTGGCTCAGACGTTATTTTCGTCGTGTTAGTCAATCAATCGGACGGAGCCATTCAACTCTACTTCCCGTCAGTGTTTGTACGAGAATAGCTCACATTCAATTCAGCGATCAAAATGTGAGCACAAACGCTAGATGTTATTGTTGGTCATTTGGTAGAATACCCTTGTATACGCACGGTTTTAATTTTTGAATGTCCAAAAACTTTATCTCAAAGAAAGTTATTTTGTGGGTACACATTCAAGAATTTATCAATAGGCACATATCCTCAACAACAGTTATTTATTCGTAAAATCACTACCACGAGCTAGTCCGATTGGGTGGCCAGGAAAGCAAAGTAGTAGCCTAGCGAGCAGGCGGCGGCGTATAGAAGCAGGAAGAAGGAGGTAGGGAATCTCTATGAGATATCCTTATATTGCCTGATGGACATGTCACACGTAGCCCAGAGGGGAGTCTGACAAGCAGGGAGTGATCTCATTGAGGTATCCCTATCCATTATGGTCGCATCTTCCCACCATCGCAGACAAGGAAGGTTGTCGCAGGAATACCAAAGGACCAACGGCCAGAATTGCCAGATATTAGGCATTCCAGTAGTTTCCATAACTCTGATAGAGACGCGAAACATATATCAATTCCAATTCGCTCTCTCATTTGATGTGGTAAATGGGTTGTGGATATTTTTTGATCTTTCTCCTCAACGCTTCGGCAGATATACACTAGCCCCAAAATGGGAAACTAATGCCAAGACATCGCTTAGCTCAGCCCACACTCGTCAAATTGGGACGAAATAATCTACTTCCAACTCGGACTTTTGTCGACAGGACGGACAGACGGCAAACCTCTTTACCACCTCGCCAAACTAACCACAACAGGGTCAAGATGTGAGTTGCTTTCTGGATGTCCTGCTGTCATGATAATTGAGTCCGTCAGGGAGCTAAATACTGATATCTTCCACTTTTTCTCAATTACAGGAGTCACCGGAAATTCGAAGCCCCTCGGCACGGTTCGTGGAAATTCCATCTATATTTCTCCTGTTTTGTTGGCATTCACAGGCAATTAGAGCTCCCGTGTACGACCCTTACTGATATGCGATTTGTGTAGGCTCTCTTGCCTTCCTTCCGAGGAAGCGCAGTGCGAGACATCGGGGAAAGGTTAAGAGGTCAGTCAATTGTTGAGATTATCTTTGACGCACAATTGTCAGCGAGGAAGGAAGTACTGAAACCTTTTGCTCAACGAACGAACAGCTTCCCCAAAGATGACCCCAAGAAGCCGGTCCACCTCACTGCCGCCATGGGCTACAAGGCTGGCATGACCACCACCGTCCGCGACCTTGAGCGTCCTGGTGCCAAGATGCACAAGAAGGAGATTGTCGAAGCTGTCACCATTGTTGAGACACCTCCGGTAAGATTGAAGCTGATTTTCATAAACTCTTGATTTGGCTTTGGACAAGGGATTTTGTGAATCTAATGTCTATCCTTTGTCCGCTTTTCTAGATGATCGCTGTTGGTGTTGTTGGATATATTGAGACTCCCCGAGGCCTCCGATCCCTCACAACCGTTTGGGCCGAGCACTTGAGCGACGAGGTCAAGAGACGATTCTACAAGAACTGGTACAAGAGCAAGAAGAAGGCCTTTACGAAATATGCCAAGAACCACTCTGAGAACAAAGGTGCCTCCGTCGCGCGTGAACTCGAGAGAATCAAGAAATACTGCACTGTCGTCCGTCTGCTCGCCCACACCCAGATCCGCAAGACCCCGCTCAAACAGAAGAAGGCCCACCTCATGGAAGTCCAAGTGAACGGCGGCAGCGTCGCTGACAAGGTCGATTTCGCTCACGGCCTGTTTGAGAAGCCCATTGAGATTGATACCATCTTCGAGAAGGATGAGATGATCGATGTCATTGCAGTTACCAAGGGCCATGGATTCAATGGCGTCACTAGCCGATGGGGAACCAAGAAGCTTCCTCGCAAAACGCACAAGGGTCTGCGAAAGGTTGCTTGTATTGGTGCCTGGCATCCGTCACACGTCCAATGGACTGTTGCCCGAGCTGGTCAAGACGGTTATCACCACAGAACCTCCTGCAACCACAAGATCTACCGTATCGGCAAGGGTTCCGATGAGGGCAACGCCTCGACTGAATTCGACGTTTCGAAGAAGCAGATTACACCGTAAGTTTCTGCCCAACTCCTCCATCCACCCAATTTATTCCATACAAATGATGCTAATAATACCTTTTTGTCTCCAGAATGGGCGGCTTTGTCCGATATGGCGAGGTCAAGAACGACTACGTCATGATCAAGGGATCCGTCCCCGGTGTCAAGAAGCGGGTTCTCACTCTGAGAAAGACGCTTTACCCACAGGTCAGCCGCAGGGCGTTGGAGAAGGTCGAGTTGAAATGGATCGACACCTCGTCGAAGTTCGGGCACGGAGCATTCCAGACGCCAGCCGAAAAGCGGGCCTTCATGGGCACCCTCAAGAAGGATCTTGTTACTGCTGCATGAATTTCCTAATAAAGAAAATCAAGATATTAAAATATTCTGGTTCTGTTTCCATTTTATGCTGGCCTAGCTTCTGTCAGACTTACTTGCCTTGTTATTACCTTTTTTTCCCCCTCAATCGGTCGGTGCAGGTGCAAATGAATATTTCTTTTCCACTTCTTATTGATATAATCAATACCTGATAACTTCCCCATTTCATCTGCCCTTGCCGCTCGTTTCATTACGCCTGAATAAAATGAGAGTGTAAGAAGCTTTTGCGGGCAAGGTATAAGTGAAGACAAATGGAGTCTGGTAAAGGATGAGACCAATCATCCTGCACCGTAAAAACCCGCAAACAAAAGTAGCCTGTTCTCTTGATGCCTTGTTGTTCTTGGACCGATCTACCTTTTTATAGCCGCCCGGAGTGAAGCTTCATAGAATCCGTCTGATGTACGCCGTTCACTGCCAGCGATTTCCTTGCCTTGTATAGATACGCAAATAATACAATGCGCCATCTTTCATGTGCAAGTGAGACGATGAAATTATGGCCTTGATGGAATTTCCATTTTCCTTGCGTGATGCGGACCCATGGATTAGCATTTGCGTCATACCCCTGTATAGTTCATCCTCCCAATCCCTTCTGAGCCGGTCATCGTTGAGCATCCATTCCACCCTTTATCGAAACTGAATAAATCATAATTTCGTGATGGAAGCATCCCAAGAACGAAAAGAGCTTACATCTAAATAATTGGCTCGTTTCATAATACCTCTCGACGATTGCCAGAATACTCGAAACGTCCATGACCCCCTACCAGTGAAAACCCCACGAAATAACACAACCATCATGAAGCTCGACCAGGCAGTAATTGACCTCCTCCACCTAGACGCAGCAAATACCACAGTAAGCCGTGTTGGGGGCGGTTGCAGCAGCGCATCCTCTGCGAAAATCAGCACAAAACTTGCAGATGGCACTGAAAAACACTTTTTCATGAAAACCGCAACGGGAGAGGCTGGTAGGGTGATGGTACAAGGTAACTGACTGACAAACCGTTTCCCGATCATCCATCATCCATATTCCAGATTTACAGCGCAATGAAATCATATTTCATCCCTTTTTATCCCATAAAATCCCCTTCCCAGAGAGCACTTCCCTGGTAAACATGAGAATGTCACATATAATGACTAAATCCGAAAACGGAAACACAATCATTCAGGCGAAGACGCCTCCTTAAAAGCCATCCACGCCGTCGTCCCAACCCTCTGCCCGCAATCCTTCGGATGGGGCGCTCTCTCTTCCTCCCCTTCCTCGCCCCTAACCTATTTCCTAGTCGTTGATTTCCTCGAGCCTTCCTCACCCTCCAACTCAATCTCCCGTCGCCAAGAACATAATTTACCCCGCAAATCGCTCGCGGAGAAGCTCGCACAGCTACACACAACCCCAGCGCCTGTGCCGGACGGCTACTCAACGCCTCAATTCGGCTTCCCAGTCTCGACATGCTGTGGCGATACAGCGCAGGATAACTCCTACAAATCCTCCTGGGCCTCGTTCTTCGCGGAGAACCGGCTCCGGTTCATTCTGCAGCGCGCAGAGGCGGCGAATGGAAGGCCTGATGGTGAGCTGCGGCGGCTTGTGGAGAGGACAATAGCGCAGGTTGTGCCGCGGCTGTTAAGCGATGAGCATTTGAATGGCGGGCGTGGGGTAGTACCAGTGGTTGTGCATGGGGATCTGTGGTCTGGGAATGCAGGGTCCGGCAGTTTGGCGGGGAGAAGAGTTGAGAAAGTAATATTTGACCCATCAGCATTTTACGGGCATAGCGAGTATGAATTGGGGATTATGAGGATGTTTGGAGGCTTTGGTGGGGGGTTTTTGGAGGAGTATCATCATCTTTGTCCGAAGACACAACCCGTGGAGGAGTATAATGATCGCATTTCTTTGTATGAGTTGTAAGTGCTGTCCCTTCTTGTCCCTTGCCTTTTATTTTCTCGAAAAAATATATAGTTTAATTGTGGTGGGAATGGGCTGATTATTTGGATGCACAGATATCACCATCTCAACCATTATGCTCTTTTTGGTGGCTCATACAGATCAGGGGCTATACGGATTATGGAGATGCTGCTACAGAAATATGGATCTTGACAGACTTAGCGAGACGGATAACCTGAACTGTTTGATAAGCTAAAGAGGGACATTTTCAATTCCTTGTTATGTATCTGCGAAATCACTATGAGAAAGGTGAAATCCCCGCTTGGCTTGGTGATGACCTCATAGCTGTAAAATCACATGACCGCCCCGCTGGTGATCCTATACAAGAAACTCAGTCCTAATTCATTTTCAGATAAAGTGCTCCAATAGACATAAGGAAGAGAGAAATGAGGAATCAGCTATTCAGAATTTCAAGGACAAGATTCTACTTCATCCACCACTGTGTCAGGGTAAAAGGAGGACCTAATCAGCGCGGACAATTCTCCACACGAGCCGTTCCCCTGGGGTCATCGTTGTCGCAACAGCTCCATCATCTCACCACCAATACCACCACTCCTCGAATCATTGGGCGTTCCCACCACATTTCACTCCTCTCTCCCACATACTGCAACCGTAGCCGCGGCCTCAATAACAACCACGGCCCACCAGCAAAACCCCGTTCCTCATTTCTTCCTTCTTCATCATCAACACCCACAACAACAACCACCATGTCCTCCGATGATGCCTACGCAGCCTTTCTCGAAAAGGCAAATGAATCCCCTTTCAAGAACACACCGCTGACCGCAGCTCAGCAACAGGAAGAACATCTGCAGACAAAAAGGATTGACTCAAATGTGTCTGTGCCCACTGTCCTCAGCGATGTGAAAATATACTACACCTCCGAAACAGACGAGCTCTTCGAGCCTGTAGCACTGCACTGGAGCGGAGCGATGGAGAGCCGGTGGCCAGATGTTGGTATGTTCTTCCTCCCCGCTACCTTCCTTCACACGCACACAGAGAGAGACATATATATGTATATATATATATTTAGTATACAAAAACTAACCTAATCAGACGAATTCCAAACCCTCATTCTTCCCAGCACCGACACGCGCGCTACCAGCGCCTCCGCGACCGCCGCGGCGGAGGCAGCAGACATCCAAACATCCATCCTCTCCCCGTCCGCCTTCGACCCGAATAACCACTACGCAACAGTCACGAATGCGGTGATGATTGCGACCGGGGCCGGAAACGGGGCCGGGGACGGGAATGAGTTCGATACGAAGCTGGCGGAGGCGAAGGTGAAAGTGTATCGAGTGCAGATGAGCTGTGCGAGGGTGGAGTATTGGGTTGTCGGGATGGATAGACATGGGGAGGGAACGATTGTGGGGTTGAGAGCGAAGGCGGCTGAGAGTTAGGGGGCAGGGGGTTTGGATTTTCTCTTGGAGAGCAACCCTTTTGGGTTTTTTTTCTCTTTTCTTCTTTGCTTCTTTTACTTCTTTATTTTATTTTATTTATTTATTTTCGGGATCTTTATGATTTATGGTTGTTGTTTAGGGAGGGGCGGGAGTTATGGGTTGGATTGGGTCGAGGGTTTGCGATTTTCTATTGCCATCCCAGGAGGATTAATATGAAATAGAAGGTGGTTATGACTTCGCGGAATATCAGTTTTCCCTATTCTAATTCTAAATTTAAGATATCGCTGCAATTGGGCCTCCGCCCAGCAGCAATCAAAAAAGGTTCACGCAGCCATATGGGATTGTGCCCCCTAAAGAAGCATGTGAAATTGAAAACATAGAACTGAATTTGCACATCTACATGTACTGCACAACTCCAACGAAAATCGGTCAATAGATTCTTACCTGTAGAATGTCGTTTGAAACAGAACGAATGCATCTTGCCTCTCCAGATAACATCGTTTCGTCTCGTTATTTCGCGTTCATTTTCCTTCGTCATCAACTCTCCGTCTTTTGAAACTACTTCTTTCCGCTCCCATAGGATCCTTCTCTTCCCAGTCCACCATTCCAGCATCCTCTGCGACCACGGTGCCTGATGGTGTGCCACACTCCTCTGTCACTGAACCAGCTGACGAGCTACAGATTTTCGCCTCCTCAGATGTTGCACAGGGCTGCGGCTGTGTATGCACTCCAGGAAGCCTTTGGTTCGCAGCGTTAATGAACGCATCTCTGATTTCCTTCGCCCAGTCGCGGGCATTTCTATAGGCGGTAGCTCCTTGCCGGAAGGATTCTGGATCACTGGTCAGAGACCAACCCTTGATCTGAGTCATAATGTATTTAGGGTGGTTTCCAAGACAGGTTGGCTGGGTGGGATGGGAGGTGTATAACTTCAGGGTCCCGTCGTGATAGGTAGCCATGATGGTGTACGCTTTGTTATCATACACTGGGATATCTTGCCCGTAGGACTGAAGGCTCTGGATGCCTCGGGCGCCTAAAGCGCCATCATAGCAAGCCTGTATTCTTGCTATCGCGGCAGAGTCATCGGGTCCCTTTGCTTCCAGGAAGAAATTGGGTGCCATTGGAAGGCTATCATCGGTTGAGGGAATGATGAGGTCATTGAGCTGGTTGCGAATACTTCGGTCAAGTTGCTCCGGGCGAGCCCCATCAAAGCGGTCTGGCTTTCCAGGAACAAGAGAACCGTCTGTTAGAGGAGCAAGATTGGCAAATGAACCCTCCCGCCCGTTATATGCGGTAGAGCTGGTAGCGCCCTCAATGGTTGGAATCACCGATGCCAGTACCGAGTGCTTATGGGATGCATACGCAGCCACCCGTGCGAAATTTTCAAACGCATCATCAGTAAAACTTGATGGCGACAGGGAATCTCGAGGCTCGGCTAGTCTTTCATTAATCTCCTTCCAATTATCTGGCTTCGCTGATCTTCCGCCATCGGGAGCCTCGTAGGCATAAGGGTAGACGCCGTGATCTATGAGATTCTGCTGGAAGGTATATCTATACGCTATTGCGCGCCTGGTTTCGGAGATCGCGGCGAATTCAACTCCTTCAGACGTTAACGATGGAGTGCTTTGAGTGGCGTGCCTGTCGAGTTCCATTAATCGGCTCAGAATGTCTTCAAGGGATGGGGGCTAGAGGAAAGACGGGATGGTCGGTCAGCTGCAATTCCAGAGTAAATACTACTTACTACCTGGCAACAATGCTTACACTTCTCGGACCAGAACCACCATGCGTGGCACAGTGTTCCAGCTCCTCACAACGGCCTAGCTCACAGCTACGGTGCTGGATATCTTGGTGGCTCTCCTCCATCCAAGCACGACATTGAGCGTCCCTCCAGCTTAACTCCAGCTTTCTCAACACGGCTATGGTGAAGCAAGTATTTGGATATCTCAAGAAGACGCCGACGAGGTTCGAGAGCAATTGGGTCGGTCGACCTTTTGCCTCTTCGATGGATTCTTCGATGCTCTGTCGGATGGCAGGTGTGAGCATTGTGGCTGCTTTGGCCTATGCGGATGCACCAGGCATATGGCAGGAATCAAGGCAATAGACCGGTTCTTCTACGTATTTGAAAATGGGAGTAATACGGATTACTGATCATACGTGTGATATATATATGATATGGCGATGCGAAGGGAGTACTCCGCACCGTCGTTTACTTCATGACGGGAGTTGCCTCGAAGCGGCGCAGTAACAATGAGAGCAAGCGCGCCGTGAAAGATGAAAAGCAGCAGAGAGCAACAGGTAACAACCCCACGAGAAGAAGACTCATTATCATTATTCATCGTCAATTCGTATATCTGCTGTGTGTATGCTGTGCGGGGTTTGCGAATATGTTGATGCATCCACGGATCCATCCGCCAGGTTAAATTCTTTGTGCAGCGTTATATCGCCTTCCATGAAACAGCAAACGACGCGCAGGCTGGTTGGTAGAACTTTAGTTAAAATGTTTACTATACAAGGGAGTCAGATAAATAGCGACTTCCAAGTCTTGCGGTCACTGAGAGAACAAATGATGAATAGATATAGACTTATCGTGACAGCTTTTTGATGTATAGTGAGTGCATGAACTATCTCGTTCATCTGCTGTACGTGGCTGAATCAAACGGATGGCAGCAACCTTGGAACCTGGATGCGACTGTCTCAGATTGCTTGCTTTCCCTGTTGTTGTTACCCACCTATGTCAGCGCGTGCGAAACCTTGGTTTGTGGCCATCGAGCCGTGAGCAGGGAACCTTTGTCCAGTCCGACGTGCGGGTGCGGCGGAAAATCAGCTGCGACAACTTGCGCCAACTCCCCATCCTTTGTTGCTCTCTCTCCATTCCTCCACTCTGCTGCTTCGTGCCCGACGACGTTCCTCCTGCTGATCGAGCCGGGGGAGTTGAGCACGGAACACTGCCCTCCCCAGGGGCCAAGACACTCACGGATCAACGGATCAGCCAAGTATTCCACGGTTGGCCCAAACCTCGTTAGTTGCCGCACCTGCATGCATTAGCTGCTTGCTAGCGGGTGACATTTGACAGCACGCGTCTAATCTAGATCCCATCGAGGAACTCGACTACGGCAATTACGGTTGCGGGAGGTTGAGGCACGGCGCGTGTGTATACTTGATCTGCAGGTGGGCTGTCGGTTGATGTGGGATGATATACATTGGCTAGGAAGTTGACAGGTAGGCCGTTTTTCCATTTCCTTTACCTCATCATTCCCTTTTCTTTTGTTGGATCTTCCTATATGGTCCAGTTCTCGTGGAGAGAAGAGCAGAGCAGAGTGTCATTCATTACCTGCTGGAAATGCGTGGGCGGTATATATATATAGCTATATTCACTTCGAGTCTCCTTGCCTACTTGCTCACCTCCACGCGTCGCATGGCTTTCTGGCATTATTAGCTCTGTGCCATTGATCGCCATGCCCGTCTTGATTCCCTTTATCTAAACGCTTTCTTTTCTAGACCTCAGACAGAGAATATAGTCCTCTCGTTGCTCGTTGTACCTGCCCGGCCTGACTTCTGGCCAGCCAGTCGTTTCCGCCCTGCTGGACGCGTTATAGTTGCCATCGTCTCTCCCGTTCACTCGCAAGACAAACACGGCCTTCTCTCATCCACTCGCGCCCGCCGATATTTTCTGTTTTTCTGTCTGATCTCAGCACCTCTCAGTCTCAGAGTCGAATTTGGAGCTCTGAGAGACTCCGAAGAAACACAATCGATCGGTTCATCCTTGATCTTCGACTCGTTGGTTTGCTTCCGGGACATGGTCTGGTCGAAACATCTGGTGGCGTTGGATTTCTTCCTAGGCATCATCCCCTCCGCTTAGCTTTACCTTTTCCAATTTCAAGCTCTCGGTAGCATGTCGAAACGCCTTCGTAAACCTCCCCCTCCCCCTCCCCCTCGGAGGCTTTCGCCTGGAACCGAAACAGGCTCTGATCAGTCGGATCCGTTCTTAACACCAAATGCTTCTTCCCACTCCCTCATTTACCCTCCGCAGCCCCCTTATTCCCCAGCCTTTCGACAAGGCTCTCTGCATGGCAGTGACTCCTCAGAGTGCTTGCCACTCTCCACCTCACGGCACGAGCGGGACGAAAGCCAGGGCTCAAAGTATCCAACCACACGTTCACGAAGAGCAAGTCAGAGTTCAGAGGGGGGCCTCGGTTGGGAGGCCTCCGGGTACCCTTTTAGTCCAACGCGGGATAATCGGAGTCACTCTCGGATAGACGATGATGAGCCCATCACGACCCAGACCGTCGTGGAGAAATATGCCATCGTGCCTTTTGAAAACCTCCTGGTGTTTCCTGAGGACGTAGAGAAGGATGACTACCTGCATAATCCGGACCCAAACGATGCAGACAGAGACTGCGATGTTTGCACGCGGCGAGGTGCAGTTAACCTGGTGGCGCTCACAGTTGTGGTCGTAGGGGTCGTGACGCTTTTTGTTGTTTATCCCGTTTTGTACGAGTGTCCTTCCCGAATCGAGGTTATCCAAATACGTTTAACCAAGCAGGAAGAGAAAAAAAAAGTGAGAAAGATAAATTAACTTGCATGCCATTTTGAATAGGACATTCATCGAAAAGCTGATAGAACCCTCCGGCCCTGTTTGTGCTGACGACCCGATGTGCCTGGATGTCGGTCCTATTCCACATCTTCAAAACATTCGATATTCGCTAATAGATCCGGATACGCCGGAGTCCGCAAAATCGAAAGTATCCATTGACGGGAAGAAGTGGCAGTTGGTGGTAGGAAGCTCCCTAACCCATTCGTTGTTGACTAAAATAAGTGGCTTCGTTGGTTTGTTTGCCAAGATTAACTGATCTGTCACCCCAGTTCTCCGATGAATTTAACAAGGACGGTCGGACGTTCTACGAAGGGGACGATCCTTTCTTTCAGGCTGTTGATCTTTGGTATGGCGTGACGAAGGATCTAGAGGTAAGTGGATAGTCGGGGTTATCATCCATAAATACTTACTCATATGATTATTTTTATTTAGTGGTATGACCCAGACGCCGTTACCACAAAAAATGGCAAACTCGAGATCCGCTTCGATGCTTTCCCAAACCACGAGCTGAATTATCGGTCCGGGATGGTCCAATCCTGGAACCAACTATGTTTCACAGGTGGACGTCTGGAGGCGAGTATATCGCTTCCCGGAAGGGGTGATACATCTGGTTTCTGGCCTGGGTTCTGGGCCATGGGCAATCTCGGTCGACCAGGCTATGCTGCTACGACGGAAGGGATGTGGCCGTATAGCTATGACAACGTATGTGACGCCGGCATAACTCCCAACCAGAGCTCGACGGATGGTATTAGTTTTTTGCCTGGCATGCGCCTGCCCGCCTGCACGTGCAAGGGAGAGGATCATCCGAGCCCTGGTAAATCACGAAGTGCCCCTGAAATCGATGTTATTGAAGCAAGCGTGCATGCATTAGATCCAAATGTACCGTCAGATGTGGGGGATGTGTCGCAGAGTATGCAAGTTGCGCCGTTTGATGTGTGGTATATGCCTAACTTTGGTATGTTTTCCATTCTTCTCTTTGTGTATTCAATTGGTTATGCTGTCTAAGCTAAAGAACAACAAAAAAAAAAAAAATCCACAGACTTTTACGAACTCTACGATCCCAGAATAACGGCCATAAACGACTATCGAGGTGGTCCATACCAACAAGCAATCTCAGGGATAACAACAGTAAACAACCACTGGTACGACGGCCGCTTCTACCAAGTCTACGCGTTCGAATACAAACCCGGGCCCAAGGGTGAAATAACCTGGTTCGTCGGCAAGGATAAAACCTGGAAACTCGACGCGCGGGCTCTCGGGCCAAACGGCAACATCGGCCAACGCGTCATCCCCGCCGAACCCATGGCGCTTGTCATGAACTTTGGGATGTCGAAAACGTTTGCATTTCTGAACGTAAGCGGTCTGGCGACGGTGATGCCTGCGACAATGCGGTTTGATTATGTGAGGATTTATCAGGATCCGGATGCTGTCAGTGTTACGTGCGACCCTCCCGGAACGGAGACGACGGAGTATATTCAAAAGCATCGGAAAGCCTATGATAATGCGAATTTGACAACATGGTATGTTTTCTTGAATTTTCTTTTGGAAGAATGGGGCAAGGAGAGGGGGTTATTCCTTTTCGCAGACCGACTAACTTGTTCACTTTTGCTTCGATAGGAAGGACGCGGGGTATGCGTGGCCGAAGAACTCGTTTATGCATGGATGTTGAGAGAAAGCTTCTGTTTATATGCGATACGTGATGCCGACACGACACGACAAGACGAGAAACAAATACGACGTACAATGAATTTGATTCATGAAGAAACGAAGGTTTCGATAATTATACACCTTGGTGTTGCTAATTGTCTCTTTGGAACTTACCTCTATTAGCAGATAGGGCTCTTTTGTTTGTGTAGCCCTTTTGTTTCTCTGTATACATTTTTCCTCCCTTTTCTCCTGCATCTCATCGGGGATATAGGGAAAACGCGAGACATAGATACGAACTGTACATACATTAATAACATGCATCAGGATCTAGGCGCTGGATTGTTCAGCTTCTGTGCTTTTATATGCTCCTCCTGTGCTGTGTATCATTTCATCAGTACTTGGAATTGGCTTTTTTCTTTTTCATTTTCCCGACCTTTTTGTGCTTTTGATTGTGGTACTGTTTTTCTTTTCTTGATTCTAGGGGAAAGGAGCGCTCTTTTGGCGGCTTCTTCGCGTGCTTCTTCGTCTGTTTAATTGTAATTCTAGCAATTGATAATAGAACAATGTAACTTGTTAATTAAGTGCGGAGTAGTCTGTCATGCTTAGACCCTAGTTAGTTCTCCCCCGCAACTGGAGCTTGGGACAGTAACTAAGCTGAGCCCACCACCACCACCGCCACCATCAACAGAACATTCAAGCAGCCAAATACATACAGCTCAACGGGCGATTTCCCTCTTACCATAAATTGGAAGTTTGGCATTTCTTGTTTGATATCCTGTCTTCCAAAAGTAAAACCCATGCGAATTCTCTAGTGGTCCCCGTTACGCCGTGCTCAGCAACCGCGGGGAACCTGGTCTCTGGGAGGTGACGGGACGCAGTTTGGAAGAAAGCTTTAGGGGATTTATTTGATCTGGGCTTTCGCGAGGCGACGGTCCGATAGAGCGGTACATACACGTATTGTATCGGCCTGAAGCTGCTTTTCAACACCAAACAGTCCTCGAAGCGCCCTCTTCTGTATCTCCCCTCAGCCGCACAGCTTCCCTTCCGACCTCGTTCTGTCCGCCATTTCCCCCCAGGAGCCTTTGTTTTGACGAACAAAAGGAAATAAATACCTCACCCGCCAAAACCTCTCCTACGAGCGCATTAATAAAAAAAAGAGAAGAAAAGAAGAAGAAGCAGAAAAAACAACCATGAACGACAACCCCGCCAACAATCACCTCCCTGCAAACTTAACCCCACAGGCCCGTCAAATGCTCGAAGATGCGTACGACCGGGTCCTCGAAGCGCGTGCCCTGGTATTAGCAGCATCGGATGTGGCAGAGCATATCGATGCGCATATCCGACTAAGATTTGCGCAAGAGCGCGAGCAGGAGATCATATCAGAGGTTCTTGGCGGGAGTGGGAGTGTTCAGGGGACCGGGACCGGGCCCGAGAGCCGGAGCAGCAGTAGTGATGACCCTGATTTTGTTAATGTGGAGGAGGAGGCGGATGAGATCGAGGTTGATGGGTATTTTGGTGAGTTGTTTTTTTTTTTTTTTTTTTTTTCTTAAGTTCTTTTCATCGACGGCCCGAAAATCTGCATCGCAGTATAGATAGATAAATAAATACAGCTTGTCACCAACTCTAACAGAGATCTCTTGGTTTATTTTATGAACCAAACCGCAGGCTATCGAGGAAGTAGCTCCTCTACCGGAAACGCACAGTCGCAGACCCTCTTCGGTTCCGCAGACTTGCCCATCCATCCACCGCTGGTCGGACACATGCGCCTCAAGTCCTACCTGCGCGAACGCCGCCATGCGTCTCTCAGCGTGCTGACAGATCAGGAGCTGTTAATAAACCATGCCGTGGCCAATTACGAGGTTGGTCTTGTCCCCGTACATGCTGCATTCATTGTGTGGGACCGACAACATCCGTTTGTATAACTTCTACTAGCTAACGCATGCCGCATCTGTTCAATAGACCATCCCCGAGGCCCGCCGCCGCTTCCAACACCATTACATCGGCCTCAACATGCCGCAAAACTACATGCACGCCTTCGCCCTCCAGGACAGAATGCTAGGGCCTAAAAGGACGTCATCTGGTTCCGCCAGCGACGCCGCCGCCGCCGATAAAAGTAGAGGTAGAGGCAAAGGCAAGGGCAAAGGCAGGGCCATGGCTGCAACTTCGACTACTAATCATACTGCCTACAACGAAATCCCACTCCCAGCTACATCCGCTGCCGCTGCCGCTGCCACAACCACGAGCACCACGACAACAGGTTCGGGCTCGTCTTTACGAACCCAACCCGGGCGCCCCATAGTTGATGTTCTGGAAGTCGATGGCGGGTGGCGGAACAGGAGCGCTGGGGATGAGGGGTATGGCCCTGTCCCCTTGCATGGGTCTGTCGCTTCGTCTTCATATGCAGCTAAGGGTGGTGGCGATGGTGCTAGGAGAGGGAGCAGAAGGGTTGGAAGGGCTACTGCCGCTGAGAGTAGTGGGCAGGGTAGAAGGAGAAGTGCGAGACATGCGGCACGTGGGGTTGAGGCTGGGGCTGGGGTCGGGATTGGGTAGGTATGCGGTATAGATGGGCACGGTTTCGGCTGAGTGTGGTGTGGTTAACATCCCAATTTGATCTTTCGTTTCGGTTTGTATTGGGAACGACGGTGCAACGGCGCAATGGATTATTTGGGGCAAAAGACTTGAAATCAATCATGTGTACGTGTAGGGGTGAAATATGGCCGCGAGTTTTGTTGGTGTTCTCTCCTGAGAACCCTTTTTTCTCTTTTCCATCGCTCTCTCTCTCTCTCTCTCTCTCTCTTTCTTTCTTTTACCTCCTAATTCTCATGGGGATACTTAGGTATGTTCCATGCTTCCAAGCTGATAAAAATACAAATTTGACAATGTCGTAGCTTTTGCGAGGCCTGACTGATGCTTTGAGGGATCCGATTCCGCTGCGCGAGGTCACCGCAAACGCTTCAAACAGGGTTTGCTTAAGCTATAACTACAACATACACTAGGAGAGGAGAACAGAGAAGATACTTCAACCCCACTCAACCTCGAGAAGCGAGTGAGAACGGGACATGTGAGCAACTACCAGTCCTAAAGCTGACGGGAGCTCGAACCGCGCGGAATTTGGCCATGGTTTGGTTGTGCGAGTTAGGGGGAAGCATGGCGACTGAAAAGAAAAGCAGAGAGGGAACAGACACTGGACCAAAATGGTGTTCTATCTGGTGAAGAGCCGGCGAAATATATCATTTCGGACTGTTGGTGATTTGGTTTTTTCTTTTTTTGTTCCGTTATTTCTTTTATTTAGCGAAATATCGACCGGCTTCGCTCCCCACGGCTGGATGACTAGGCCCACTTTGCTGAGAAACCCGTGCGACGCATTACCATCCAGCTAGAATCGCATCGAGACACCAGTCAGTGGTGACCATAGTTAGAATTCACCGAGCTATTTTGTGTGTAAAGTGGCCGAAACGGGTCCGCCAGCGACGGAATCTGTAAGGTCTCTGGGGTCTTTGACCGAGATTTATAGTTCTAGTATGCACTCTCACCGTTGATCTTCTATTTATGTGTATCAGAACTCAATCTCAGGCATTCACGTAGACACTTCATGAAGCCGGCTTAGTACCAAGACGGACATAATCGTTTCAAGTTACGACTTTCTGGAACAGAACTATATCGATCGTCCAAGGCTGCGTCAACAGCCGCACATCAAGGAGCTTCTTCGGCTGGAGCTGAAAGCCCTTGAACCACCGTCAATACTACTGCGCATCGTGTGCGTGTCAGGGCCCCCACTGCCCGGATCTCAGCTTGATGAAGCGGTCAGCACTTACAGACATTAACTTGCCGATTCCTTTATCATCTTCTTTGCATATACCCGTTCTAGCTTCCGAGCTTCTCATACAGTGGCGGTACAAAATGCATTTATGTCCGTCTACCCCCCGCTTTGGTCGGGCGATTGTTCTTGTACATATGTAACGATAAATGCAGAGAGCTCCCCTTACATGATATTTTGCCGTTGTTCAGGTTTTCGTTGGAACCGCCTGATGCCCTCTTGGGTGTGATCTACTGTCTGTATCGCCATTCAATATCGAGCGGGACCGTGTTGTCGCCATTCCCGATCATGGGCTCGATTGCAAGTAACAAAGCAGGATCCGTTGCTCTGATAACCAAGCTGAACCATCTCAGTCCGCGGCTCGTTGATGAACAAGACCTTGAAGCAAGAAGAGAAGCGCTTCAGATAGTCAAGACACTGCGGATCCAGCTGGAACAGCCAGAAAATGTAGCTGTTGATATGGCATTTTCTGTACGTGTTCCCCCCCCGGCTCCAATAGCCATGTGCAAAAAGATTCATAACAGTTTTGCTCACTCTTCTGAAGCCCATGATTGCCGTCAGCGCGCGAGTTGCCGTGGATTTGAAGTTATTTCAGCACATCGTTCAGGAAGGGCCCATTACATCTGCGAGATTGGCAGAGCTGTCTGGAGCTGAGGAGCTGTTGATAAGTGAGTGCTACTGCATATGCTCTACTCTGCGACAGCGTTACTTGTCTAACAAAGAGGCCCAATGCCGAATAAACGATCCAGTACGCATTTTGCGGCCTCTATCAGCGGTTCACTTGGTTGAGGAAGTCGATTCAAGAACATGGACTGCGACACCCGTCACGAAGGCCATGGCTACTGAAGAAATTGCCGCTGGCCATCGAATGATGTTAGATATTTTATTTCATAGTTCTAGGCTAAGTGCCTTCCCCTTTTTATCTCACCTTTTGATCTTCCCGTTCTTTACTGACAAAAGCGCGATAATACAGCTCCCAATTGATTGTTCCAGCCATGCAAAGTGCCCCAGCTTACTTCCTCCAACGAGGCCATTCCTGCCCCAGTGATCCCAAGGATGGACTCATGCAATACGCTTTCAACACGAAACAGACCACGTTCGAACGGATAGTGTCTTCTCCCTCCCTGCTCAACGACTTCAACATGTTCATGGGCAATACAATGGGCGCGCGGAAATACTGGGTTGACTGGTACCCGGTGCAGAGCCAAATCCTCGACGGGGCAGCCACAGACAAGCCTCTGATTGTTGACGTTGGGGCAGGGAAGGGCCATGACTTGTTGTCGTATAAGAACAGATTTCCTAACACGGGCAGGTTGGTGTTGCAGGACTTGCCGGAGGTCGTAGAGACGCTGGGAGACTTGGATGAGGCGGTTGAGAAGGTTACGTATGATTTTTTCACCGAACAGCCCATCACAGGTAAGGAAGGTTCTCTCTCTCGCCTCTCTCATTTGCGCTTCATCCATCCCATTCTTCGTCCAATATATAGAGGAGGGGAAGGAAGCCATATATATGTGCATAATCCATCCACTGACACCTGCATAGGTGCAAGGGTCTACTTCTATCACCATATCCTCCACGACTGGTCGGATTCTTACTGCCTCAAAATCCTCGCCAGGGCAGCTGCGGCAATGACGCCGGGTTACTCGAAGCTTCTGGTGCATGAGATGGTTGTTCCGGAACAAGCAGCTTCGCAGTTCCAGGCCCAGTTAGATATGACAATGATGGCTTTCAACTCCGGCGTGGAACGCACGTCGCGACAGTGGCGTGAGCTGTTGGAGAAGGCTGGGCTTACGGTGGTGAAATTCTGGGAACCGGTCGATGAGGGTGGTGACGGCATCGTTGAGGCGATGAAAATGTAGATGTATTTATTTATTTATTTATTTCGTTTTAAAGATCTTACATGGCGAAGCTGGGTGGTGATTTGTTTCTAAATATGAACAAATTCGGCGACACAGATATTCTCGTTCCTCGGGTATGGAAATGTTTCTTGTATTCGGATTATCACGAATTGGTTTGCCCAGGCTGCTGTGCCTGGACTTCCTCTTGGACAGCTGAACGCTAGCTAGAGTATCTCGACTATGTAGGGCGGTTCAAAGCGGATGGTAGAGGCGGCGGAAGAGAATATCTGCCTCTCAATATGTGTCTCGCAAGCTACCCACTCCATTATATTTAGTACGGAGATTTATCATCATTCTGATATCTGCGAGAGTACAATAGACATCCGTTAGATAGCCACATTGAATGGCCATTATCGATCATAACTGCGCTTCCTCTCCAGGTGAACTGTGAACTGTGAACTGTGAAAGTGTCAGAGAGATCAAATGCTTCAGGCGCCTGGGGAATCTTTTGCATGTTTTACTTTTATTATCAATTCTATTCTTTTTTGTCCTGTTTATTCCAACTATTTCCATTCCTCCACTGAGGGCTAGGGTATTCAATTGGTTTTCAAAAAAAAAAAAAAAAAAAAAAAATAACCTTCTATTACCAATATAACTCCAGGCTAACACATCTCATATCACCTTTTTAAACCCAAAGCCTATCTTGCGTATCCTACTCGCGGCCATGCTAATACATGAAGCCGTAAGCAGAGCGCCGCACCATACAATGAGGCCAACCCAGCCCCCGCTGCCGCCCAGAATAGCCCCCGCAATAGGGTTGCTCACGAGGACACCGCATCCCACAGCAGCTAACGTCATTCCCAGCCGGGCACCAATTTTTCCCTTATCCGCTGAGAGATTCACCACCCCCGCAGCGGGTAATCCCATGAAGGCGCCGGCGGAAAACCCGTAGATGACGCAGTAGACCACCAGGCCCGGGGCGTTTTTGATGGCAAGGAGACAAAAGGTCAAGAGGGCACCGGTAAAGGCGACGATGGTCTGCACGTTGATGGACCCCATCTTGTCGGCGTAGTAGCCCGGGATGAGACGGCCGGGCAGGGAGCTGGCGTTGATGATGACGAGAAGGTAGGACTGGAGGCGCGCTGGAGTGCTGCTTTCTTGGTAGGCGTAGAGCTCGATGTAGTAGAAGATGATGTAGAAGCCCATGAAGCCGAAGATAAGGCCGGTGATTAGCAGGATGAACGGCACGTCTCTGAACGCGGTCCTATCGACCAGGCTATACTTCGTTGTGGGGCTGGCTTTGGATTTCATGAGGACTAATGGGACGAGCTGTGTTGCCAGCACGATGAACCCGAGGACTCGAGTCGCCCAGGGAAAACCTATCCGCGGCTGGAGACGTGTGAAGATGATCGGATATATGACGCCGCCTATGTCAAACAGAAGGTTAGAGGGGGTTTTTCATTCCTTCGATATATATTTCCCTCCCCCCCACTGCTGACATACCGAGGGCACTACCGGCTGAAGATGCGCCCATCGCAAGCGCAGTGCTGGCATGGAAGTATTGCGAGACAATCGTCGGAGCAGGCACGTAAAGGCAGCCAAAGCCCAGGCCCATGGTAATGGCCTGAGCGAGGAAAACCTGCCAGTATTCATTGCACAGGCTCGTCATGAAAAGGCCGAGCACGGCGAGGAGAGATCCCATCCCGAGCAGCGATCGCAGATAGCCTGCGTCGACGATCGGTCCCACGACCATCGAGATGATGAACATGAGAAACGCCTGCGTCGAGCCAATCCATGAGATGTCCGAGGATGACCTCGAGGACAGCAATTCAAGTTCATAGAAGGCCTGGAAGGCTCCGTAGGCGTTCATGAGGCCCCTAATGAAAGAAGAGAGAGATCAGCTTTCGTGAAGCATATCGTGAAGTCCAGCTTCGCGGTGGCCCCCCAGTGCGGAATTGAATCTGCGAACGAACGAGCGAGTGAGAGAGTGAGGGGTTTATTTCATGTTTCTCTTCTTTTAATCTTTTCTTTTTTTTTTTTTTTTGTTTACCATGTATTCAGATTCAGGCTAAAAGCCCCTAGAACTTGCAACCAGGCGAACCAGTCTTCCGCCGGAAGAGATGGTGAGGGACTCTCCATGATGTCTTCTTGTTGAGCGCCATCCTCGGGTTTGGGATTTGGCATCGGTTTCGGTTTCGGTTTCGGTGTTGCAGACGCAAGCTGCACTTGCTCCATGAACACCGCGAGATCATAGAAATAGCGACGGTCTCGCAGGAATCGTAGAGGATTCTAAGGGGTAGGGAGGGACTTATCGCCGTATGGAATGTTGACAGCTGTGGATCAGGCGCTGACACGTTGGGGCTGAGCTTTGAAGTGACAATAGAGATTCTTCGCTGGCCGGTAACTTGTAGGTATATAGGAATGAATCGCCGTCATCCATGTCTGGGAAGAGAATCCCATCAGCACCATATCCGAGCCGGCCATGCAAGCAAGGGTTTCCCTGCCCGGGACACGTGAAGTTCGTTCTCTTCGTCCAGAAACCCGCCGAGCATCCATGTCTAAGCGCTCGACATTGAGACTAGTTAGTATGATTTGTGTTGTGGGGGTTGAATCAATACCGTGCACGAAGAAAGCCCAAGAAACGGTCAGCTGCAAATCACCTATCTGGTGAGGTTTCATTCCACCTCATCGAGGTGCAACCAAGGCTGGTTGTGTGTGAAGATCAGGAACCGGCGCAGCTCAGGGGTTGAGCCGGTTAGGCTTGAAGAACAAAGTCACAGAGTCACAAAGCGAAGACTCCTTACATAACGTATTCATAATGAGTCCATTTCCCTTTTCATTTGCATATTTACATGTTTGTTTATTCACATTCATATGTATGTGTATGTCTGTATGTTACATAGTAAGTAAGTAGCCTTTGCTCTGTACCCGTCGCTCCCATCCTATCTTTTATACATACTTGTATATATAGATATATAGATATATAGATATAGATATAGATATACACACCGACACGCATGAAAGCTATATATGCAAAAACCGCATTCTTTTCGTTTCTCTTTTCAATGGAAATATGACCTCATGCACATGCATGCACAACCACCCATTCACGCGTACCCATACATGTCGATAACTCCAACCCCCTTCTTCCCCCCTTCTCTGTCCCTTCTTCGACTTGGGTCCAGGATAAACGGGGTCGAGAAAGGGTGGACATTGCCTGGTCCGGGAATTGTTTGCTGCTGTTTCGTTGCTACGACTATCTCTCCCTCTCTCTCTTTCTATATATATATCGTATATAAACGCCTTTGCGCGAATGGAGAAGGCAACGACAGAGGCTGGGCGTAGGCGTAGAGATGTGGGGGGCGAGGCGGGCACAAGAGGCGGTGAAATTTGGAGGAAGGGGAGTCGAGGGCGAGTCAGGGTCGAACACATGCTACACTCGCACCCAAATCCACCCCTGCTATGTCCTTTGTACAATTTTTCTTCCTGGGGGTATATCTGGACGGCTTGTGTGGAGCATGGGCCATACCCATTCGACTCTTTCGCACAGCGGTATGGGAGGTGGAGGCGTAGGGAAAAGGTCAAAGGGAAGGGAAATCAGCACCTGACCACAGGATTTTTCTATGTTCTGCTCCTCCTCCGTTCTTGTCTCTGAAGCCACCTTACTGAAGAATTGAAAATGGGGGCCACGAGGGTGTGATTTTCCGGGGGCCCAAGCGGGGGTGGAGAGAAATGGAGAGGAGAGGAGAGGAGAGGAGAGGCGAGGATCAAAGAGGAGCGGAGGCGGGTGCGACGAGGGATGCTCATTCCATCCGCGGCCATGCGGGCGAGAGCGGGTGTCGTCCCCAAAGGCAGTGGAATATGAAGAAGAAAAAATCATAATCATACTTCCACCAAGTTGAATGCAGCCACCTACCCAACCCTAAATTTTCATACCGTACCCATCTCCCCAAGACCATTCCCCCCTGGCTCCCCGCTAACCAAACTAGCCGCGTCGCCCACCTGCTTGCGCTCTGAGACTTCCCGGCCACTGCCGCCGGCGCGGCACATACCACCCTGGTGAGAACGTGCACGTCGGATAGCTTCAATGTTCATAGGGGTCAATCCTTGGGATACCACTCGCGAGCGCGTTGTTGATGCTGTTGCTGTCGGTGCCAGTGTGTCGTGCAGCAACGGGTAAAAGTGTCGTGAGGAATTCACGAGAGGCTGGCCATCCCTCATGACCGGTAATTGTCACTGGAGCGGTTCGGAGCTGGAGGAGAGGCGGTTGAGATGGAGGTAGACATCTGTGCCGTAGCTGCATTTTCGATTCATTGGAGCGTTAGTTGATTCGTTTATAAGCCCGGGAGATTGTATAAAGTTGGTGGTTATTTTCTATGGGGGTAATAATTGGGGGGTTAAATGCATGAACTCACCCCTCCATACTGATCAACTTCAGATCCCCACCAAAATACCTCGCATAAAGCCGGCTGATGGGCAACCCATATCCAAACCCAGCCATCGGCGCCTTGAAGTCACTCTTATTAAAGTCCGGGTCCAAATTCGGCGTCTGGTCAACCGTGGTGTACATATACGTCCACACAAGCGGGATAGACGACCGCGGAATCCCACCGCCCTCATCCGAGATCTTAATTGTAATATCCTCCCGGCCCTCCGCAACAATCACCTTTGTCACAGGGAAAGCTTCCTTCTCCGCCCCATGGGTCTCCACAACTGCCCGCAGCGAGTTCTTCAACGTCTCAAAGAGCATGTGCGACAGGTGGCCAGGCACATACATGAAATCCAAATCCGGCCGGCAGACCAACTGCACCTTGGGCGCGTCGAAGAGGCCGTAGTGGTCCTCACAAACGAAGCGGGCGTTTTCGATGGCCTCCTCGGCCAGCTCACGCACGTTGGTCTTTGTGCATATTATCCCGACGTAGTGGGGGTGGTGGACGTGTGTTTGGTCGGTGAGGGCAACGTGCTGGCCGATCAGCATGCGGATGCCGATGCGGGACATGTAGAAGCGGTCGAGGAAGGATTGGATGTTCGAGTCGATCTGCATGCGTTGGCGCTTGCGTTTGTATTCCAGGATCCCCTGCGCGACGGTCGTTACGACGCCGTCGTGCCGCCGTTTGATGTGATGGAGGGTCTTGGAGAACCTGTTGTTGTATTCGTTCAGCTCGGGCGGCCAGTCTTGGCCATCGTCAGTGGATACGAAGTATCTTTTGTTCCCGGCCACTGTTCTTCTCCCGTTCCCGTTGCCGATAGTGGCGACTCCATTGTTAGTATTGGTGATGGAGCCGTTTGCTCTTAGGATCGAGGTTGTCGAGGATCGATATCGGTCGTCTCGTATGCTTGGATTAGGGGTAGCTTCTTCGAGGACCTTTACGTCCCGGCCATTGGGTTTGGTAGGGCGGAGGAGGCGAGTTCTGACTTCCTGTGATAGGGTTGGGCGGGGGAGATTGATGATTTCCTGTAATTCGTTTCCCCTCTCAATGAGTCAGATATCGTAAACGGATAAATAAAAAAAGAAGCGGACCAAAAAAAAAAAGAAAGAAAGAAAGAAAGAAAAAAGAAAAAAGATAGTTCCATACCTCGAACGACTGTGCATACCAATCACGGACTTTCCGTATGGACGGCATTTCATTCAAGCCATCGGGGAGGTCACCGAGTTCCTGGACACGGTGTGCGAGGCGGATGGGGAGCTCTTCGGACAAGAACTGGGATGCACGGAAGAGGGTTCCTGAGTCGCAACGACGATGGTCAGCAGAGAGAAAGAGAAAAACAAAGTTAGTAAATGCTGGTATTATGCCTATGGCACTTCAATTTCAAAAAGCAGAGACGAATTGACACACCAGTGGACGGCCTGTCGCCGAACTGGACCATCTGCCTGAGTGAGACTCCTGTTGCGGGGAACGAGGCATAGTGACGGATGGTCTCCATCAGCTTGTCGGACGCTCTCCACATGATGCCAATTGGCGTTTGCAGGCACCCTGGAGAGTGGGCTCAGATTGCCTCGACGAGGAGGAGGAGGAGGTGGAGAAGGAGAGGAGAAAGGGGAGAGAGAAAGGGAGCTCAGAGCGGAGAGCGGGAGATGTGTGAGGAAGGGAGACACAGCCAGCCGCTCTGTGGTATCGGGATGAATAAATCGAACTAGTTAGCCGCAGAGTAAACCGAAGCAAACACGCAGCGAAGAATTGAGCACAGAACGTCGGAGGAAAACGGGAGCTCCCCGCCAGCTCAACTCTAACGCCTTTTCTTAGCACACCAAGCTGGAGACAACAGCGATGCCGAGGTCGCGGACGGAGGAGAGCGACTCACAAGTCACAGCCAAGCGGATGGACGCCGGGTGTACAGACCGGGATGGATGGGCGGATTATTCCGAAGGCTTGCTGGGATGTACCAGGACAATAACGAAGGAATACTTTGTAGCTATCTATCAACAAAACTTGTATATCATCTAACTTCGCAGAGTGAAGAACCAGGATCCATCGCCGGTACCTGCGGCCTCACATTGCGTGGGTGGCGGCCTTTGTACCTCCTGTGGTTTGCCCCGCGACATACAAACATCTGCCCTCGTTACCGGTTCAGGTTCATGTGCCTGTAACTTTGCATGTATTTGATACCCAGCAGATGCCAGCAAGACACAGGCATAGTCCCGGTACCGGGGACTTACAGTTACTTCCGGCGAGTAATATATGCTGTCTCAGATGGTACGCTGCAGTATTATATCAGTCACATGGCATCCGCAAGTCTCAAACCTTCCGCTACGCTATTCCGCTTTGGGAATGATGCGGCACGATCTCGACAAAAGCACAAAATCAAAGCGAAAAAGGAGTGGGAAAAAACAAGAATTAATCAAGATGATGGAAGAGAGACCGGTGCATTAAATTGCTCTGGCAATGATTGATTGATTTATTTGATCGATCGATCTCTGAGTACTCCAGGTAGTATTTGACACCCGCCTACGCAAAATTTTGTTGGCTTGGCTTCCTCGGCTCTTCAGCTCCCAGGCACGATCTTCTCTCCCCGTGGTTTCGCAAAAGTTTGAATGCTGGTGGGCTAGGTCCATTCGCCATTGCCTAAGAGAATTCACGACAACAAAATCGCCTCATTAAAAGCATCTTGAGCCGAGTATGCATGCAAGACGACGAGTTGATGAACGGTTAGAACCTCCTATGTATGACTACTCGTTGTCCTGTTCGATGTGTGGTCCTTCTTTTCTACACGGTCATCAATCATATTCCTTTTTCGATCTACTTCCCCGCCTTTTTCATCTGCGCCCGCCCTGTATCCAACCAAGTCCATGAATGGCCTTACAGCTGACAGCTGCTGGCCTACGAGACGGCGGTTGTGATAATCGATATCTAATGGTTAAAAGGAAGCATTGCAACAGTTTCTGAGATATACGGAAAGCATTTATCGATATGATATCAGGATATCTGCTATTCTTCAAAGTTGTTAAGAAAGGAAACAACAGGAAAAAGGACAACAAAATGTCAAGGAGTAAACGCTATAGCTATCTGGGACACTTGATTTTGCTTGCTTGCTTGCTTCGTTTAACCCGCGTTTCAGCTTGCATTTTTGTGAGCCATTTTCTCTGCATACACAGTATGCGGCTGAAAATGTTGCGCTATTGTCAGATTATACTGCGATGTTTTGAAGCTTTCCCGTAGTATATAATCATTATGTTTGCCTCCGCATGACCATTCCACGATTTCCACGTAAGGCTGTTGTTGTCTCCCGTTTCAAGGGTTGCGAAGGGGTATGCCAATGCTTCTAGAGAGAATATACACAGCAGAGCCTGAGCCACAGCGCACACACAGTCACATTCACAGACAAGGCACGTAAAGAAAGTAGAGGCTGGACATTGGCGCATCGTGCCCAAGATCGGCTCTATTCCATAGAGTTGATGAGCCGCCCACTTGTGACAGAATGGCTTTCCATGACAAGTACCAGTGGCACTTCTACTACCATCCTTGTCTGGATCGGCCCGATAGCATTGAGGGAGGTGTGTGCATGTGTGTGCGTATTCGCCCGCGGAATTATATAAACTCGCATCACCGTAGTGCTGTCGCTGTCGCTATTGCTGTTGCCGCTCTTGCTGGCGAGACTGAATTATGAGCAAAGTAACGATGCGGAACCACATATATGTGGACATGTTATGAGCGGGTTTTGTTTTGGTGGATGCATGGCTGAGACGAGCCAGGTGGCAGAGGAAAATGAGGCGTGATGGGAAGAACCGTATGTGATGGATGTTGTGGTGGTTATGTAGGATATGGGATGTAGTGTTGATTGTGAAACTGTTGGGACTGTTGGTTGGGTAGTTGGTTAGTTGCTGGCATTGGAAAATTGTTATGGATGCTATATGTTATAATAGCTTTTTGATGGTGATGATGTTGACGGCAATGTAATCTCGTTGATCCATCAAGATAATGAACTATGCTCGTTTAGATCAGCTGCCAGTTTTTCTTCTTGAAGGTCCATGTTCATCATTTTGCGTGGTGAAAGAGACAGAAGACTTGTTTCACAAATCTTTCATTGCCTTCCCACCGTTCATGATGACAAGTCAATGGTCAAGAGCAGTAAATCATAACATGGGCACCAGACCGCTATCAAAAGCTTGTGCGCAGGTAGGGAGCAGCAATACCCTCCATTTTGAGATGAAAACCGAGCTCCTACCTTGTAGTTAGTCCAAAACGATTAGATATGCATTCGTAACTAACCAAATTCACACTGTCTCACCAACAACTGGCCTCACCCACTGCCTGGTCGTTGGTAGCACACAGGCTCAATTGTGTCACTTGATCAGTAAAACAAGAGTTGTTCCAGTCATTTCTGTATACTAGTATGCAGAGAAAATAGGTTGCATGGTAAGCACAAGTATATGTACCAAGATCATCGATAAGAATGAAGGGTTATAGATAAGTACCAGTACCCTTTTCTTCCTCGACCCTGTTCCCACGGATTCAATCCCAGGGCGTCAGTACAGCTCCCACTGTATTCATCCCCATATCAGAGCCAAGAGTCGGATCTCTCATTGTAGATTGCTGCACGACTTTATATCCACCCCACCATTCTATGCCCATTTCCTTCATATAGTTGCTGACGTCCATGGGTGGCTGAACTGGTTTAAAAATTACCTCTTGCCCATAGTGTTGTGCCATAAAAGACCAGTCCTTGCGGACTCCCCTGTTAAATTTGCAGAGATAAACTCTGAATGACATTGAATATAAGATGGGCTAGTGGACAAAGAAGTTTCGAAGAATAACTCAGCCCCAAGAAAAACAAATACATAGCCGTTTATGATTGAGGTGGAAGGTCGGTTGATTGTAAGTATCTAGCGGGCGCATCTCTTGTAAGGCACCTGGGACAAAAGAGCTCGAATCACCACCAGCACCATGCAATCCAAACCCCCAACATCTCTCGATATAGGGGTAGGTCATGTGGCCTTCAGGCATCAGGGCTGCCAACAGGGGATTCCCTCGTCCGCTATGGAGAGGGCACAATGGAGTGTTCCCGTAGAAGTTTACGAGCATATCCACAACCCTGACTGAATGTTTGTTCGCTCTGACGATCAACTTCAACTGACTCGAACGGACACGATAGTTTTTCTCTGACCTCTCCCAAAGACTCTCAGGGCGCCTTGTGAGCTCTGACGTTTGGAGATTGCGATTCTCAAGCCACGTTTTCTAGGTCCCATGCCAAATGATTGAGGCTCGCAGCTGGTGAGCCTGACGATTGGGCACCCTCTGCTCAGTTGATCATCTTTGCAAGGGACGGCGAAGCGAGCGAGTGAGTCTGCCCATTGACTGGTCCGATTTCAAGCCAAGTTCCACGGGCATGGGTTGTTTCTTGAACTCTTAGACGGTTGGGTCTTGGTATGCGGCTGAGATCTCCTCCAGTCCCAAAAAGGAAAGGTGACTTTGAGGCCAAGCAGCCGCCAGCTTGAAATCTTCCTCCATCACAGCAAGGACCTCTATCTTTGTTTGTTCAGTCGCATGCAGCCACCAAGCGCCAGGTCCTCTGCTCTTCCACAACTCATATCTCACTGCGCTCCTTGTGGCGCAGTGCATTGCTGATAAAATCCCGAGTCTGTTGGTGACTGTCGGGACCAGTGGATGGGGAGAAGAATCAGGATTGTAGCCGCCAGCAACAGGAAGAAGCGAACAAAGACGCAGGAGGCATGAGGACTATCTTTGAAGAAGGATGCACGGCCTACCTGTGGGTCACTGTTGATTGTGGACAGGGTGATTCCGAAACTCTCATGTGGTTTATTTAAAAACCTGCAGCCATTGTCTCTGTCTCGAAGCACAGACGCAAGCAACAACATCGCGCTTGAAGCAACATGAAAATGATTATGTTCCTCGAGGGAATTCTCTCTTGTCTGTTGAGAGTGAAATGGTTTCCAAATCCAGTTGTTTCAAAAGTCGCAGAAAATGCTTCGATGGAACTTTGCCCAAGGATGGCTCAGACTCCAACATCCATTTTAGCAGCGCCCCTAAGGGCCTAGCGCTGTCAAGGGTAGCAGCCTCTGCTGGACTAACAATCGGAAGCTGTTACTATTGGTACCAACCTCGTGTTTGTTTCCACTTCTCTCCACTGCGTTGGCAAGCTTCCCAAGCATTTGTCGACATGAACTGAGGCTCAGGAATACGGGACGTTGGCGTTATTTTTCCCCCTCTGTTTTCCCTCCTCTTTGGGGGAAGATGGCTTTTCAAAATCCGTTTTCGCTTGAAAGGCGGAGTTTTGCTGTCTTCTGAACTCCTCGCTCTTACCTCTTCATCCCTCTCTCATTTGTTTTTCTTCTCTCGCTTTTTCTGCCTGTGCCACCAAAGCTCAGAGTGAGGATTTACTGCTACATTTCTTTCTCGCAATTGAATGTTTATTGATTAATTTTACCAATTAGTCAATGACAAGCGCGTCTGGCTTTCTGCTTTAGCCTAGCCGTCTTCTTTCGTTGACTTGTAACGGCGCATCTTGGATCAACTTAAAACTTCTCCTTCTAGCAATTTCGGTCTCTCAACGCCGTATATCAACCCGACACTGCATTGTGTGTCACAAATCGTGCTCTACAACGCAGACTGGATCCGGTCTGCTGCAATGGTTCGCTTGAGCCTTGTGTCGGCTCTGCTCTCCCTCGGGGGAGCAGACGCCTTATCGGACAGGCTTCTTCCTCGCGAAACCGTTAAACTGATGGTTGATGCTTTTGGCATGTCTCCTCTGCCAACCACGCCACCTCTACTCCCCCGTGGGCTTCCAAAGGAGTTAGCAAAAAGAGCGTCGCGGACAGCGATTGATTTTCCTGCTCCTGGGTACTATTGTGGTTTGGTCAACGGTGATATTAGTGAGTCCAATTACTTCCTCATCGGAACACAAGTTTTTCAATTTTTGATATGCCCTGCTAACCGATGCGATGCGAATATAACCAGATAACCTCTTGACTTGCGCATATGCTGGGGCAAATTGCGTACAGTATGGCACGGCCGTTGGCTGTTGCGCTAGTTCGAATCTCCAACAATGTACCGATATCGCGACAGAGTGTCTGAATTGGGAAGATGAATGCGATTCCTCCTGTTCTAACAACCCTAGGGTCACTCGGTGTGCGGAGACAACTCGACCTTATTGCGGAACATATTTCTTTGGCGATGGTAAGCGCCTCTTTGGCTGCAGAGCATCGTTAGGTGTCACCTCGCAGGTTATCCCAATGTCAGAATACTTTTCGTCACGCTATGGACCAAACTATCAGACCATGTTATCTGGCTTAACATCTGATGCCTCACTGTCTATCTCTATTGGCACTGCAACCGAATCGCTATCAGGGACATCCTCCAGCTCGAATTTGAATCCCACGCAAAGCCTCGACTCGGGAGGAGAGGGTGAGAATGACAAAGATGATGATGGCAAACACCACAAAAAGAAAAAATTATCAGGCGGTGCTATTGGCGGTATTATTGTGGGATCAATTGTTGGTGTTGGTGCTATTGCCGGGTTAATTATTCTATTCTGTGTTCGGAAGAAGAAAGGCAATGCTGCTCCTCAGGGGCCCCCACCGACCGCTCCATTGATGCATGAACAGCAGGTGCCCCACTACGGCGGACCACCGCCAGTGGTCGGAGCAGGATACTATCAACCAGAGCAAAAACCCGCAGGCATTGGAGAAGCACCACCTTACAGTCCAGGCTACCCTCCTCATATGCACCATCCTGTTCCCCCGCCAGTTCCTGCGGAGATAGGAGGCTCACCGGTTCATAACCCGCTCCAGGCGCAATCGCAGCCACTCCTAGGTCAATCAGCCGAATATTACAATCAAAATCGCGGAAGTTATATTCAGCCTGTAAGCCCGCATGCGGGCTCTATCAATAGCCCTCCTCCACCTGGCACTTCTCCTCCACCACAGGCAGTAAGCCCGCACCAGCTGAGTGCGACGCACGCTGGACCCGTGCCAGAGAATATATACGAAATGCCTGGTGCTGCTGGTGCACGATAGTATTTTCAACTCTCATGCCGATATCTTTTTGTTCTTGTTTTGGAATCCACCTTTCAATTCTGGGAAATTATTATTAACGAACAAACTTCCACACTCCAGAGCCTATTTCCTCTATTTCTCCCTCCATATACCTCACTCCGAAGAATTCCCTGCAGATTTAAGATCTTCGATATATCTTATTTGTCGATCTATTATTTATATGGCTGGTTCAGCGTTCCATCTGTTTGTTACTCTTTGATGCATATTTCTCTTTCTTATATTACTCCTTTAACCATACCCCTTGTCGTATAATTTTTATCTTTTCCTCTTTATTATTATTTATTTTTTACAATGCACCATTGCGGAGAGTAATCCATACGTCCTCTCATGTTTTCCGCTTCTTCTTCTTCTGCTCAGCCACAGTATATATATCATATTGCAGACTCCAACATATAATCCTTCCGAAAAACCTGTTTGCTCTAAATCATCGCGATGCATCACTGTTTATGAATGCCTTGGAAACGCGCTGATTCAACCCGTTGTTCCATAGCGAAAATATAACCGACTAACAAATAATATATATGAGCCACTATTCTCTAGATTCTGAAGCTGGCGCCTACATGCCGTCCGCCTCGCGCTCCCGTTGCGACCAATATAAAACAACCAGTTGACCGTGTGGGAGCTGCTCTTTCGGGGAGGTTTTTGCGAATGATCATGATACTTCGATATTATTCCTCCAGGCAATCGGACGCCTGCTCGCCTACTTGCCTTCACTATTCATATGCAATTATGTATCATTTCTCACCGTTTATAATGCATGTACACTACACTTAGAGTCACACACACACACACACACACACACACACACACACACACACACACACAATATATATATATATGTATATATGTATATATTTATCTTTTCTTCTAAGTTTCCCCATTTCTCGCGTGAGGATGGTTCAACATTGTGGTATTCATATGGAAGAAATGAGTAATTTGACGGAAGCTGTCCCGAGTTGAAGTATAGAAGAAAAATTGACCTGGTATATTCTAAGTATCTTGCTCTTGCTGCAAACGCCAGTCATCCATCACCAGCATCATGGTGACAAGGCATGGGATGAATGATTTGGATACCATTTCGATGGTAATATCGAAGGGTGCGTGCTGCCTGTAAAAATAATGTATATAATAATAATAATAATAATAATAATAATAAACCTAATACAATACATTGACCAAAATGTTACGGTACGCTGCTCTAGCTATTGCGAATATGGAATTAGCTAGCTTATCCCAAATAATAGTTGACCATCCCACACACATCCATGGATGCAATCATGATAAACTAGCTTCTGTTTACCTTTGCTGTCTTTGTACTTTCTATTGCTTTTATTGTTCAGAAATGGCCACGTCTCTAGCGGATGGCCACGGAAGGATGAAATAGAAAGAAGGATAACTACAGTAAATAATCAAAATTTAAAACCAAAAGATAGAGATAGAAAAGAATTGTGTCATGATTCTATGAAATAGAAAAGACGACACAACAAAAAATGGCAATATTGCTATATACATAGTGAAATTAAGGGGCTATAATGAGCAAAATATGGAACCAGAAGGATGAAAAGTCAAAATTCAAATATGGATTCCACCAGGGAGTTGGGGTGGGAGTAATAGAAAACGACTTGAATCTTGGGTGCCAAGAAAAGGAAAGAGAATGCGGCAGTGGCGTGGAGAAATGGGGCGTTAACACCCGCTTTATGAAGAGAAGGGAAGCGAAATTTATGCCAATGCCGCAAGCTGTGCTGACAAAGTTGCTTTATCGTACTTGACATACTTGCCCTTACCCTTATCGATTTCATGATACCGATCCCAAAAACGCGCGTACAAAGGCTCAATAACAGCCTGTACCTCCCTTGCCAACATGCTACGCACTTCTTTCTCCATCGTCAATGATCTATGACGAATAATCAACTCGTCGAACGACGAATTGAAAGCTTTGAATTTATCCTTGATGTTATCTTTGTCCTTGGATGAGAGGGTTCTGACAATGGCACCGGAGTCGACCTGGCCGCCGGAGGTGGGACGCGCACCAGCCCTACTGGTATACTGGACGTCGAGGAGGTGGGAGGACGGATCACGCCAGGCATCAAGGTAAGTAGAGACGCCCTTTTTGCGCCATATATCTAGGCGGCTGGTGTTTTCCGGGGTGGACAGGTAGCGGGATAGTTCGCTGCTGTTGCGGATTGAGCGGTCGACTATGCACATCACGTTTGCAAGAAAGGCGCCGAGGACTGGTTTGGCGCGGTGGGATATCCTTGCGCGGGCTTCTAGGGCGGATAGTAAGGCTTCGATCACGTCTAGGATAAAATGGGAGAGGATTGCGGAGCTATCGGGGCTGACATCTAGCGGGGCGGTGTTGGATTTGCTCGACGCTTTCCAATTTCCATCTCCAAGCGATGTTAGGATGGAGGCAAGTGGCTTTGAGTATGCCGTTAGGGCTGATAACGAATTCATGACATCAGATACGAGAGGGACGGCGGCACCATCGGGGGGCAAAACTGTGACAGCTGCAGCTTTGCGTCGTGTTTCCTCCAGTAGTTCAGACAATGCTAACTTGGCGGTCTCGCGGATCGGCCTCAAGGCTTCGAAGAATAGGGTTTTCAACTGCCTCGTAGCTGCATCAAGTCTATATGATAATCCGGTGACTATCTCGATTATCTCAAAGGCAAGAAAGCAGTCCGTCATCAAGTTAGCCTTGATATACATGTTAAGCTCCCGTTGAGTTTTTGAGAACTCCGCTATCGCTGGTCGACAGGTCGCTTGGAGCGCCTTCGCTTGCTCCTCCGCAGGAAATATCTGGGAAATATTTTCATGTTCTGCCAGGAGCATACCCTCGATACCACTAGCATACATTCCTATACCATTGGTCCCTTGTTTATATGGACCGTCGCTTGGCTTTCGCTTGGCTGTATTGATAGATGCGGTGGCGAGGTTTTGCAAGCTGTTGGTGATATAAGGGGAGCGAATATCGGCGTATATTCTGATAGCCGGATTTTCTGCTTGCCCAACTTGTGGACCATGACTTGCGGCTGAGCTGATCGCAGCGCAGACAGGTGAGAGCTCCAAAACTGTCTCACTCGGGATAGTTGGGAACGGTAGCTCTATAGATATTTTGAGTGCCATTCGGAGAAAGCCGGGGTCATTGGAGGTGCTTACGTTTTGTGATATAGTGCAGTGGTTCTACGGTCTTGATATTATCTCGTAGAGTTCCTTTGAACATCTCCTGGAGTTTGCTGCTTCCTGTGCTAAGCAAAATGGTAAATTCAGACACAGCTTTCTGATTCGAACGAAGGTTTGTAGCATTTAGATCTGACAGTGCGCGATCCAGTCGTTTCAGAGCACTCAAATACTGGGCCAATCCAGCACTTCTGGGCCTAGAGAATATGTTAATTACCGCGGCCAGGAATTGGGAGAGGTTGAGAATGGGGATTGAATTTAAGTTGAATGCTTACCCAGCCCGGATTATAGCCTCCTCCTTTCCCTTGACATCTAAAGGCTGTCGAAGCCGATCAATCGCCTCGTTGACTTTATCTACGTTGGCATTTGTGACTTGCAGCGATTGTGTGTTGCTGTAAATTGGCCCAATGGCATCTTTCACTACCTTTCCACTTGTTTCTAGACGAGCCATGGAACCTTGGATCTTCTTGGTTAGGTTGTTAAGCTTTTCAAGATTTGCGTAAAGCACCTCCACCTCTGCACTCTCTTCCGCATGGGCTGTGTTCCGCATCCCGACCATGACTCCGATGCATAATCTGCTCTCTTCCAATCCGGGTTGAATGTGCCTTGCTTGGGGATATCTGTGTTTTCAGCCAGCTGACGTCGTTTCAATGAAAAGTTTCATGAAGCGATCGTGCGCATAGTGGCAATACGGAATGGACTATGTAGGGCAGAGCGAAGCCATAGCCAATCGTCCACAGTATCTGGTTACTATCTATATCCATTATCATCCGTTGCTGCTGGATGGTTAGAACTTCGGTCAGTGAAGCTAGTCCATAAATGGAGTATTCGGAGGAAATATGTTCCGAGTCTAGGATGGTACGTCATGAAATTGTCGAATACATCCCAATATTTTGGATATTCTGATATTCCGCTACCTACTAGTAGCTAGAGTCAAAGTCGATGAAATACACAAGATATTGGAAGCCAGTGATGTTCTTGCTTCAATGGGCACCGCTAGAGCTCTGTATTCAAAATGGAGACCGCCTTTAGCCTGGACTGTACTTTTGGTCACCGGTGCTTCATATTATCACTCAACGAAGACACACCCAGTTAGAAACGACTCGGCTGGGAATTGTGGCGCATGGGAGAAGGGGGGAGATGGTGTTAAGGGCATTCCTCCTTCTTTAAATCAGCCGGGGAACAGCTCAAGGACATTACAGACCCCGCCTGATGCGCTTACCCAAACACAATTGCCGCCAGTTGGAAGCAATCCCCTTTCCAGGGTGCCCGGGAAGCTGCCAAGTGAACTGCCAACGTCCCAATCTGCATGGGATACATTCATCTCGAAGATTGGAGTTGTTAAAGATTTTCTTGGTTCTCCTAGTTGGCCAGAGCTAATCAAGCAATATGTCGTGCCAGGATGGGCGGCTTTACTTCCTGCGACGATCCAAACACTCCAACGGGAATTAACGATGGCTAAGGGCTCTTTGGCCGATGAGATCTGGTCAGAATCCCATGATGCTGAGTTGAATCCCGAGATAACTCGGGAAGCCCGGGTTAGGATTGGTGAAGGTCTATGTCGCGAAGAGCGGTATTTCCGATGGAGGCGAAGACAAGCTATGATCAAATCTCTAGCAGCTTATATTGGCTTACAGGAAAACGATATACATCCCGATGATATACCCGTAATCGCAATTTGCAGTTCAGGGGGTGGCCTACGCGCTCTCGTCGCAGGCGCAGGCTCTTATCTTGCTGCAAAAGAGGCAGGGCTTTGGGATTGCACCATGTATACCGCAGGCGTT